TCTGTACATTTAGGTTAAATATTAAGTTAGGTAATGGGTCTTGTTTCGCTTCGGTGGTCTCTCTTCCGGTTTATTAATATAGTACATGACCCAGGTTTCTTGTCCATTGAACGACGCGATAAAGCGAGCAACTAACATTTTATAATTTTACTTGCTAATTTGATGACATTTGCAGAACTAAAAAATATTCGGCAGGACAACAACAAGAATTGTTCACGCTCAAAGTTGTCGCGTGTGTTATGTAATATTGTTTCACATGATTTAGCACGAAAAATTATTTACTTGCCCGTGAGAAACTGCACGATTTTTGCACAAGCATGTGTTGAAGACCTAATTTTTCTATTGAAGTGGTTGATGCTTATATTTAATTTTTGTGTTTCAACAGTTTCAATAGTGGAGCGCGTGATTAATAAAACGAAACCGTTCTTTATGCAAATTTGTGTTTATTTAATTAACTTCGTCCGTGGCATGCAAGATGTTTATCAGCACCATATTTGGCGACTCGCTCGCAATTGTAATCATTCGATCAAAATTTGACGAAAATGAAACTTTAATATAAGAACCCTTTTGTTTCGAAACCTATTTTAGTGGTCTTCAAAGAAATTTTCTTAGCGGTTTTAACATGTATGTGGTTAATTTATAACAGGATTTCATGATATCACAAGTTCGCCAAAATAGAGTACGTGACTGCTAAATATAGTTAAACTTGTTTATTGCCAGTAAATACGTAAACAGGCAAGAATAATCATCACTGAGATACTGCCTATCCCATAAAACAACAGTAAAATGCTAAATTCAATGATTATTATTTTCATGGTTAATTATTAACTGATTCCACTATAAAATGGATTATTAATTAATTAATCAATTAATTATTGATTAATCAATTCGGGCGACCAACCTGGAAGGCTGGGCGACCTACTTGTCATGGTTAGGTGCCTGAAGGGCGCCCTGAAAATTTTCCTAGAGCACAACCTTGGCCTTTGGATGTACGACTTTGTTCTTAGAATATAAGTAAAAAACTTCATGCTGATGGACGGGTGAACCACAAATTTTGCATTTGTCAAGTATTCATATCTTCAGTCTACTTTTTGTTGCTCCTGTCATATTCATAACAATTGGCCGCTACATGCTTGGTCTCTTTCTATAGATAGCAAACTGTTTGCTTTGGTTTGGAAAGATCAAATGGATATGGAAATCCTCAAGGACAAGGATAAGTTTGACACTAGACTAGTGTTTTGAAGAATCTTGTAAGAATCTTTATAAAAGTTTTAAGTTTCTCTAAGAGTTTTGTAAGAATCATAATTTTAAGATCAGTAAAAATTAAAATGTTCTTGACAAGATTTCATCAAGTTTATCCCCAGTACATTCCTGAGTAACTTGAAATGCATATTCTGTTCTGTACACAATAGAGCATGATGCATATGGCTTAAAAACCTGGCACAAGTAATATCAAAAATCCTATCTCCAAAAGGGGGTCATAAAGTCAAGTAAGCTTCTATAGCGTACAAATTTAAGACCTGATAACACAATACTAACACAGCTGCTTTCTAAAGGTAATTTTTCAACTGGAATAATGGTATTAACAGATTAAATTTGGACAGACTTTTCAGATTACATTTGATGATTGAGTATGACATACACTGAACAGCTAGTTTAAAATAATTACTAGTCATAATCATAGGGAGTGTCTAGAAAGGTGATGAAACCTTTCCCATCCTTGCCTTGAACATAAAGACACCTACTGATAATGTCACTACATTTCACAAGCAAGAGACTTTTGCTTTCATGATCCTGGAGAAATGTTGTCCAGTTAAGTTGGGATAAACAATTTCCTTCAGGACTACATCCTGTGGTGGAGGAAAGTCTTAGCAAAAATTCAATCTAGTCAAGCCATACTCCATGACTAATGCATAGGCAACATTCTGGTAGAGGATGTAGCACACCACTCCACCGAAAAAGGCATTAAGGGTTCTGGTTGTTAAAACTGAAAGGAAAACACACCTTCCACAGCATAAAGAACATTGACAAAATCAAACAACTGTATTTTCAGGTGGTTGAGTGTTCATTAGAGTCATGAAATAACTATGTGTGAAATCAGCTTGCATTTTGAATAAATTAGTTAAGAGCCTAGTAATAACAGTGTGCCCTAAGAGTCAGCTAGTGAGTACAGCTACCATACCATTCAGTTTTTCAATTAAAATACAAAAAAAGAAAAAACATCAAATGACAACAACAATCAGTAAAGAACATCATTATGAAATCATACATGTGAACTGCTGATAAAGAAGTGAATAATTAAAAGCAATCTCCTCAGTAATGAATACTACTCAAGCAGTAGAGAAAACAAGGCCTGAAAAAAACTCAGGCCTGTGTGCAATTACTGCTTGCTTATGCATCAACCAAAAAATGCAAATAAAATGCACCAAAAATTGCATGCAACTGCAAATTTTAAAAGTTGTCTGCATCAAAAAATTGTACTTGCATGCATATGCTTGAGACATCTGCCTCATTAGTATGTATGAGATAGTCCTTTTGTTTTTTATTTTTGGCAGTTTATCATTTTAACCCTTTAATCCCTGAGAGTGATCAGCATCTAATTTTTCATTTTAATATCACCCGTGAATCAAACATCAAAATCATGAGCATAAAGGAAATGACAATTAACTGAAGAACCCCTCGATTGTTACACAAATTCTCCTTGTAAGCACATTAGGAAATGTAGAGAGAACAGTATGGAGAATATTCATACTGATGTTAGGGTGTAAAGGCTACAATGTAATAGCACTAAAATACTACACAACTACCAACAACAAGCAAACTTGTTTGTTTCAATCACTGTTTTAACTGACCTTCCCGATATGCTGTTACCAATGTGACTTTGTAATCAGAATATATAAATGATTTATCATTCTCCAGTGGAATTCTTTTAATAAAAATAGCTATTTCTCACTTTGTACAATAAAACATTGATCACAATGGGATGGAAATTTGTTCAAAATATATTTATCCTCAGTGTGTTTATAACTTGGTAGAATTAGCTAAATCGCCCATTTGTAACCAGTTGTCACCTTCTGGATGCAAATTAAACTCAAGCACGAATGCTTATTTATAGCTTTTATCATCGGTGAACATGCTGTTCTTGAAAACTGGTTCATTCATATCCACATTTATATAAACACTAATAAGTTTTACTTGCTTATTTTTATGGTGCTGTGTTACAGTAAGGTTACCTGTCGCTACTACGTTTTTGTTCTGACTCGTATGCAAATTTTTCATTGGAAACCGGATTTGCTTCTTGTTTCAATATTTGTCAAATCATTGATTGATGTTCACCAAATTGCTCGAAAAAAGGAGTCTGTTTTTAAAGATCTTGACATTATTCAGTTGACATGGATAGAAATGGATAACTAGCTAAAATGGGTTCTTTTTAAGGTATTTCATGTACGTAGTTTTATATAACTACGAATTTTTACTTTTTGTAACGAGATCGAGCAAAGCTTCCTTGGAAATATTTGAATTCCCGCATTGACTAAGGCTTTGATTAGCTTGATAAGGCACTTAATTATAATCGAATAATTTAAACAGTGTGCTGCACAGTAAAATGAACTGTGAGGTAATATGTAATTTGAGGTTCACTTAACCTATCATTAGCTGTTTACTACATGTACCTGTGCCATTCAGGATGTGAGTTCGCATGAACTCTTTCAAGTCCTTGTCTGGTTGTACATTCCTGTGATCATTCCTTCATACATATATGACCAGACCGAAGAAAAACATAATTTCCAACTAAAGAGAAGCTTAAGGAGCGTTCTCTTTCAAGTTTTGAAGTCATAATAAAAGTGAGTAATTTTCCAGCACTATTCTCCAAACATGCCGCCATGTTGGATTTCCCTTGTTTCTACCCAGTCTATCATCCCCCCACGGTTTACAGAGCCTGAGGGAGCCGTCGAAAAACGGACACAAGTGTTGGAAATCGGATGGAAACGTGTGAGAACGGACGTTAAAGTCCGAAGTCGATCAGAACCGACTTTAAAACAGACCTCAGAGGTCGAGGTCGGACGGAATCGCCCAAAAATGAACGCAAGTGTCCTAAATCTAACACGGGAACCGTCAAAAAGCCGACTCAGGTGTCTGAAACAAGCGGACAAAGCCTTTGTATCAAAAAGACCTGCGTGGGCCACCATTTCTATTTCTTAGAGATAGAAACGTAAAAACGCCTTGTTGTTTTTCTTCCATTTTTCTATGAAAAATAAAAAAAAGGAATACTAAAATTCAAATTCGTTTTTTTTAGAACTAGAGAACAAAATGTATGGACAGCAGCAGATTTCTGTGTAACGAATTTAAGAAAATAAAAGACACTTTTTAAAAACATGTTTCGATAGTTTTTTTAGTTTGTAGCAAGAGAGTTTGTAGCTACTCCTTGCGCGCGAGTAATAACTTGCCTCCAACATAAACCTCATCAGTAAAACAAGTGTCTTAGGAAACTCGATAAGCGATCACGATCTCATTGTTGCATCACTGAATCTCAAGAAACCTCGCCCAAAGCCTACGTATATATCCCCTAGAAGCTTCAAAAACTTTAAAAAAGATGCATTTTTGGCTGACATATCAAGTGACCCTTGGTCTATATTCGACATATTCGAAGATAACGAAGGCAAACTCGACACCTTTAATTCATTATTTCATCAAATCCTTGATCAACGTGGACCCGTCAAAATTATTAGACAAAGAGCGAGACCAAATTCGTTTATTAATGACAACATTCGCAGCTTGATGAGGGCAAGAGATTGCTGACAACGACTAGCTAGACAAACAAACGACCCGGCTATTGGGTCAGGCTATCGGAATTTTAAACGTGAAGTCAAACGGGAAGTTCGACTCGCGCAAAGGGAATGTCTTCCGAGGAATGTCTTCGAAATTATTGGACTTTCTGAAATTATCCTTACTAGGAAACGACATTAACCCGGCTCAATCAGTCAAAGACGTTATCGTCTTGCATGTCGAAATTATCTCAAATAAGCCGTATTAGATTCGTTTTCGATGAACAACTGCTTGAAACCATAATAAACGCGCTTGTTTTCAGTAAACTATATTACTGTTCATCAGTATGGTCATCAGCCTCAGTCTGTGATATTCGTAAATTGCATTACGTTCAAAACTTAGCCGCGCGAAATAGATCTGCAACGTAAAGAAGTATGACTATATCTCTCCTGTATTAAGAAACTTACGTTGGCTCCCTGTAAAAACACAACTGTATCGCCGAGATGCTGCTTTTACATTTAAATGCATGACGGGTCAAGCTCCGGAATACTTTACATCTATGTATATAACAAGAGGCAGCGCGTATCTGGACGTATAACCAGAAACTTTCAACGACTAATCACTCCTCTTTTAAAACTGCAACAAGACAGAAAACGTTTATTACAAAAGTGTATCTATCTGGAACAAGTTAGATCCAAGCCTTAAATTATGTAAGAGTCCCGCTTCCTTTAGGAGAGCTCTAAAAAGTGACCTTTTGAATGAATTTTTAAACTGACCATATTTTATTTAAAGATATATAATTCGTATTATGTTGCATGTATTTTAATTTTGTAATCCAATTTGTTCACTGAAAAGCCCCAGATGGGGATGTGTTCAATAAATGTATGTAAATGTTATAACAATAACGTTTAGCAAAGTGGCGAACCTTTTTTTTTCGTCACAACAAAGGGTCAGTGTAAGGTAATTTGAATAAAAGGTGGGCGTGGTTTCTGAGCCGGTCTCCGTTTCAGACACTACGCCCACCTTTTATTTCAAATGACCTTACAGTGCCCTTTTTTCTGTTGCCAACATTTGTCTGTTGTAATATCTTAGCTTATTCAATTGGCAATATTTTTGGCGGTGAAATTCTTGCTAAAACATCTGGATCAAGTCCGTAAACATGTAAACTGTTTTTTTTAGCTCAGGCCTTTTTCGGTAGTGAGTTTGTATTATTTACCTTTGTACCGAATGACCGCTTTGATGTGTTTTGAGTTTGGTTTTATACTATATACATAAACTTACAGTCTTTCTTTCTAAACCAAGGTAACTTCTCGGCATTCAGTTAGATGAACAGGATTATCACATCTCATCGGTCTCCAAAACCTTTGTAATTCTTGGCGTATGTCTTTCTTCATGAGGGCATACACAACAAAATTCACAGCAGAATTAAGGTGCACTAACAACAAAGCTATAGTAACAACAAGACGACTGAGGTGGCACACATCAAAATTGAAGCAAAATGAAACATAGATACTAAGACTGTAACAAATTACAAACAATAAAATTACTAGTCCTAGAACTTCTGCTGATGCATTTCTTCTGGCCTTTTTAAGGCGTTGTGGAACACTTGAGGAGTGATTGAAAATTACTTGATCTATTTGTGTAGTTGATTGTCTGAGTTTTTCTCGGCAGATGTAAAAGATACGCCCATAAACAGTCACTAACATCACGCACGAGAAAACACCGAATAAAAGATCAATTACCATGCGATAGTACCTATCGATCGCTATGTCTACTCCACCGTAGAGCCAAAACAAACGGACAAATGCGGCAAGAAAGGAGGTGAACCAAGACATAGCTATCATCGCTGAAGCTCGCTTGAATGTCATTAGTGACATGTAACGCAATGGGTGTACAATCCCAACATATCTGTCTATAGCCATCGCCCACAAGTTTAGTGTGGAGGTGTAAAGCAGGAAGTTGTAAACTCCAATTTGTAATCGCCAGTCGCACTGAAATCCAAACGTACAAAGGATTCCAGTGGACGTTGTTATCAAGCCAATGCAAAAGTCCGCAATTGCCAAGGACAGCACAAACCAGTTGTTCGTGACGCGTAGGCGCCGTTTTGAAACGATCAAGAAGATGACGATGCCATTACCCACAATTGCTAGAAAAGCGATGATAACCTTGATGGTCCAATACCAAATTACTTGAGGCTCAATCAGATCATGTCCTAAATTATTTGAGTCGTTGCTTGAATGCGAAATGTTTTCCATGATCAAGAAGACGCCCACGCTCTTTATCTCAAAGATGGTGTCTAATCATATCGTTTCAGTCAAAACTGTCTGAGAATTCGTCCATTTGCTTTCAGCATCATTCAAGTCGCTTCACAGGTTTCTCTCTTCGTTGTTTTTGCCACCATTCAGTTCATTAGTTTCGACGATTGGTAGCTTCAATGTGCTCCCTATTCCTCTCGTTGTCGAGTCTCACGGTTGCAATATAGTAACTTGGTCGAACTGATTAAACCATCAAGTTACGTATAATCTATAAACGATGTAAACAAAACCCTTTTCAGGAGAGATGCTATCACGTAACTTACTTATCATATCATGTTTGCGTGAGGTCTTCTTAAAAAAAATGTTCGAAGTCATTTATTTTTTTAGGTGTCAGGAAATCACTCCCTATTCGTTCCCTATAAGGAAAAAAACTAGTATTATACTATTCTGCGTTCGATAGTTTTAAAAGCATAAAGTTTACCGTAGTGATTTCGAAGTAATAGAGATCAGGTATTGGCTTGTAGAGAGTCCTGATGGGTTATAGTCAAATTTGAATATAGGCAACTTTTATTCATGACATCATCCTCCCTCAATTTCCTCTTCCGGAACTGATTTGACTAGAATTCCATTTAAGAAATTATTCGTTAGCTATGTCAATGCTCAGAAGGCTTCACAACCGCTTATTCATTTGTTCTGACAACGAGATATTGTGTTCTCGATGAAAGTCCAATACTTTAAAGTGCGAGAACAACGAGATATTGAGACCGGCGTTGTTTTGACGAAAGCATAACAGAGTTATGGAGGCACTCAATCAGGGTCAAAGTAAGATCGACAAAGGACTAAAGTAATGTAACCTCGAAAAAATTCAAGGAAATATGCTTGTTACCAGTTGATAATACGCTCTCAGATTCAATGACTTTGAAGAGAACTGCAAGAACGAAACTTTTAAAAACTAACAATAACACGGGAAAAACTGCACGTCGGAAACGTCTCAAATATTTGGGTCTGGATAATGATGGATTCCGGGAGTAACAAATACACTATACAGGACAAGCCTTAGGATAATATAGAAATGATGTTTAAGTAAGTTGAAGTGTGTGAGATGTAGTTTGGTTTCCGGACGAGGTAAATTGTTCCCCATTCATTGAAAATAATTTACGGACTGAAAGGAATAGAGAGGTAAAGTTACTCTCTTAACTTTTCAGTCTTTCCTATATTCATCGATGGCAGTATAGAGATATACTTTATGGCTGCGATTTTACAAAACTGCCAATAACATCATATGCAGCCCAAGCTCGCAATAAGCCTCCGTAGCTCAAGGTTTTGTTTTTTGGTGCCCAGCGAGTTTTTCAGGCTGATTCAGGGCCGTTTAGCTCGGTTTTTGTTCATCTGCGTTGCCTTATATGTAATAAGGATCTTGAAGGGCAACCCGTGGTAATTCAAAAGCTACCTTTTGTTACAAAGCTCGAGTATTTTGAAGTTTTTACGGCGTGACGAAGATCTCGGCGGTCTGTCAGTGCTCAACAAGGTCCGTATTGATCGTAAACCACAAACGAATACCGAAAATAATGATTTAATCGAGTAATCCTTATTTACCTGGACACAAATTCCTTGTTGACCAGCTAAAGAAGTATGGAATATAGAAGTTTACAATTGACTTTGAAAGCCTCTTTATGGATGTGTTACTTCAACAAAGCATGGGGGTAGGTCAGTGTTAAATTCGGAAACAGAAGAGAGCGCTAACTTGCATTTCGCGTACACAAAAAAGAGGGGAAGGTCAGTGTACAATTAGAAACAGAAAAGAGAAACTGCTGACTGGACTGAACGAAAACTCCTTTTACACATAACAAACGAAATGGAAAAGGAGGAGTCAAATTTTCATGCGATTTAAGCAAAAAGATTAAAAAATGAACCGCAGAATGAGCTAGAATGAAAAGAGGCTATCGATCCGAAACTTAGCATCAAATAACCTTTATAATCAGCTGAACTTGCCAAATTTTTTTAGGCGAATTTGCATTTCAATTCATTATGTCCCGCCCTTATAGCATGGAAAATAATCCTAACATAACTCGCAGCGGAAATGACTCTTTTTCCTGATCGAAGAAAGCAAATTAGAAGCTAATGATTAAGTGTTACGGTTTCAGATTATCCTGTTCATCACTCTGTCGTTCACATCCCGAAGTTTTTAGTCCTTAAAGGTCGTTGTTTAACCTGTTAGTCTGAAGATTAACTCGGGTGACATAATATATATCCGATAGAAGTTTGCAATGATGTGACATCATGAAAAGAAATATCAATTTACTCAAGGCACTAACGAAGGTCAACTAGAAATGAAGAACAAGATCAGAGTTGTGTAAATACGAGCTCCATTTTTCATCGTTTTATTTTCTTTTTTCATATACGCCTCTTTAAAAAAATTATACGCGGATCACGATCAAATATACTTGTGCATTCAAGTCCTTTTCCAATTCTGAGTCAGAGCAAAGGAAGAAGGGCTTTCAATCGAAACGTCAGCTTTGAAACTCTTTACGGAGGCAAATTTACATTATCAACTCAGTTGATAAAATCAAATTATCTTTTATTCTACCCCATCGACTCAGCACCACAGTTTCTTTAGAAACTTTTCCCCTTAATTACTGAAGAAATGTAAAATGGTTTCCGTGTTTACATCAGGCCATGTAAACAAGGAAACCATTTTACATTTCTTTTATAAAATAACTAATGAAAGAGGAACGAAAACCGTGTTTACATACGCCCATGTAAAATGGTTTAATGGCCAATCAGAGCGCGCGTACTATTTGAATTATTTTATAAATTAGTATGCTAAACATCTTCCATCCTAAATTGATATAACACTTACTGTTACGAAAAAAGAGTGACGATATAATAAGTTAAAAGGTTACAACGTACCACTCGTATTTCCAGCTTGATTAAGAGAAAATTCTCTTGACTGAGACTGAAGATCTCTTGGGCTTCCACATCGACACAAGCGCTTCAATTCTCTGCGAATATCACTTTTCATGAACGCATACACCACTATATTAACGCACGAGTTACAGTGTACCAATAACAAAGAAATTAAACCGACTAAAGTGCTTACTGAGCGAAGTTGAAAATTTGAACAAAAAGAAATATAGATGTTTAAACTGTAGCACATAACAAATAAGAAAATCACTGATCCAAGAACCGCAATTGAAGTTGAATTTCTTCGAGGCCGTCGACGACGTTTTGATGAGATATTCTGTATGTCGCGATCTTCACTCTGACCGTGATTGAAGTTAATGTCTTTCATTTGTGAGGCTGTTTGTCTCGAGAGTTTGCGAGAAATGAACAATATGCGGATGTAAATGAATAACAGTACGACACACGAGAAAACGCCGAAGAAAAGATCAAGAGCAACTCGATAGTATTTGTCGATCTTTTTCAGAGCAGGGGAATCACTAAACAACCAAATTAGACGTGCAAACGGCGCAATAAGTGAGATTGCCCACGCCATGCTTATCATTGCAAAAACTCGTCTGCCTGTCATGAGTGATCTGTAACGCAAAGAATGTACAATCCCAACATATCTATCTATTGCCATTGCCCACAAATTTAACGTAGAGGCAAGGAGAAGAAAGTTGTAAAATGAGAACTGAAAACGCCAATCGCAACGATAGTAAAGCGTGCAAACAAGTTCACTCGGCGTTGTAAACAAACCGACCCAAAAATCGGCAACTGCCAGGGAGAGCACGAACCAGTTATTGCTTACACGTAGGCGTCGTTTGGATACAACGAAGTAGATGACAAGTCCATTCCCAGTGATACTTAACAATGCAATGATTCCCCTCAAAACCCAATACCAAACGTATGGTTGAATAGGATTAAATCCGCGCGTATGGTTTGCTGTTGTATTCGGCATGTCACTTTCTCTTCTATCTATCACAGGGGTTGTCTTTGTAATTTAAAGATATTACCAGTTTTTCTAAAAGAAACACACCTGTCAGCTGTGTGGCTTTTGGACGATTATCTAGAAGCTGTTTATGGGCGGTACAAACAGGTTTCGTCTTTCCTTGCTGTAACTACGTAATCTTGCGAAATAAATTTTCTTTCTTTTACTGTTGTCAGTACTCTATAATTTTAAAAACGTAACAATCAACTCGCTGTGCGCCAACTTGTGTTTAATTTGTTGTTTTAGGAAGTGTGGCGGCCCAAGTAAGCGGGCAATCCTTTTTAAAGACGAAAAGTTCTGAAACAAAGTCAGCGGTTTCAGTGTCACTCTAAATTAATGGTCAACTTGTGATTTTCTGACAAAGGTGACGAATAAGTCAATTCGTAATTTAAAAAAATAACTGGCCATTGACTCAGTGATCCGCTGGTAAACAGTTGACAATTTAAAATGAAAAGCCAAAGATTCACTAGGAACAAACAGTTGTGTCAGAAAAAAATATTAAATTTGCTTTTCTATTTCCTCCTTAACAGCCTTTTACGTCTGATTGGTCAAAGGATCAAGGATTAAATTACGTCGAGTAGGAAACCCAAGAACAAATCATTGACTTAAATGTCTTTATGTCAGTCAGGCAGATAAAAGCTGCGTTTATTCCTTATCTAACCTATTGTCCATGAGTCTCATTCGTATTTATTCAGATGAAGTTGGACCAACTCTTGATATTTTGAAAGAGAATAGGTAGGAAAACTTTCAAGTGTTCTCCGTAGCACCATTTATGTAACTCACAGGAAATAAATCTTAATAATGTTATAGATCCTTGTTTCTAATGCACGTATTCTGTAGATTGTCCTATTTTCAATGTTCTAAAATTGTGTTATTTGAATTATTAAAATTTGCACATGAATACAATTCAAATCTCGTTGTTTTCCCTTTGAGTTTAATTCATACTTTACCTAATTTCAAACTGAAATAACCATAATTAGGTTTTGCTCTTTACACAATCCCAGCACAAAAGAAATGATTTCCCGGTCTAGAACAAAGATATCACTCATTTGAGAAAGCATGCGCCGTTTTAGAGAAGAATAGCCATCCTCTCTTGCCATCGATCGACCGGATAACTACAAACATAATAATGCCGTTTAGAGTGGCTTTCCTTCTTCAGATTCTGTTCAGCTGTGGGGTTCGGCTTAGCTTCCCACGAATATAGTACTTGTGTCTCATAAGATAGACAAGATAGTTGATCATTTTCCTCATGGCAAACGTGCCTTTCTCGAATGAGTGAAAAGTAAACGATTTATGCACAGCTCATTTACCACCATAGTGTAAATCTAAACTTTAGATTTTGAATGTAGAAATATACGGGACCATCAGTTTTTCATGGCATGGTTTATTTAGCCACAGACAGACAAATATTAAAATTCATTTTAGTCCATGAGTGCGTAATGAGAGTGCCCATGGGTTTTGGGTATGCTATGTGAGTCTAAATAACGAATACTCCTTTTCCAACTTGGGAAATTGTGTTTCTTGGTTCTGCTTTGAAAGTCACTTTTGGTTAATTAAAAAACAGAGCGAACGTTTGATGATTGCCGCGTTGGAAATCTCCCTTTGCCTTTGTTTTCATTTCTGATGTTGATAATGTTTCGCTTTTGTTCGCTAATTTGTTTTTCAGTCGTCCAGCTGGCATATTATCACAAAAGACAAGCTTTCACTCGTTCATTTACGTGTATAAATTTGAAAAATAATTTTCTGCCGATGCAAAGACCCCCAGTATGACGTGCACAGTTTTTATCATGATCAAGCCAGATAGACTGATAGTCAACAAATGATTTTTCAAAGAACATTTTGACGTTCTATCTTTTGAATAATCTTTCTATTTACGTTTTGATAAGGTCAATGAGTTTTAATCAACAGCTTTGTTTCTTAAACTTGATTGTCCTGTTTTAGTCATGCGCATTCCGTTTCACTGATCGGTTTCAGCGACGCATTTAAACTTGTTTCACACCGGATGGACTAGCCTTCTCAGTACACCAACTCACCTGAACTTCGTTTTGAATTTTTGTTTCAGTTCCAGCGTCTTACCAACTCAATTGAAAAACTTGAACACTGTCTGTAATCTACAACCGTTTGGTTTAGTCTGATAACTTACGGCGGCTCTTAACTGAGTTAACTGCATGCACAAAGTTGCCAAAAATAAAAGAAAAACTCTGAGAGCTACGGGTTTGACTGGAAAGCGTCGAGTCAGTACGTAAGAATTGCTTACCTAAAAATAAGACTTCCTTCCATCGCTCTATTTACAGTCCCGTTTGAACTGGGCCAGCCTGGTTAGATACTGCCGATAAGGCAATAAAAAAGATAAATAATTCATCTGAAGTTAGGACAATAATGAATTCAATCTGGTGCGACTCAACATGGATTCATCGATGCCTGTCGTGTTCAAACCCATGGATATAGCAGTGTTTATTAACCAACAAAATACTTCCAAACAGTCAGGGAATCTCAAACTCTTCGCTTGCTTACCAAACTTTTCGTTTGGTAAGTATTAATGCTTTTTGTTTCCAGTTTGATATGATGGCCATCTTTGGCTGATTACTTGGGGTCTTGTGCGGAATACCGCTTTTTGAATGGTTTGCGGGCCTTATTGTCTCGAGATTCTTAAAAACGCGCTATGTCCAAGCCTGTAAAGTCAAGAATCAAGCATAGCGATATTCATCATCATGATCTTCATCTAAGATATTAATGCAATTGGTTGTGCGGGAACTTTCACTTTAAGAAAGTGCAAAACAAAAGAGCAATTTCCATAAAATTGTTTAATGTGCAAAAAGGCGGGTCGGTGTCAAGTGCGAAGATTCTTGTCTTCCTATTTGAGAAAATTTACGTGCGTGTTTCAATTTACTTGGCGCGTGCATTAAGTAAGTTGGAAAAAAAGTACCTCTTCTTTACATGACCAGCAAGTTAGAAACGCGAGAGACGTTGTGGTCAGCCGACTTCTGAAAGAATTAGAGAGCGCTGTTCTTTTTCAAAGTCGTATATTGTTGTTCGAGAGGGAGGAAATGGAGCAGTGCTGAATTTCTTGTTTTCAAGCTTGATATTTATATTGTTGGTGCACACTTTAGGGTTGGTAACGCACACAGAAACTGTCCGCTTCTGCACTAAGAAAACACACAAATCTTGTGTAATAAGGGCGGGGAGTCAAGAAGTTCTGAAACTTACGGATTTCATTCTTGCATCGAGTCTTATGTGCAGACTACTATGATAAAACCATATCTGAACGTCGGACGAACATTTAAATAAATTATAAAAACTTGATAAGTGGGTTTGAACAGAAGCTCTTTCCTTTTTTCGCCTTTTTTCCTGAGCGCGTATGTCTTTCCAAAAACTATGGTGTCAGAAAAACTTGATGACCGTTATCATATGTAACCAGAGCAAGGCAGATCTGTGGTGTTGGTCAAAAGAAGTTGGACCATAAGAGAACTACAGCATTCCCTCCCGTCATTTAGATCTTTAACGTTGTCCACAATAATATAAGCACATTTTTTTTCTATCGATGCGGAATCAAAATTAGTCGCTTAATGGGGAAATTTCGACTGACAGGTAGTGAAGTCTTAAATGAATTGTCACCATGTGCATTGCGCTGAGTTGGGGTGTGTTCAGTTGTGTTATGATGGTCCATTCCGATCCTTATTATACAAGGCACACAACTCGACATAATGGTGAGGATCAAAATGGGCCGATGCTAACTAAAAAGAGAGCCACATCTCGTTCAAGTAGTTACCCTTAAGTATTTGATTCATCGTGTGAAAAAGATAAGCAGTACAGCAGTTAACACATGACGATTAACATTTGATGTAATAGTGTCTTTTCAACGTGAGGCAAACTGGGTGAAAAGTTCGTTTAAGAGTTACATAAAAACAGTAAGAAAACCAAACAGCCAACTATCGCAGAACGTTTTTTACATTTATGAAATCTTCAAATAAAGAGACGGAGATTGTTCCACAACTCCTATGCATGTGATAACTGAAACTGTTTAATCCTTCAGCTTATAAGCGTCCAGAAAGATCGTCATTTGCTGAAATTAAACAAATCTTATTAGGAAAATTAAGTGCTAAAAGTATAAGGTTTGAAGTACAGCGAAGTCAAACCAACATGACTACAGAAATGGCGCAGACGAGGGTAGTGGGGGGGAAGTGGGTTCCCAATGGCTTCCGGGGTAAATGTAACCCCCGCCCCCCTACTTTTGAAACCTTACATCTTAATTGTTCAAGCGATAAATCAAAGAACCTGTCAAGAATAAAAATGCCAGTAACACGCTAATGTAAAAAATACTATTGGAATATATAACAGACATCTTTAAATGTTCACCAAGGGGCGGTAAAATTTGATTTTTGGTGTGAAGGTGTCAGTTAAACGACGTTTGAGTAAGCAAACCACATATTGACTGTTCATTGGGCAAACTAAAGTGGCCTTTAAAACGGTGTCATCTATTCCACCACGTGATCTCTAGAATAGATGCACTGAGGCAAATTTTGTTCTTCCAAACCAATACGCGTTCCTCAAGGGAAACCCCCTCTAAATTTGATCGGAAACTGTAGTGCGATAATATGTATCCAGAAACGTACGAAAGATACTGCGCTTCTGCTTAAGAAAAAAATGGTAGGAAGTTTTTGATACGACGTTGTTGAAAGAAATGAGAAAGGATTTAGGTTTACCCCTCACACATGATTTCCCATCATCTTCCAGAGGAATGTATCCTCGAGGACAATGCCAAACACAATACAGTCTGCCACCTCGCACAACACTGAAAAGGCCCTCCTTACACTGCTTACATTCTCGGCGACTAAGGCATTTCTGACAGTTATACGGGCACCCTTAAAACATAAACAAAAATCCAAAAAATTAGTATCAAGCTTTGACGTTATGTAGTTAAGGAAAGAGAAAGATATGTTTGTGCGGTTAGAATATTTAACGTACGGTGTGAAAAAATCTGTCTAACAGGTAACAAGAAATAGCCTTCAAAGCAGCTACCCATCCCATTCCTTTTTGTTTCCCATTTGTCATTATCTTGCTTATATTTTCCTGCCAAACTTTATTGTTATTATTATTGTTGTTAATACTTACGTCCACAAAGCTTTGGTTTCCCCTCTCTCATAATCTCAAAATATCCTGTAGGACATTTTTGTCGACAATGAAAGTCTCTCCTGATACGAACTCGATACCAACCATCCTGGCAGTGCGAACAAGTTTCGTCCAAGCAACCACGTGTGTCTAAGTATCCGAGTAGAAACATAAATTTCAAAAGGCGCGAAGAGGTCGAATATTCTTCATTAAGGTGCTGGTACCTTTGTAAAACACCTTTTACATCATTTATTTCTTTATTCATTTTTGGCTGTGGAGGGGGGAAGTCTTATTAAATGCGTCTTTGATGTCAACAAACTAATTTCAGAGAGACCAGTCAAGCTATCTTATTTTGCTGCTCTATCTCCTACTTCAAAGGGAAAACTCAGTTCTAGTCCCTAGTTGGTAACAATTAGTTACCCTCTGATAAGACAGAAGAAAGCGACCTGCAATGGCGCTGTTTTTAATTTTTTTTATGTGCATGGCCAAATATATATACGCAAAACCAACTTCAAGCTTATAGAAATGCATTTTTATCGTATTATTATATATATATATATATATATTATTTCATTTCATATAATATTTTGTTATAGTTTTAGTAGTGCTGTTCACCGTTTTTTTACCCTTTTACGTATCGGCAGGAGATGACAGGTTTGAGGAGTGTGGACACGGTGCACGTAGAATCCTAATTCAAAACATAAATATCTCTTAAGATGATTTAATATCACTCTGGTTTTGAGGAATCCGTGGAGGATCAGGAAAAAGCCGATATCGTTTAGCGAATTTTTACACTGAGGCATTTCCTCCTGTTATGATTCGTTATGTGGACAGATGACATTATTCACGAGCGACAGGAACTCATCTCCTGTGAGAGATCATTTAAAGAATTTATAGGTAAAATTGAGAAGTAAGGATTAAGCCTTAAGATAAAGCGGTCCATCTCGGTAATAACCTATTCCTCGCTTACCTTTGTTGCACACATTACCAGACTCCAGACTATAACCAGCAAGAAATCCAGCTGGACAACTAAGTAAGCACTTGGAAAACACATCCTTGATAAGGTAAAAGTCACTTTCACAAACATCACAATTGTAAGAATCTTGACAACTTTTGCAATTCGCCCTGCACACTAGACCGAACAGAGAGAGAGAGAGGGAGAGATTATTTTTCATAATCTTCTTTTCTATCCGTTAACCTATTAAATTACGGCGTACGACTTGCAAAAGAAATTTTCCTCTCCATGCATATAGCCCATAACATCCTTCTCGTGTGGGGGGGTAGGGGGTATGGGGGGGTAGGGGGGGGGGGGAGGGGGGGGGGGTGGGGGGAATAATCCTTCGCAGAAGAAACCCCAAATTAATTTATAGCTAACCGCCTTTCCTAAGAACAAGACGTAACTAAGAAATCAGGGTTAAATCAACGCATAATGTTTCTTACTTTCACAGTAAGGCTGACCGCTGTACATGTCTTCTTTTCTGAAGAACCCGGACGGACAGTTGGACAGACACTTTGTTCCTTGTTTGTACTGTAGAACCCAACCATCTTTACAACGAGAACAAAAGAAGTCTTCGCACATTTCTGTAAGTTAAGATTAAAAATATCGCTGATAGAACTATTGTTTAATACTAGTGTAGAAGATATACCTTTAATGAATTTCAAGACGAACAACTGTATTGCTTACCTGGCCTGCATTTGGTCCCGTGTTTCACGAAACCCGCGGGACAAGAAGCCACGCATTGAACCTTGGCACCAGTCCCTTGCTGCATAAGTAGATACCCGTCTTCACATCTGTCGCAGATATCATCGAACTGCTCCTCACACTGGGAACAATGCGGTATCCTACTGCATCCTATTTATAACCAAGGGACAGAAAATTGGGTCATTCGTACAAGTAAACGATTTGGAAGAAGATGAATCGTCCTTTAATATTCTATGATCTAAAATTCATGAATCCAATTATTATATTTTTAGGGTCGGTTATTGGGATGAAGATTAACTTGGGCCGCGGTTTTAGACAAAGGAACCACGAGAATTCTCGCTTAATAAGTTTTTTTTTCAAATGCTCTCTATTGGCCGTCTTGACAATGGCCATAAATATAGATTTCAGACAAAACATTTGGCTAAATTGAAGACGGTCTATACGGAGTTCGTAAACCAAAAGATGATGTGTGTTTCAATAACCACCCTTGAGATTTGTGTCTTACAGCTTGATACTTGCTATGTTATAAAAGAGGATTATCTTGACGTTTTTCAGAGAAGGGTTTTCCTGAGAGTGTCAGTTGATGAAATCATGACGTTTCTACCTTCAGTAGTTCTACAGATGACACCGTTGTCCTCAGTCTGTATCGCAGTGAAGTCGTCTGGACAGCTTTCTACACAGCTTGCACCCCAATAACTTTCAAGCAAAGTAAAGCCATCCTGGCATCTATGGCATGTTCTATGGTCGAGACACGAGGCACAATTTGGAACGTTTACACTGCAAACTGAAATACGATAAGAGCAACATTGCGTAATTACGCCTGGCGATTCCAATCTAAAATTTAAGTACTAAGTAAAAAAAGGAAACAGGACTAGATTTCGTCTCTGCAAATTTAGACATTGAACCTTTTTGTGATGATAAACTTCAAACTTCTTCGCTATTTGCTGCGTAGAAGCAAACAGCCACTCCCAAAGTTACATGGCTTCCCTTGGTGCGATCTTTTAATGCTTACTTGGGGTGTATGTTTTACTTATCTCATTTAATTTATTTTTTTTTTTTTTTTCACTATGGCAGATGGAAGCAAAGATTCAAGAGGAGTAAGTGAAAGACTACTTAAGAAGGTAGAAATGGATAAATGTGCCTATGTTCATTCGTCTATCAATGATTTCAAAATCCTAAAAACATGATATAGGTTTTATGCTCGAGTCACCAATTTATTAGAAATGTCATTACTTTTCGAAACAGTTTGGTACTAACAGTTCATTTTGATCATATAGACTCCTTTAAACCGCTATTTTAAGTAAGCCAATAAATGGTTTAAACAACTGACCCGTATGAGACATTGGAACCGTCTCGTGTAGGCCATTTACCTCTTCACCAAGATTATTTGGCAAATAATTGTTTTAAAAAATGATCTCAATTTTACAGATTTTTCTAGAGCAATGGGTGTGTTTACTGGAGATATATCAATAACCGAAAGACCCGTGATTGCCGCTGAGGTCAAGTGAAATGACACAGACAAGGATAATGAGTAGAATCAAAACTGTGGTGATGAGAAGTGAATTTCCTCTGTGTGTTGTGGTTCTCTACCAACTAAGTGTTCAAAAGGCCTTGAGACGGTTTGATAGGGAAAATTACATACTGCAGAGGGTTATATTATAACTTTTTAAAAGTAGGAGATCTTTCTCCAACGGTTTCCGGGAGAATTCGGTTTAATTTCAGGTGAAAACTATTTGATGCACACATGGTTCTCTAGCCTTGACCCAAAAGAAGAATGACCTCCTGTGGTTTTTCAATATCTTCCAAAGAAACGGGAAAGGGCTTGTCAGCCGTCCGTCGGTGACAAATACCTCCATGAACCAGTTGCCAACATCAAGGGAAAAAAAAGCCAAAAAAAAACCGAACCTGAAGAAAACTTAAATCTAACATATTTACAGCGAGAACTGCAAGGAGCAAGTCAAATATTACTTTTTAACGGACTTTAAGAGAAAATTGAATCCTACAGAAGGAAATCATCTTGTCGACGAATTAGCCTCAAAGATATGGAACGAACCTTCTAGATGATTTTTATTGACGACACTTAATACTTGAGAGGTTTATATCTCTTACCTTGATTGTTCAAGAGCAAAGAAGGCAGGTGTGTTTCTCTGGACTCACTTTTCATGTTTTCCATAGCTGCTACTGGTCTTTTTGCAAAGAAACTGGCCCAGAGGAGACATATAATAAGAGCCCTTCCTTCCATGTTGGCGGTGTTGGTTCTTTGCCCTCTTTGTCTTTAAAAGATATGATTTTTTGAACTGCGTAACCTCCCTGCCTCTGCACTGAAGATGATATTGTCAAACGGACAGCGGGCACATCTCTTAAGTAAGAGGGGTTAGCAGCTATCTATTACGTGCTTATCACATCCTCTTGTCAAGCATAATAACATTAGTGTCAATGTGGTTAATTAAAACTGGCGCCGAGAAGCGCATCGTTCTTCCTTTTTCAAAATTGTGTTTATAAAATTTTACTTATGAAGTATACTCATCGAGAAAACTTTTTTGTGGCACAAAGCAATATGCAATCATAATTAACACTTTCTTGAGACCATTTTTAATTTCATGTGTTTTGATGAAATCCTGAGCATTAGAAATCTGGTGGTGTCATATTTTTTTCTAGATAATTCATTCTTGACGTCAAACAAAATTATGGTTGATAACCCAAGAAAATTATTGACAGATATCACAATTCTGATTTTACGATGGTGTAGATAAATAAAACCATCGGTGATTACTGTTAACTAAGGTTAATAAGAATTTCTTAACTGCGCTGAAAATCGAGATTTATTGAGTCAGGCATGCTAGACAAACACGGTTCAAACAGCTTGACTCAGCTACTTACGTTTCGCATAAAGCCTAACTTAAATAAAGAGTATTGATTCAGCGCTAGAAAGTACTAGCCTTTGTTTAATTTGACAGTTCCTCCCGGCCGATTGTAGTCAGCTTCCAAAACCTTTTAGTCTGTGACACGATTCTCGAAAGAGCCAATTATAAACTGTCAAGTAAACGAGATCTGGCTGGATATAAAAGACTAACCCTTTGTTCAGCTCCTTCCTCGATCACATTGACTCGTCTTTGTCTTCGATGATTGTACGGGAAAAAAATTGCCTTATAGATCAGTTTACTGAAAAATATACTCCCAAAAATCATATGTTTACAATTACATTTATCTTTTAAATCTGAGAAATTGCTATTTGTTCTATACTGTTACTACATAATTCACTCATCTTTTTCTTTTCTTGGTCAGTTCTATTTTTTCTCAGTTGTTTGTTCTTAGTGTGTAAACCTTCCATTATAGATTGTTCGGGTTTGTTTTGTTGTGCTATTGTTGATGGTATTGTTTTGTTCCTTCAGACAGTGGGAAGTATATTGTCATTTCTATAAAGCTTTCAGAACCCACTGTTTAAATTGGGATGTCATAATTTTATCGGCTGGCAATATAAGCGACTTTTTTATAAATCATAACGAAGAAACAATTGACTGGTTTAACACAAATCGGAACTTGACTATAGTGGTTTTGCATTTAAGATGAGGTTTTTGAGGTTACACACGTAAGTCAGACAACACTGACGCAAAAGCAAACGCAGTTTTTAACACTATTAAATACAATGCTTTTATGAATTTTTTTTTTCTGAGTAATCCCTTGAAATTTGCATGTTGGAAAATCGTATTTTCCCCGTCTGATATCAATAATTATCCAACTGAGTGCTCTTCTGGCGTTGTAACATTGTTCCAGCCGATGCACTGATCTCTCCAGCCGATTATTAAAAAAAAGGAAAAAAAAAACACCCGACAAAACAAACAAACAAAAAAACAACAATTAGAACTAAAAAGATTTGTCCGCAGAAAGATTTGTCTGCTGGAAAGATTTGTCTGCAGCAAGAAATGTGAAACGCACGATAAAGTGATTTTAAAATTCGAAGTGTTTTTAAGGGACATTTGCACCATACCTGCGTTATGACATGATTTTATTCAACTTGATCCCTTCATTTGTTGCACTCAGTAGGAAATATGCTATTAGGAGTAGCTTTTGAGTGAACGCACTCATCATATATTTCTGCTCAATCTCAATTTAATTAGCCTTTTTCGCTTTATAAAAACTCTCGCTTTTGAGATGAGAGCACATGAAAAACCAATCCTGCAAAAATACTTTTTATTTGATTGAGAGTGATAAATTATTTCCACGTTGAAGGCTTTGTACTCGCCCTCTTTTTAAGAAAGAGGCTTTGGAAATGTAAGGATGACTTGAACCAATTGACTGGTCTTGTGAGTCGCATCATCATCCCAGTACCTTCAAAATCTTGGATCATCGAGAGCCCTAGAACGTCAACCCAAAAAGCCCTTAAAATGTTTCAAAACACGAATCTGGCTTTTACAGTTTGTGTACAGCTCCCTGGCCCCCTTCATTGCAAATTTTTTCTGAGGGATGGAGGCGGCTGTACATAGGCTTGGCTTTATTAGTTTCAGCCTGTCTTCAAAGGATGCACTGATCTCTCCTGAATATTAAAAAATTTTTCGTCACCTGCACATGCAGTAAGTTACATCACACATTCTGGTGTTTCTTTGGTTCCTTTAATTGTTTGCTAACTTTTCCTCATCACTTAGTAGTGGAACATTGATATAACTTACCGATTCTCTTTTACTATTTGCGTTTATTTGTTGCCTCTGGTTATTATTCATGTATTTGATTTTCTGCTTCTAGTTTAATTTCATTCTTTTACCATGGTTAGCATTTGGCAGGAGAATTATCAAGGTAAGAGCATTAACCCCTCACAGGTTCCGCTTAAAATCACAGATAAACAATTCAATTTTTATGCGGAACTGTTACCGTTAAGTTTCACAGTTCGAGAAACGGGTAAATGAGTAGAATCCACCCGCTATCATAGAGGTGCAAGTCTATTTACGGTTATTTTAGAACAAATTAAATCATTTCTGCATGAAATTGCAGTCTTTTGGTTCATTTTTAAACGAACCATTTCGTGCAAACGTACGGTTAATTGATACACGACCTTCTCAAAAAAAAAACAAAACAAAACAAAAAACAACCTCCCAGAAAACGTTGTATTTTCCACTTTTCAAAGTGACTCATTGATAAACTAACTATGGAGATCAGTGCGTAATAAAAGACAATCAATACAGGTTATGATGATAAAGATAATCAACCCATATTCATCACCAGAGGCAGATCCACAGGGATAGTACCTCTCCCTCACCTCCCTCCCCCTATGAGACCTGTGTGTTTATTTTATTACTTGTCTGACACCAAAATTCTTTTCACGACACGATCATATATTATTATAAGTGGGACGGATTTTATTTCTTTTCCTACAGAGGAGAAGAGATGTGGGTTATGGTGGGTCGAGAGGTCATTTTGGATTCCCTATCAAAAATTCCAATATCCGCCCCTAATCACCGAGTGTTTAGGCATTAAAGAAGGTTTAAACTCCTGAGTAGCTCCTCGCTTTTATTACCACCTGTCACTATGTTGTCGGTATACAACTGATCCACTAATAGTTACGTTACTGCATCCTAATCATACAAAATCCTGAGAGGAGCTATTCTTGCTCAACACATTGTGCTTGTTTGAGAAGGACTCTCCCCTCAATCGTCGAAGTTTCTCCGTATTGTGAAGCAATGATGATTGCATGTACATAAGTTATTAGAAAAAAAAGGCAAAACTTTTGACCCCTCAAGATACTTTTTCAGAAGAAACAGCTAACCTTACCACCAGTGACATTCAAGGAATTAAACGTTTAAGGAAGACTGCGGCATATCATATTATACAGTATTTAAAGAACCAAGCTTCATTAGACTTTTCTATGTCATGGTCGTTTTGGTCCTCGTTGTTATTGTTTATGATATCGGTTTGATACTTCAAGTTTACGAAGATACTCAAATTAATGTTTGCATGTCTGTTCAACGCGTTCAATTATTTCATAAAAGACCTGTTTCCTTACCTTACAAGGACGAGTCAATTAGAATTTCTCGAAATAGCAAGTCTGGGTTATAAAGAAGAATAGTTTAGCATCTCCTATGATGGCCGGTAAGTGGAAGGGGAGAGGGTCGTGGAGTAGGAGGTCAGCTTGGTCCCACAGCTTAAATGCTTTATCACTAACAATAAAATTGCTAAATTTTCATTTGGTAATTCTTTTCTCTCTTAACATGGTTTAGCTGACTAAATGGGAATTCTAGGCTGACCGGACATTCAGCGAATTAGAAGCGAGTGCGGAGAGTCATACAACTCAAATATCCCGAGGTAACTTTACTATTGTTTATCTCTCGAATATCACTGGAAAGAGTTCTAAACAAATTTTAAAACAGACTGTACACATGCATGTACTCAGGTACATCTCCTCTAAACTAGTTGTAAATAACCAGCAAACCAAACTCCTATTTTAGCAGCGATTTGACTGGACACGCATGTTCCTTTTTTCATGTTTATTTATAGGACTGATGTCATCACAATAGCGTCAGCTTGATCACGTGATCCTGTATCGGAATAAGGGAAAATACAACTCAGATTGGAGAGAGGTATGGAATCATTTCGAAAAATTAAATGAAGTCTAGTTAAAAAAAGATCGCGAACTACGTTTGAGGACCATGCAGCCGTAATAGAGTATAAGAAATAGCTAACCTTCAAAACTTAACTTTGAATAATAATTATACAGTTGGGATAGCACCTTTTTGCGCCTCACTCGGTAATATGCCCACACAGTGAGCGATAAGGATCTTAAGAGTGTGCCCTTTGCCAAAGGCTTCGTTGGCAAACAAACCTTTTAAAAGTACATACTCTTCCAGTTTTGACGTTACCATGACTCGCATAGCCAAAGGGGCAGCTTGTCACGCAAGACGTGTGCAGACCCTGGACAAGTTTAAAAGTTCCTGGATCACACTTGCCGCAGTCAAAACCGTTCATACATTCTTCACATCGGGCCAGGCATCCTATGGCAAATAACGTAGCAAAAGGAGAGAATAAGATCTTGATAGTCGACAGTCTAGCTTAAAACAACCAAATTTTTTTCTCAAAGCCTATTTTGGTTTCAGTACCTCCCTTTTATTTCAATAATTTACTTCGTTCTTAATGTATGATTTTTATGAAATACGTTTTTAAGCTACAATCTGCCCTCTTTAAAATCATCCGGCTGCGAGGTAGTGAGGTTAAGAGATCCAGTTGGCCAATCTTCCGAGTGCTTTCACATCAAAAACTTCTCCTTTATAACAACCGGCTTTAAAGTGAAGGACAAACTCAAGGGTTTTGTTTTCCTTAATTTTCAGAAACTTCGACGCATGGTCATCTCTTCTTGAACCAATTTCTATGCAATTGCTTAGGAACTGGCTTACTATCTTGTTATTGTACTTACGGAGACAGAATTTCTGTTTTTCTCCAAGAATGTAAAAGCCTTTGGGACACTTGCGCTGACAATGTCTTTTATTGTAATTAACGCGATACCAACCATCCTTGCATGTCAAACAATACTCGCCAGAACATCCGTCTAAAAGATGATAGAAGTGAGGGAGTTGAAGTCTTTGTAAATGAAATGGGCAATTGGAGTCGGGTATAGCTGGAATCACGGTGAAATAAAAGGATCTAAGTATCTGGCTCCCATCCAAATGGGTTATAAGTACAAGTGGTTGCTTTGGAAACATGGCGAGCAAGACAGCTGCATGCAAACCTAGTTACCAATAAAACACAACTACATTGAAATACTCATCACTTTGATCTCAGTTACCTTCCCTTATACGTTGGCATCTCCTTCCTTTCCTTTTAAACCCTGCTGGGCACAACGAAACACATTTTGCGTGGGACAACGGATTTGTTTTGAGCTTGTAAAACTTTGGCTTACATCTGCGGCAATTGATCTTGTCAGGGCATCTCTCACAGTTTGAAATTGATCGGCACTCTATCCACGCCAAGGAAAAAAAAGAGAAGAAATGCTTACCATACGTAAGGTGACCTGGGTTCATATTTAAAGCCCATTTGATCTGGTTTAGTGAATTTAAAATTCATCAAGCTGATGTGATTTTATACCAAACGCTGAACAGGCTGATTTAGCATTATCAACTTAGTTGATAACGTAAATGAACCACCGTCAAGCTGACGTTTCGAGGGTTAGCCCTTCGTCAGAGCGGTATACGACGGGTTAACGTTCGAAACGTCAGCTTTAAAACTCTTTACGGAGGCCAATTTACATTATCAACTCAGTTGATAATACAAAATTACCCTGTTATACTCTACCACCGACGCAGCACCACAGTTACAGTACAAACATATACAATGAAAAACACCAAGTTATCATATGTAAGTTTATTCCTCAGTATTGCTGATGTACAGAGTTAACTCAATTGATTGTACTTTCTATACGTAAATTCTCGTAAGAATTCAGGCAGCGTAATGCTGGGAGAAGATGAGTTTCTCAAGTGTTCTCCAAACCACCGCTGTGGGTCGTTGGGTCGGTTAACGCATATTAAGTGAAACTGTAGAACAAACAATTTGTCTTTAAATAAATCAAAGTGCACCGAGTATCTCAATTATTTCATTAAAATGTTTAATTGTTTTGGTGTTAATTAAAGTTCATTATTTTCATTTCATTGTTGACATTGACAGAATCAGTCGAGGTTTCAAATCTTATTGAGAGCTTATCTTATCAAAGACGATCCGATTTTGTCACTTACCGACAAGTGGCCTTTTACAGTACTTTCCGAAATAGTGGGAGTCGGCGGATACGAAGCCCCTCGGACAGTTCTGAATACAAGCCATGCCGCTTTTGTTGAAGAAGACATGCAGATCACTCCTGCACTTTCGGCAGCGTACGCTATCTAGGCACGTAGCACATTTAGGCACAAACGATTGGCATTCTGAAAATAGGCAAATTGAATTAACGCGTGTTTCTGCACGGTTTTTGAAGAACGCAATATGGTGACGCAATCTATTGAGAGACTCATCTTACGATCACTAACGTTTTACATCTCTCCAGTCCAAAAGATAAATTCAGTAATTAAGGGAGAAGTGTGGTTCGGAAACCTTACAAATGAAATATTCGCCATTAAATTGTATATCTAAAATTATGACACTTGACCACGATAATGATACCTCATGGTAAAATTTAGAGATGCAGTCACTGTCTTCGGGTTTTGTGTGTCCTCTTAGGATTGTAAGCGAGTTCTTTGGAAATTAAAAGAAAGTTTTCGATCCTTTTGCTTATAATTTGGAATATCAAAACGTTAAGTAGGTAAGCAGCAAAACGGAGGAGATAAAAATCATATGGTTCCTGGCGCATACCGATCTCCTGTATGAAAAGCATCATGTAACGTTGGCTCATGTGCTGCCTTCCTCTTCTTCTAAATATTCCTCTTCTTTCTCTTTTTTATTGATATTGACAATTTGGAAATCAGAAAATTGAGAGCTGTACTAAAACAACAGAACTTTTTTCGAGAGTTTTTGGGCATAACTTGTGCAACCCCGCTTTGCCAACCCCCAAGGACAAACTACCAACCTACAACTAACTAATAACTTTATCACTCTTACTTGACTGTGTATCTTTGCAAATCATCTTCCCATCAGTGTTCAGGTTCGGGGTGAAGCCATCTGGACACTGTTTCACGCATTTCACGTTTCCCATAACCCTTTTTTGCACTGAATAGTATCCCTGAGTGCAGTTCACGCAGCTAACTGGGTTGTGAGGTTCACAGTCTTCACAATGTCGTGCAGAACAACCTTGAACATCAGAACAACGACTTTTCTTAAATAGCAGGGCAATGAATTTTCAAGGAGATAAAGGGCTTTGGTTATCATCAATTTTAACTGAGGAGCGATCACCTTCGAGGCTGAAAACTTGCCATTGGCAATAGACGCTTTTATTTGCGTTGTTTGCATTCATATCATTAGCAATCGAAAGGGGGCTGGGATTGTGTCTGTTTAAATTTAATCCTCCGTTCCAGGTATTTAATGACCTATACACGTGATATCAACCCCTTATTCACGTGACTGGTTTACGCGTGACTTTTTATCTGGTATATTTCACCAAGCGATAATAATGTAATAATTTAACTGCCCACTTGATTCACCGTTTCAGCAACAAGAACTGAACCACGATAACTGCAACCTGTACAGCAAGAAAAGCAACACATAGAGACAAGACATGATATCCTCTCTTGATATAGATGCACCATCGTCTCTGTGCCCAAGTAATATCAGATAAACCGCTTTGCAGGAAGTTGTTTGAGGCTCAAGAAATGATATTGGTATGCCTCTGATCCAACTTACCAAATTGTGTTCTAACACAAATCTTGGGATATTCCCTTGTAGATGTGACATTGTAGCCTGGAGGACAGGAGCGGCTGCACCTTATGATCTTCTTTTTGTTCCTTTCGTACTCCACAGGGGTAAAAATTGGTCTGCATTTGTTGCAAATAAGCCCATTGCTGCATTTTTCACATCCAGGAATGAAACCACACCCTAATTTGAGCCAAGAAAATGAAATGTGAATAGACATGCACTTGAGAATGGGTCTCTGCTCAGGTGGTTTCTTTGCCTTTGGTTTCGCGCTGCCGTGTAAAATGATCACGATCTTGTTTACCGGAGTGTTATCTAGGCAATCATTACGCATGCGCCCAGCAATGTACACGCAGGAGACACAGAGCGAAAACATGGCGATCGTGTGTCTTAAGTGTTTAAGAATTCAAAACATTCGTTCGTATTCCTCTGGTATGCCCCAGTGTTATCGGAATGAGCTCTCACTCGCTGCGCGTAAATGAAACGTGTCCGGTATAATTGAGAACTGTTTAGTAGAACCTCTTCCCAGTCCATTTCCGGAAAAAAAAGATTTGATCGATTATCTATCTTTTGATATGGATCAACATCTTGCAATTAAAACAAACTGCTACCGTTTAGAATGGCAATTAATCTTTCTCGTTTTGAACTTGTCTCCGTGAGTGCAATTGACATTCCTGCACTATCTGAAAGTTATGAAAATATTATTTCTTGGATATGTTTTCCATGCCTAAAATTCCAATGATTAGACCTACTTACAAACTCTTGGCGAATTCAGCACGTAGTTTCAAAACTGTTCAGTAACAGCCAAAGGATCTAGTGGAACAGATCCATTGTTTAAATAAGAGTAATGCTTGAATTCTAGCAGCAAAACTCAATATGACAAGACTCCAATCTGTTCATAGTCTGCGTTACGGAAAAAAAAAAAGCATCTAACTTCTTCGAATGGCTATGCAAAGAATAACAAAAACAATGCATTTGCTGCCAAAAACGAACAAGCCTGTTCAGACTGAGCACAGTTTAATTAAGAGGGATTAGAGGCAATGCACTTGTGTTAAAATATATGAGCTTTTCATTGCCCGTTTACACGAATATTCGTACGGCTGTAGAAGGGGCTCCTTACTTGAAAAATGCCGCCCGCCTGTATTACTCTTTATCAGCTTCTTAGCACGCACAAATACTTTTTGCAAAGAAAAGTCTTAAAGCATATTTTAACTTTGCGAACATGCTAAAATTGTATTAGAATTGCGCCATGTTCTGGCAAAACTCACTGAAGTAAGAGGAGATATTCTTGCAATTTTGAAAAGAACTTCCAGTGAACGGTTTAGTCTTGAGCTATCGAATAACAAGAAGCAGCGGTTTAAAGTGGGTAAGATTTTCCAGAGGTTCAATTCCAAACGGTTCTAAAGGACTGTCTGGGAAACTAAGCGAAAGTGACCTGACTACACTACGCTAATCTTAAAAAAAAACCGCATTTATTTTATGTAAATAAAGTGGAAATCCGATTAAGCTAATCGAGGTGTCTCACGATCTATTCTAGAAACGTAGGCTTTATTTTTGAAAATTCTCTAAGGAAAAAAGCAACAGATAAATCGATATCTAAAGAGCAGAGTATTTAAAAAATCCTTGGGAATAGCAAAATACAGTACTTTGAAGAAATACCGAAGAAAAATGCGGAGGGGTCACTTAAGCAAAGTTATGGAAGTAGTGTCAAGTAAAACGTTCTTACTTAAGATCTCGTGACCATTGCTACAACCGTAATAAACATGGCGAAGTACTAAGATGTTCCCAGACATCATATAGCTAGGGTGGAGCTTGGCCAAAATGTAGAAAACCCTTGACAAATATTCTTTATTTCAAGTCATTAAATCTAATCTTTTTCCTGAGATAGAGGATCACTAGGTGAAAAATGGTGCGTGAAAGCAATTTTATCCATTGAGTAAAGTCCATATTTGCGGTTGACTATGAAGCCCCAGAAAGGTTTATATAAATCAGTCCGGATCAAAAATGAAGTTGCCAAGATTCTTGCAAGTATTCTAGTTCACAATGGTTCAAAGTATTCTGTAAATTTGTCTGAAAGCTTTCTCGGGGAAAACATGATTTCTAGGCTAACACTACGAAGATAGCATCCACGAATATGTGAAGTTCAAAGTCTCAAAGTGAAGTTCACCAGGAACGTGTTTTGGGTTTAATCCATACGGATAAGGTATAACCTCAGATAAGACTCCGGTGGGTTGAGCATGTTAGTTGTTTTAGTGAAATAGAATGTGAAATTCAAGACTGAAGGTAAGCAATACACAAGAGCCAGTCTTACCGCCCCATAGCCATCGTTTCTCTCTGTGCTTTGGTGGGTCAGCTTTTTCCAACGAAGTCTCCAAATCTTCCTTTCCATAAACGACCGGATGGCGAAGACAGGTCAATCCAGCGACAAAAAACAAAATGGTTATTTGGAATAGTAGCATGGCTGAAGGTAACTCTCCTTTGCTCTATACCGATTTCAGCACCTTCAGCCTTCGGGATCAAGTAGAAGGCGCAGACTTTCTCCTAGCCGGTCGCTCGGCTTTAATCCAAGTGAACAGTATCCTTCGCATTGAAGGCACTTATTGACACAAATTCTAGATAAGCTTTCAAGAGCTCGAATAACTGACAAATTGAATTAAGAAAAAAACAATAGTAAAAAAAAGGTCTATCGTCAGAAGAGAGAAATTAACGTAAGAAAGCAGCCCAGAATAGAACAAGTTTGATGTTTAAAATAAAGACTTTAAGATCGTCGCGCCAATTTTCTTCCTCGAGCTCTTTATCGCAGAGATGCTTTGCTACAACGCAACATTGGCCACATCCTGGGCAAACGCGTAACTGAAGTAGTCTAGTTCACACACAGGAGATGGATAAGCAAGACCGAAAACCCTAATCAAAAACCACTCAATAAAAAAAAAGTCGGAACGTTTTATGTCTGTGAAGGCAAAAAGGATTTCAATTAGAAAATGTTTGTTTTTAAGTACTGCATAGGACACAAGAAAACAATCTGAAGTAGTATACTAAGTAAAGAGTTTGATACGATCTGGTTCTACAAATAAATGCAAAAAAATCACTTGGATTTGTTAGTGATTGATGGAGCGTGGAAACTTTTAGTGAGGTAGTAAACAAGCCCGCGCGCACTTAAGTTCAACAAAGGAACTCGCTGAGAGAGCTGCTATTAAAACGCAATTAATCATATCAAGAAGGAACGTTATACGATTAGCGCAATGTCAGCCTGGAGTTAATTTACTGTTTGACGCGCATTCCGTCTCTTCAAATGGGCGTAAGAGGGCGTAAGAGGGCGTAAGACTAAAGACCGTAAAATTATGTCAAGCCAACAGTTATTAAGCCAATTAAAACAAAAACCTCACTACAGCAAAGCAGATGTTACCGTGCGTTCAGCTGCAAAAGATACGTTCGGCGAAATATTGTCTATCAGGGATATTAATGCCAGTGACGGTAAACTCGAAAAGGAGCGAAAGGTTTGACTTTTACTGTAAACAAAGAAGAAAATGTAAATTCTGGAGACCCAGTATATTTTCAAGAAAAATGGTAATAAGAATCTAGTTTTGATTTACAGTCAAGTTCTCCAAGAAAAGGGAGACTGAGAGGTACATTACATATTCTGGAGTAGTTATATGTCATTTGGAAAAATAATTTACAAAAAAATGCCGCATGACTAACAAACAATTTGAACTGACTGCCAAATTAAATTATGATCGATCGTGACTACAGTGTATTGCACCACATTCGCCTTGGGATAAGAACCAGCTTAGGATCAATAAAATAGGATTTTCAGCTCATTTTTTTTCTAATTTTACCTTTTTTTGTGCTGGGTACTTAGAGTAGCCCTATTTAAAGATAATAATGCTCTCTCCTAATTATACAAATAGCTGCATGTGATTTTTTTTATCCAAAACATAACATCCGGACATCAAACCGCATGTTTCCGACTTTATTGCATGTCAACATGGTCTAATAAGACGTCACTAAGGTAAAATTTGGACCGGACCATTGGACTGTTGGGCTATGGACTACTTTTGGACTATTTCTTCGGACTTTTTTTGGAACATTTTTGCACTCTTTTTTTTTCACCTTTTTTGGACCATGTCTTTGAACATGTTATTGACCATCTGTGGGGGTGGAGGCAGATCATTAGTGCGTAAGGAGGGGTGGAAAGTGGGTTTATTTCTAAATGCTATTGATTGATGGAGTTTTACGGGATCATAAAAGCATTTTTTCGAACGAGTCGTTCATGTCAAAAGTTTTGCATCTGGTTGTCACGTTTTTTACAATTTTTTCATGATATACTCTATACACAAAGGGAAACGTGAAGCAACTGATGGATGATTCGTGATAACCACTGAGTATCATTAGGCACTGGAACAAGTCGACTTAAAAGGCACATGCTTGACTGGACAGAGGTGAATCAAAAAAAGGAATTGGCGATATCAATCACTAACAGTTATAGTCCACTGTTGAGGAGCCAGTTTGCATTTACATGACAAAAAACAAAGAAAAGCAACAGCCCAGCGCAAGAATTTACGAAAAGGCGCTCAAAATAGTATGTATGATCCAGTAAAAGCTACATAAATTAGTAACATTGACTATTACAACCACCTCACAGTTCTCCCTACGTACTAATAGTCCAGTTCCCACCCCTACCTGAGTAATAACAGTCTACATTCCACCCCTCCCTATGTACTGATGGTTTGCCCTCCCCCCATCTCTGATAGTCAAGAAAATGGTTAAAAAAAATAGTCCAATAGTCTAAGGACCAATGGTCCAGTCCACATTTTTTTCCTATGCCACTTAAAGTCCTCTTGGTCGTCACTTATCAATTTGCTAATTAAGTCGACAGACATGACAAAATCATGACTGAGCTACGACCCAGGGCAAGACACAAGCAGAACTGTCTTTTCCTTCTCTGTCTGTTGTTTAATTATTTTTGTTAGATAATCTTACGTCGCAAAAAATATAAATAGAGAAGCTGAGAATAATTTCAAACTTTGGTAAACCATCTGTCCTTCCCTACAAACGAATAGACAAGCAAACAAGAAGAGAAAAGCCAAAAGGAGTGTCAACCCGTAGGATGTGTAATCTACTATTGGTACCACCCCATATCAAGTCTGAACTAAAGTTGGTCCATTTCCCTAGATTCAAAGGGCGGGTTTTTCTCCCTGTTCAACTAGCAATATGTTTTATTTTTGCTATTTATAGCTTTAGCATAGCCTCCAAATATCAAGAACAGATGAAACTGCGTAAAATTCGCGGGAACATGATGTGGCGGTTTCTTTGAGAATTCAACTGATGACTTTATTAACTTCAGATGAATTACATAAACATTAGTAAGAGCAAAGGTGAATGTTTTAAAAATAGCAGAGTTTATATAAAAAGCAAAGTTTGAACTAACAGATGTCTCCTTGAACGCACGTTTTCCTGTACCTAATGGATACACTTAAGATACTAACGTCGATAATCATTACTGACCGATTTGCTTGTGCATCTAATAACGTCGCTTTGTACGTTTTATCTACTTAGAGGATTAAATTTCTAGATCTCCACCGGAGATTAATGAAAAAATTGGATATGGTTATCTTTCAAAAGCCACGTTGTTTCACACATACTTAATTTTATTACGGAAAAATCACTGACGAAGGATACGATGAAAAGCTTTTCAGATGTTTCTTCTGGTGAACGACATTTCCCACACACGTGGCAACCAAGCTGATCTCGTCAGAGTTGTTTATACTGACATTGATCCGTTTACATTGTAGTGACGCTTTCGTGAGCTTTTCCAAACGTCTACTGAAGTACTACTGTCCGTCCCACAAAACAGGAAAAGGAACTAAAAGATTAACTTAAACCAAATGAAATCATCAAAGAAATCAAGCAAGAACTCGGACAATACAATGAGTGAACTCATTCTGGAAACATCAGACGTCCGGCTAACTTCGAGTAATGATCGCGGTGGCGAATATTGCGGATATTTAAAGTGCCCTTGAGATTTAAAACTGTTGCTCTTTTTCTCATTGGATTCCGCTTTTAATTTTTAGCGCAGATGCATCATCCCACAGAATGCACCTCAATTAAAAAAAACTAAACAATACTTACATTTTTGGCTGGATTTCTCTGCGCTCGGACTCATTTCTTTCCCAAAGCATTATAAAAAGTTATCCACTTCTAAACCGTCCGTGTGAGTTAATTATAAGCAAATTCAATTCTCAAAAAGCGCGCTGACGCTGGGCACCTAAACTAAGGATAGATCGAGGAGGGATAATGCGAGAGTAGTGCCTTAGCAAGTACTCTGAGTGTATGAATGAAAACCGAGGCTCGAAGGAAACACCCAGTGGAAGAGTAACACCACAGCAGTGAAAAATTCATCGAATTAATCGATCAATCAAGATAAAATTGTTAAGTACACTTAATCTAACCGAGATTAAAACATGTTAGCTTTAATATTCATCGGCTTCCCCTTCTTCGTGAAGAGAATCCACTCCTACTTCTTCGTAATCCTTTTCCAAGGCAGCGAGATCTTCGCGAGCCTCCGAGAATTCTCCCTCCTCCATTCCTTCGCCCACATACCAATGGACAAACGCACGCTTCGCATACATCAGGTCAAACTTATGGTCCAATCGAGCCCAGGCCTCTGCAATGGCTGTCGTGTTGCTCAACATACAAACTGCACGTTGTACCTTAGCTAGATCACCACCTGGGACGACCGTGGGGGGCTGGTAATTGATTCCAACCTACGGAAAACCACAGTGAAAATAAAGAATTATCCAAAACATGTTATTTCCCCTGGGTAAGGCCATAGAGATGATTTACAAACTTTCATTTACCGTGCGGATCTAGTGTAATCCGAATAAATTAAGAAAGAAAAAGATAAAAAATTTTATGAATCCGATCCAATATCTGAATAAAGTTGTGTAGACATCATTACATTCCTCGACGAACCTCTCTTGACGTATGCTTCCTGACGTGCGTTGTTTCTACTTAACAAATAGATTCCAAGTTGCAGTGCGTCTGTTCAGTAATAGATCACAAATGACATCAAAATGTGGTAAGAACAAAAAAGTGGCACACGAGGCGCAGCCGAGTGTGTCACTGATGTTCTTACCACATTTTGACGTCCTCTGTGATCTATTACTGAACAGACGCACGGCAACTTGGAATCTATTTGTTTTAGATAATAAAGAATTAAAAAAAGTTTTAATGATGAAGTCATCTATACGTCTGTCCTTCAATAGATCATAAGTGAGAACCAGTCAGAATGCGTGCATAACTGAGCTTATTATATAAAAATTTATAGTAACTGCGACGGTATTTCTCAGTTTAAACGCCTGTTGCTCCCTTAACCTTTTACACCCTAATATCATAACATATTCTCCATACTGTTCTCTATAAATTTCCTAAGGTGCTGACGAGGAGAATTTCTTTAACAATCAAGAGCTCCATTAGGTGGTGACGATTTCCTTCATTCTCGTTACCTTAATCTTTGATTCAGGGATGATATTGTAGGGAGAAATTAGATGTCAGTCACTCTTAGGGTTCAAAGGGTTAATATGGGACAATCTTCCCTCCGTTACCTTAAATCCAGTAGGGCACCAATCGACAAACTGTATGGTCCTCTTGGTCTTAATAGTAGCTATAGAGGCATTCACGTCCTTTGGTACCACATCTCCACGAAACAGCAGGCAGCACGCCATGTATTTACCGTGACGTGGATCGCATTTGACCATCTGATTGGCTGGTTCAAAACAAGCGTTCGTGATCTCGGCAACATTCAGCTGTTCATGGTAAGCTTTCTCAGCTGAAATAACTGGCGCGTAGGTGGCGAGAGGAAAATGGATGCGAGGGTATGGCACTAAGTTAGTCTGTTAAGTGTGCAGAGAAAAGTCAAGAAGAATTAAGAATTCTCAACAGTAAGTCGTGGGTCGAGTATTGAGGTCTTGGACAGACATGCAAACATAAGGACATGAAGTCAAAATTTGTCCTTACTTCAGGGCAGACGAACAAGTCTAAACCTTGCGAGTTCGCTTTTTTATTTTCTACACAGGAGGACGCTTGACGAAGCTGTCTCCAACAATAATGTCTTGGCCTAAGGTCCTTGACTCTCATTAACGGGGACAAGAGTTGGAATCTTCGTCTGTTATACAGTAATTCAAACCAGTTTCAAGAAACTACTGTTGATTGTGATAGACAGTCGTAAAGGTTAATTCCCTAAAGCCAGCAGCATAAGTCTGAGAGCGCCTAAATCCCCTGTCTGTTTGGAGTACTATTTGCCTTTCCCTCCCCACCCACACTGTAATGATGAGTTTTCTCTATCGGCTGGAGTCCAATATTTTTTGGGGTAAAGAGAGTGCTTCTAAATAAAATATGAACTTCGAAAATCAAAAGAATTCGTCTAATGTTTAGTTTTGCTCATTGGTCTGACTTTACTATAACAGAATTGTATCACATCGTTCGTCAACTCACTTGAAATTCTGTCAAATCCACATTCAGTGCTCCGTCAAATCTCAGGGAAGCTGTAATTGAGGACACAATCTGACCAATCAGTCGGTTGAGATTAGTATAGGTGGGTCTCTCTATATCCAAATTGCGACGACAGATGTCATAAATGGCTTCGTTGTCGACCATGAATGCACAATCAGAATGCTCCAGGGTGGTATGAGTCGTGAGAATCGAGTTGTATGGCTCCACGACAGCAGTGGCTATCAGGGGGGAGGGGTAGATGGAAAATTCTAATTTAGACTTCTTGCCGTAGTCAACCGAAAGGCGCTCCATGAGAAGAGAAGTAAACCCAGAGCCCGTTCCACCGCCAAAAGAGTGGAAAATAAGAAATCCCTGAAGACCGGTACATTGGTCTGCCTAAAGAATGTCATATGAAAATAGAAATAAACTATTGCTCAAGAAACATTCAGCTATGGCATTTCCACCGAGTCGCTCGTCATCCCCTGTTTTCTGGTCGAATGGAAATTTCTATGTTGAAGGAAGTACGGCTGGAGAAGCCATGAAAAATTTTTCAGAGTTAAGAACCATAACCATATGTGACAACTGGTGTGGGTGTTTAACTCATGTTGGGCAGAAGTTGGAAACAGAAGTAGGAAACAAATGGTCTCACTTCCGCCACAACCCTGGTTCCACAATGACATATGAACTAGGACTTGTACGAAATTGAAAACTAATATATCACATTATTTCTTATTCATATTTCTATAGACGAAGTTTCTAAATAAACGTTACTTTGAATTTCTTAGTCTTCCATTCATTAGTATTAATAATTTCTTTGTTCTTTTTTACTGGTTTGTCACAAGGTTTAGTTTACCCCTTCGCAGCGGTTTTATTACTTCTTTCGCACAAAAGGTTTTCTTATTAAAATAGATTACAGAGGTTCAAATGGTGTTGCTTTTCGTTGCCTCAATGCAGTTTTTTGAAAAACGAAGTAGGAAGATAAACACAAGTATTTAAAGTATCGGAAGCATTTTGATTCATGGAGCTATTGCTTCAGATAAAAAACATACCACTTTTCTGATTCTGTCAAGGACAAGATCGATGTGTTCTTTTCCAACAGTGTAGTGCCCACGCGCATAGTTATTAGCGGCGTCCTCTTTACCGCTTATCAACTGCTCGGGATGAAATAAGTTGCGGTATGTACCAATACGGACCTCATCTGGGAAGAGGAAAAAACAATAAGCAACCAAAGAAAACACAAGGAAAACTTTCTACCATTAAAACCTGAATACATTGAGAACTCGATGAAAAAAAAAAAAAAAAAAAAAAAAAAAAAAGAAAAGAAAAGAAAGGAAAGGCAAAGGAATCGGCAAAATTTACTTTTACCGACTGGCGTTGTTCTATTTGGATCTTTTTCATACCTTTTGCTATTGTTATCATTTTAAGAATAGCCAACAATTGAGAAACGTACACCTTCCAGTATCGGCAAGTTGACGAGCGAGGACAAGGCCCTTAGACAAGTATTAAAGCCCTCCAATTATTCCAAGTATCTCTTTCATGGGCGAGACAATCATATCCCTGAGCTGAATTCTGAACTCATGATTTGCATGAGCATGAGGATACTTGCAATACTTTTCTTAAATTCGTTACATCAAGAAAGGTGAAATCCACAGTGGACCAGGTAAAATCGAGGAAACTGCCTAAACTGCGTGAAAACGAGAGTGACTGACCAAATCACTACTATTTCTAGTTTTGCATCTGATTGGTTTGAAAAGTAGTGCAAGTTTCGTAGATCAATAAAAGGGTGCTGCGAAGTAAAAAAAAAAAAATCCCATTACTTTCGACATTTGATAAATTTCAGTTGGGTGTCGAAAGTAGTCTGGAATGGCTTTGGTTTTACTTAATTTTGCTCTTTGATTGATTCAGAACACTCGCACCATCCTCTCCACCAATCAGACGCACAATCGCAATCTGGTCTTCGTGCTTTCCCGCGCTTTAAGCAGTTTGCTTGTTTTCATTGGCTGATGATAATGTAAATCTTTTCTGTGATTGGTCGCTGGGATTACTTTGGTTTTGGTTTTTCGAAACTCAATTCAAAACTGCTCTAAAATAAGAAAAAGCATGTGATGAACATAATTTGCAACGAACTCGGAAATCCAACTGTTTGGATAATGATCAATGAGCCACCACTGATTAATAACGCCTTCAAAATATCTAATTATGCCAAAAATTTTACGAATGTGGTGTTTTTTAATGAGGATGCCATAACTCATTAGGTGAAACAAAATGATAACTTAGCGTAAAAATTATTAAGTCATTGCAAGAAAACTTTGCAGCAAAAAGAATCTAATTGATTTCAATTGTGAAATAAGGAAATAAAACACGGCAAGAGGCTTGTCACTGATTTCAAATAAATCTCACCGGAAAAAATCTGAAAAAAACAAACTATGCTTTGAAAAATTTCATCCAATATCCTGGGAAAATCCAAACATTGTTGATGGCACCTGCCGTATGTAAACAATCAATCACAAAAGCTCCCATCCGCAAGTTTTCCATAATGTTTCAACAAGTATTTAAACATAATTCATTCCTGGCACGATCAGGCTTTTCTGAAACTTCTTGATGAGAATCATAAGCAGTTTGTTGTTGACATATTTTTTTTTGGTGAGGCTTTCCGAACGAAAAGGCCTCTTATGATACAGCATTGATAGGTGTAGGATTAAGGAAATTCAGTTTATTTTGGTAAAGTTCTCACCTCGTGACAAACCTCCTACGTAATATTCGAAAATGAAGTGATATTTGGCAGGAAAAGATCCGACATAACAAAATATTCGTAAAGTTGTGTTTCAGAAGTAAATGAGTTGCTATGGATCAAAACAAAAACACTCTGTTTTAAAAAGTCACAATTAAAAAATATTAAATTATATATCCTCGAGACAGCGTCTCTCGAGGTAGAATGTTGAATGCAGACGCAGAGGATGACTTTGGCTGGAAATTTCCCGGGGGGAATTAGCTGGCTTCTTCTAAAAGGTTACGTTGAGATGCAATCAGGTGTTTGAGAGAATCGATATAAAAAGCAAACAGTGCCCCTTCACAAACATCCTCTGGCTTTATCTCTATCTTCGTCTATTCCACCTCCCATGAAAAAATAATCAGGCCTCCAAATATTCACCAAAAAATCACCTCGAAAATCTCCTTAAATTATCAGACTAACTTTGCTAAATTTCGTTTAAAATGGTCCTCAGAGTGTTTTACAAAAGAAATCATTACACGGAAATGACGCAACGCTAACTCGCGCGTGAAATCGATTGTGTGACTGAAACACTTAAGCAAACTAAACCACAATAAAACGTACAGGTACATTTTCAATATTAATCGTCTTAACAAGAACAATTGATTTCGTTTGGAACATACCAACCACCGTAGGTTCAAGATCTACCATAACAGCTCGAGGAACGTGTTTTCCTGCACCAGTCTCACTGAAGAAAGTGTTAAAGGAATCGTCTCCGCCACCAATTGTTTTATCAGTAGGCATGTGGCCATCAGGCTGAATTCCATGCTCCAAGCAGTACAATTCCCAACACGCATTACCAATCTGAACGCCTGCTTGTCCGATGTGAACTGAAATACACTCTCGCTGTCGACAAAAAACCGCGATATCTTTTTACCAAATTTTTTAGACTGCCCTGCACTGCACCTAAGTGGCGACCTACCTACCAATACTTTGAGGAATTAACAAAAATAAATCGCATCATCTTATATTACCAAGTAATTATTTTAAAATGCCAATTACAAATGAGGCATGGGCTTTACTGCAACCCAAGACTGAAGGAAATTATCATGAATGAGTATTAGTTACCACTTCCCTAAGTTGCAAATATTTTTAAGGAAATGTCGTTTCCAAGTGGAAAGATTCTTTTAAAGGAAATAGCGTGAACGAGCCGTTCAGCTTCCTGTGGCTTGTATCTCACTAAATAATGGGATTCGAAGGGACTCGATGATACACACACACAACGTAACTGGAAAAAAAAACAAAAAAAAAAAAACTCGAGAAAAGGAAGAGATTTTCCACCGTTCCCGGACTTGCAAACATTACTGACTTGTATCCATAACAGTTAGTGACACCCTAAACTGGTCGGGGAAAGTAATGTTTTTAACAGGAAAATAGGATTAACAGCTTTGACCTCACAAGGGTTGATATCGAGAAAAAAAAAAAAAAAAAAGCGATCGAGCACAATTCAAAAGGCGGCGAAAAATGACGCCAAAGATTGTAGATCAACTTACCATGATATGACAGGTGAACTCTTCTCTAAAAATGAACAACCTCAGAGCAACCTTACAATTGAACCGCAAACTGAGTGACGCTCTCTCGCCGATCAAGCGATCCTCTGCAAGATTTTCCACTTCAGTCGGATAATAACGCACCTGCCAACTCGCTAAGGTGCTAAACAATAAAGGTACGTGTTCACAAAATCGCGAATTACGATTTGACCACCAATCCTTAATTATTCATCTTGGGCAATTCCCCCGCTAAGTTATTTTGACTATTACTGATTCGTCTCTTACCAATTTCTTTAAGTTCCTTCCTTTGTTCGAAAGGTTTTTTTTTTCTCCATATAATAAAAGAAAGGAGTTTCAGAGCACTTTGCTGTGGCAAATTTTTTTATTAGTTATCGCGGTCAACTCGTAAAAAGAACAAGAGTTTTCGAATTCCCAGTCCTCTTAAAGATAAAGGCATCGTCCTGTAAACGGTTCAGTTCCGTAAGCTATAAATAATACATAGAATGGGAATAATCGTTGACTGTACGAAGCACGTTTTGAATTAACTACTTAATTTATTTAATTCTTTCTTGTCCATTCCATTCTTTTACAGTGCAACAACTAGCAGGATTAAAAAGCCGTGCTTTACGACGGTCGCAATCAAGAACACCAATACACGAGATATCGAGCTACACGTGCGGCAAATCAAAAAAATGTGCTGAGCAATGTACTACTTCCTCTTGAATACCTAGATTCACACTGACACTACTACCACCGAGGTCACTTAAACAAATCATCCAATCCCATAAAAGGAAACTAACAATAATTTTAAGCAAGTTCCATCGTGCTTATCAGGCTTGTAGGAACAAACCGGGTAGAGATAATAAGCTATTAAGAGGAATTTATTGCTCATCGCCTTTAGTGGGATTAATAATTTTCAAGTTCAAGGATTATCGCAATAACTGCAGTCGTACTGCATACTACACAAACTATAATTATACAACTGTCAGTCTCGCATATGCAGCTGTACATTTTTCGCCCCTTGAACAAAATACGTTATAAATACGTTATAAAAGTACGTTACTAACTACACCCCATACATTCTTGCCCCAGAACCTTGTGATATTTGTAAAAAAAACAAACAAACAAACAAACAAAAACAAACAAACAAAATACTAATAAAAAACGAGCCAAAAGAAAATTTCAACTACAACAACGAAAAACAATAATATAAATAAAATTAGTCGATCAAGAAAAATATGCCACTACGTTTTCCATTATAGCTATGTGCAGAAAAGGAAGGTAAACACACTATTCTATATATATATGTACCGTAAGATTTTGTATCTTGGGAATTCACTCCGAGGAAAGAGCTTGACTCTTACACACAACAAAAAATTGTATAAATGCGATCAGAACATTCTCGGCTTTATCCTGCAATAAACTTAGTCATTTTCTAACTAAAAGGCAATAAAAGGAAAATATCCTCTAGTGAAGGACCCCGAATCAATCAAACTAAATGCAGACCAAATCATTCTTTCTGCGGTAGAGGATTGAAATACTCTAGGCGTGGGAAAATGGTTGAAGGGAAAAGAGAACGTCGAATATCATAAATTAGAATACTTCAGCTTTACTATTAAAACAAGCACACATTTTATAACCAAACTGGTTTCTATTTTTATGGTGGGTAAACAATAAATGAAAGTTAAAAGGATATTAAGAATGTTAAACCAAGAAGAAATTTTATCTCAAAGGCTGCAATGCATAATACATTAATCTAACGAATTCCCTTCGATGATCAAAAACACTGAAAAAATGCCGAAAAACTCTGCAAAAATCACATTTTTTGTGATATCCAAGACTTTTCCCCATTTTTGCCAAATACCACGGGCACCTGATACATCATACACTACTCGATAATTGCAGGTAAGGTAAGGGAACATCTCCTTCTTCTACGAGTATGTAGGGTCTTTCCCTACTTATTGTCGGTAATCAAATTGAGAAGTATTTTCTTGTAATTTCCACGAGTGTCGTCCTGAAACCACAAAAAGAAACTGTGTCCAGCTTTAAAAGGTCTGTCTCGCTTTTTATATGATAAATTTACCAATATATGGCAGTTTCATTAAGTCAGTACTGATTCGTTCCAATCTACGCGCTAAAAGGTCGTTTGCTCTGGGTAGAGGCTGAGTGAAGGTTTATGCCCTGGATATCTTCTTGAAATTCCCGGCGGCGGTTAATAGGTCCTTTCAACATCTTGTATTTGTGTTTTACGAATCAAAAACAGTAAAAAACTCACCGATATAAATTTGGCCAGAGACTTATGGTATAGTTTGGCAAACTCGTCTCTAATGTCCAGTAAATCGACTTCTGACCGTGTAACAATGATTCGAATAAGCGTGCTGTCGTCTGTTCCAAGACCCTGCGAAGAATTAGAGCGAATAAAGAATGGTTTCCAAACAAAACAAGAAAAAGATTAAAAGAAAATCTACGTTTTTTCGTTTAATGTGATGCTCTAAACAGAAGAGGGTCATTTATGCAATAGAAGGTTCGATATCCCATATGAATAATCGCCGCTATTTCTTACTAAACGTATCGGGCTCTAATCCTTGAATTCCTCCGATAAATATTATTACCATCACTATCATTATTAATGCCGTTTTTATTATTATTATTGTTGTTATTATTATCATTATTATTGTTATTATTAACATTATTATTATTACTATTATCATTATTATCACTGCTATTATTATTATTATTATATTTTTTTTCAACTTTTATAGAAGTCTTTTGCGATGATGATGGACCAAGGTATCAAACACAAAGCACCTGACAGGCTTTGAACTTGTGTTCTCACGGTTTAATTTTCAAAGACACGCTTGCTTTTTCCAGTAAAGTGGATTCTTTTCGTCAAATAGCTAACGACAGAAATCTCTCGTTTCACCCAACGGAAAGGCGGAAACTTAAACCCAAACCTTTCTCCCAGGACCAGGTGTAAAAATTCAATGAATGGCCTACCTTCATGCTCTTGTAAAGTTTTACAGCAAAGAATGAGGGAGCATTTCTCACAATTTGGACTGAAAAAAATAAAAATAAAAGCTAAAGACGCTGACATTACCCTCCAGACAGACTTCCTTCTCACCTACACGGAAAGGGAGTATACGAATAGTAGGGAAAAGATTAATGATTTAGTTATATCGCTTGGGTTTACATCTACACCAGACAAAACAGAAAAAAAAACAGCAGAGGTTATAATTTACATTATTTTCCACTATCAGCAGCTGGCTTAACCTTCAGCTTCTCATTCAAGGAACTGAACTATCTAAAAATGTTGATTTGCACCTATCATCTACACACCGACATTAAAAACAAAATCGTGACGAAGGGAACTTGCCCTTGCGTTCAGATATGTCACCACATATTATGATCACACAAACGTGTTACCTATTGTGAGCATCCCATCTCTTAAATCTCCTGACATCTCTCTCTTGATCGAATCTTCAAAGTCATATTTACTTATCTGAAAAGACAAGATTTCCAACGCGTCATTTCTAAAAGGTGACCTAAGAGAACAACAACTACAAAGTGCTTTCTATTAATTGGGTCCGAGCGATTTGAACTGAGAGCGGATTCTGATTTATGTAAATTGCAAGAAAGCGTCGATTTGTTGTGAGCGCACTGCACGAGCGTGTGAGATGGGGTCCCTTTCTGTTAAACTTAAGCCAGCCCCCGCATTGACTTGCATCCAATTTCTCATTACAATATCAGTACTGAATCAAACATAAAGGTAATGAGATTAGAGGAAATGATCAGCACCTACAGAAGCTGTTCGTTGTTGGACAACTTATCATTTTGAATAACAACTTCTCAATACCTTAGGTAATGTATTGAGAAGAGTATAGCGAATTTGCATACAGGTGTTTCAGTGAAAAAGGCTTATCGACAGGACATTAAATCCGATCAGTTCTTGCAAGTGGAAAGCGGTAACACAGCAGTCCAACGTCTGCGCAGATGTCAACGGTGTGATGGTTAGGTAGTGTGCTCTCTGGCTGCGACAGCGGCTGTATCTTGTTTTCTTTTGAGATTTTGCGCTAGAAATTGGTGCGCTAAATATGATTTCGGTGCGCATGCCCAACGTTTAACCGCTGTGTTAAAAGCGACACTTATAAAGAACCCAACCTAGACTACGATGACTAGCTGACCTTAGAGTATTCATCAAAAGTGGCTTTCAACTGAGGGAAGCTTCTTGACACAAGAATGGTATTAAATCTGAAAACGAAAATTAAAACGTGTAAAGTCTTTGAACGCGTGACTGGAGTAAAAGTCACAAGCATGGTACAAAACAGAATAATTCACTCGAATGAACTTACTTTGATTCATCTGTGCCCCATCTGGCTTCACCGGCTTTATACAAAACCTGCATTCAATATGTTCGTGAGGTTATTCTTGCTGCCGAGCATTTATGATTAAGCTTTCACAGCTAAAGGAGCTGAATACAAATGACAGGTGACAGAGTCCTTTTCGCTTAGCTATAAAGAAACAGAAAACTTCGGCCCTAGGACTCGTTTCTCAGAGGTCCCAGGGGGAGGGGTGGTTAAGGCTACAAAAGTTTACAGAACTTACAAATGGCGAAGATGAAAAAATTTTATACTGTTTTTAAAAAACCTTTGAAGGATTAATCTGACAGGGGCCAACTATGAGTACCTTCATGCAGCAACAAGTGTCAGTTAACGAAAGAGAAAGGTCAGTGCACAAATTAAACAAAATGAAGCTTTCGACAGCCGAGTTATCTGAACGGAGCCAAGAGCAGTTCATAAAGCGGCTTCCGTAAATATGTTATGGTTACAGTCATGTTTGAGCATGACAACAGGCCATCTGCACCTTGGCCTATCACCCCCCAAATACCCTAACCTACTAGGATTTAATTCAATTATTGCAAAGGACTAAAATGGTCAAACCTGCGCGTCCGCTGCCGCTTTAGCCAAATCAACTGTTTGGCTTTCGTCTCTGTAAGCCTAAAAAACCATGAAAAACAAAGGAATCAAAATTCACGGTTAATGAGTAATTCGCCAGCCTAACACACAGACTTATATATGTCTCAAAAGACTCTGCCAGTGCGGCACAAATCATTTGTCCAAGGTTTATCTCATCCACGCACCTGTAGCAAAGAGATGAGAAACTTCTTGAAATGGCCAGAGGTATCTCCTGCCACATCTTTCTCCAAATCTCTACTGAAGACTTCCAGAAAAGAAGGCAAACGAAAAAAAAAAAAGGCTTCAGTCAAACTATTCCAAACAAACCATTGCTGGAATACGTAACTGTTATCAACGTACGGATCCAAAATGATGCTGAAGTGTAAACAACATGCTCACTCGAAATTTGAATGTGGTAAACGGAGAGAGTTCTGTGTCATTTTTTTCTCTACGACCTATCACATAATTCGATGTGGAAGTCTACTGCCCCATGTAGAGTACACTTTCTCGCCAGTTATGGCGCTTTTCAAAAAGTGTTCACCATACGAACAGTTTTAAAAGTTAACCATGTCTTAATGAAATGACGAAATTTATAAACAACGTAAATTGTAGACGCTTAAACTCACTCCGCTGGTAGGACTGCTTGATGGCAACGATCTCTGCGTTGGTTCTTGTACACAAAATTTCAATCAACACGCTTTCGTCTGTTCCGATACCCTAGAAGAGCGTACCAAAAATTGGTGTCATTCAGTTCATCAGAACGGTTCAATATCAAAATCCTCTCCCAGCGCAACCCTCGGGCATTTGACTGTCATCTGTGCCCAAGCAGTAGGGAATTTGAATCAGCAGCGTTGAGTCTTTCATGCGGAATAAACGTGTTTTATCTTTAAAATGTGGAGGCGTCTGAAGGTAAAGTGTCCACTTTCGCGTGCAAATGAATCAGGAGAAAGTGTGAACAAGGTCTAGGTTATAAAGCTTGGCCAATGACTAGACGCACATGCTGCCTTTTACAAAATATGAACATCAAATCTAGCACTTGGGTAGGGCATTTGAACACAATTTTGGCCCCAGGGGACGGGAATTTGAACGAACCAATCTCCAAAAGTTCAAATGCCCGGGGGCTTGCCCAATTAATCATTATCTAACTTGATCAACACATTGTCAGCGTCTAATGAGTAAGCTCACAAAACACACCTTAATCGCTTTCCTCAGCGACGTTGCATCGTAGTCTGCCGATGGCATCATGAGAGCAATGACAATAGTCTCAAAATTACCACCCAGTTCATACTTAAGATCCTTCAAAAGATCCTGCAAACAAAACGATATAAGTTTAAGGGCACTTTGCAGATTGCCCTTAAGTTCATTAGCAAAAAACTGTTGATTAAAATATTTTGCTCTTGAGGAAAGAAACCAAAAAGTCAAAAACTTAAGGCAAACTGACTGATGATGGTCAAGGATGAAAAGATCCTGAAGTACTGGAAAAGGCGACATTTTTTAAACATTCTCCTAACGTGACGGCTCCGCCAGGAGATTACAGTAAGTTTACAAATAATAGACTCTTAGACAAGTAAGAAATACGCCACATAAATGATCTCAATAAAATGGCGCTTAAGACGAACGTGACGGTAGAACAAGGGACTACGCCCGAGAAAGACATCCGTTCGGTACAGAATTATATAAGGATATTTCTCCTATTATAAAGCCAGGTAAAATGATCAGCCCCACAGTGGCTATTTACCCAGTGCGAGAGGACACTGACAACTCTTACGGAAGCTATTACGAAAATCACATCTCGCGGACGTGATTAACCCGCAACTTCTCCTTTTAATATTCAAACTTTATCCAGCAAACAAGTAATGAGAATATTCAAACTTTCAGGTAGAATTTGATATCTTGATCGAACACCAAACTCTCGTAACTAATTCATTAGGAAATGTTTGGTTGCTCGAGGGGAGAATTGAATATCAGATTTTGGGAGTTTTAGGGTTAAAAACGATGAGTAATCAAAGTGAAGAATAATTTCACGCTAATGCTAATGCTATCCTTAGCCCTGGGCTTCTAATTCTTAATTCTTTTGAGTTTTTTTTTTTAACTCTTCAACATGTCATAAAACAGAACTTACCCTTCCATACATCGTTTTGTATTCCAACTCAATTTTCTGCCTCTGAACATTTGTTCTTGTACATAAAAGACCAGTGATGGCTTTAGAATCACAGCCTACAGATAAATGGAGGAAAATTTATTTTGATCTATAAAATACGTAACTTGGAAGTTAAAACGACTTCAGAAGCTGATGGTTGAACACACAATCAAGCTCCAAAGGTTTTGATTTTTCCTTTTTTCTTTGACAAACCCTTTATCCATTGTCCCAAACTCCACAAAAACATTCTTAAAAGATTACAGAAAAGACAGATAAAGTATTAAAAAATTTGAAACTAAAATAGTAAATTAAAGGTATTTTTAATGAAATTCAGAGACACTTATAATTTTGACTCACCCCAAAATTTAAGTAAACCATTCTAAAATATCTTCCATTGAACATCAGCACTTAACACACAGTTTCAGTACAACTATCATGTGCAAGTAATATTTTCAATTTGTTTCCTATTATACTGATCCTTGAATTCATGTCTTTCATTTTTAACTTCATACAAAAAAAAAATGCACATGTAATGAGAGGAACTTCTTTTTTCTTATTAATTTTTAAATTTTATAGTGGCCTGTCAAAATATTAGATTTAATTTAAACAACAATAGAATGTCTATAGTGTTGTGAAACAATACTATTTATTGTCTATATTCACCTAGGCCTTTCATTGCATTCCGCAGTACTTCAGCATCTTTCTGCGCATCAAAATTGGCAAGCTCCTTGATGGATGGTCGCCCTCTTGGCTGCTGTTGGAAAAAAAAAGTTCATGTACTGAAAAAGAAAAGCAAACAAGCAAACAAACATGTATGTGTAAAGAAAAAAAAACAAAAACAAGAGGCAATAAAAGAATCCCCCCCTCATTCAAAGGATAGAAAAATATCCACAAGATAATAAACAAAACGTAATTTGTTCTGGCACTTTCTTCTTTTTCATCTTCTGTTTTTTGCTCCTTTTGTTATACCCCAAGACATTAATATTTGTGTCATCCACTTCAGCCTTAGGCTTCAGCAAAAAACATGACCCCCAGCCCCCAATACCATGATTGCATTATCTGGTGCAAGCTTTTGCTCCAGCAGACAAAACCAACCTCAGCCAAGGCAGTTCTTGCCTTTATGCTCAACTCCACCCAGTATATATAATTGTATAACATATTCCTGAGTACCTTCGTGCTTGAGCTGGAACTCACAGAAGAAGAAGAAGAGTGGGATGAGTAGGAAGACGAGTGTGAGGACGATGAGGAATATTTTGTCGCAGTTGATGAACCTCCTGGACCAGCAGGTGGTGGTGCACTTGGCTGCACTGGCATAGCTGGAGCTGATGGAGGAAAACTTGGGGGTGGACTCTTCACAAAAACATACAACCCAAAATGAAATGTTTTAAACCCTCCATCTTTTTCAGGGCAAAAAGTTTGTTGTTGAATTTGGCACAAAAGAAGATCCTAATTATTTCACATAATGACTAGTAACACTATCAGCTACAAAATTAGATCAGCCTTAAATCTGCTATAAGTTGAAAAATATTCAAAGTTATTTGGACTACTGGACACAAGAAAGCAATAGTTGGACATCACTAGTCAGATTATGATACTAAAACTCACCATGGGTAAATTAGGCTGGGGCTGAGGAGAAGGACCAAATTGACTCCTGTAGTGAGATGGAAATGCTGCAGTGGCCATTACTGCACCCTAAAATTGAAATAAGGGAGAAAACAACAAAATGTGATTTTTTTTCATTTACTTGTGAAAATAAAACCCACATGACTAGAGCATTTTATATAAAGTTCTGTCAGTAGGTCCAACAACTGATTCTTACCCCAAATGATAAATTACCAGAAGGATATCCAGGCTGTGGCATAGATGGTCCTGCTGATCCATACACACCAGCTGTGGGTGGCACAGGAGCTGGCATGCCAACATTAGGGCTTGGAACAGGCATACCTGACATCAGTACAGACAAGGAAGAAGTCAAAAGGATATCAATTGAAAATTAAAACAACTTGATAACAAGATTATAAGATCTTTTAGTTGTGAACCAAATTACGGGAAAAAGAACATAATTGTATTTAAAAAAGTACATTTATTTTAATTGTATTCAAATATTTTGGCTAAGTCAATCATTACAACTAAGAGAAACTTGGACATTCAGTCATTGAGGGAATGGTGTAAAGTCACATACAACATAAATTTAGCTGTTAACAAATTTGCATCTAAATTGGCCATTTTAATTTACAGAACTAACAGCCACTAACTAAAGATTCCTAACCTGTAGCACAGATTACCATAAAATCCCTTTCAACAACATTGAAAAAAATTAGTAAAAAAGGATGGGTAAAATCTGCATAGGAGACTGATATGGACCTAGTTGCAGTTGTAACTCACTCTAATTTCTAAAGCACAAAGAAATATAGGGAGAATCCTCTCCTCCTAGATGTTAGTCCATCACAGGTTACCCCCCACATGTAGTCAAGTTTTCCCAACAATTCACTAATACCCATTTTTATTCTAGGGTCTGGAAAGGAACTGCAAGTGTTAAGTGTCTGACCCAAGAAAAGAAAACCTACCCAAAGCTCAATTTTAAGTAGAAATTTTGATCCTACTTAAGTCTGTTAGAATAGGGATACATGTTACACATGTACCTATTGACCTTGAAATAGGTAGAAAAGAAACTTTAAAGAGAATATCTGCCGTAAAATACTGCCCAAAAAGGCTTTAAACCAGGTGGCATGACTAAAAGGGAGTTTTCAACATACCTGGTGGCATTTGATGGGACATTCCTGGTGGCATATGGCTTGACATTCCAGGATACATACCAGTAGGTCCTCCAGCAGTTGGCATAGGCATTGGTGGTCCAGAAGGTGGGTACTGAGTGTAACATGTATAATTGATCACTGACAGTTATCACAATTGCCCAATGGCAAGCAAAAGCAAAAATCTCTTAAAATGCTTGGCATAGGCTATCAATGTGAAAAAATCTGAGCCTTTTGCTTTGAGACCCTCCCTCTAAACTATTCTGACTCTCGAGATGTGGACATAACAGATGTGAACATAACAGATCATGAATAGCAAGCTCTTCTTCAAGGAAGCTGAACAATATTTCATGAATGAGATTTTTGATAATTACAGGACTGTAATTGTAGACTGTCTCCGGCCCATGTTATTAGTTACTGCTATCCAGTTAATAAATGATGCTTGAGAGTAGATAAACACAGTGCTGTCATATATTAAGTGCTGACAAAACAAACTTAATTATCCATTCGAGGGTAATTTATCCACATACCAATATCCACCTTTACATAGGATCACTGATCAATAGAGCTGTACACTCTGTGAGCAATGAAAGCCCACACAATAGTTGTTTTTTCACAGTGCATAATAATAGAGTAGCTAGCACTCTAGACCCAGTTGTTCAAAGCCAGATTGGCTCTACCCCAGGGTAAAATTTTGATCCAGGTTTCATTATTTCTTAATTCAAGAGCCTTTTTGGGATAATTTTCTCAACTCTTTTTAGAGCATTCAATCATCAAATTACACACAAAAAGAATTGAAATTAATTTCTTTTCAAAGCTTTCAGATATAAAAACAAATTCCGCACTAACACTGTATTATCTTAAGTCAGCTTTGAACAACCCAGCCCTGGTTCTTCATAATTACATACATACCCCAGGGGCCCCCATTGGAGGTTGGTTAGCTATGCTGTCAAATCCTAAGGCTGGACCTGGTGCTGGATACTGGGACCCCCCTCCTGGCATTGGAGGAGCCCCATACATTGGATAGCCCCCTGGGGCAGGTGGTGGGTAACTCATTTCTTGTTCAATTTGTATTCCTAGAAGGAAAATTGAAATTTATATGTTTTCAAATATTTTAAGGTTCACAATAACTTAAATGTGATTTTTACAAGCACTCCTGTGCTGAAAAGTCACTGTGACCTACTTTAGCCTTCATAAATATTGCAGAAGGCAGTTATTTGGTATCAGTATTGATTAATCAAATGAATTAATAGATGCTAGCCAAGCAATTGATATTGTAGAAGAAAATATACAGAAAAATTCAACAAAACTGAGGGTCTCAATCAATCAAACATATGGATCATTGTTTTAAGTATCAATCTTCAATCTAAGCAATCTTTGAAATCGAGGAATTTTGTTGGATTTTTTGATAGCATACCTCGTCATTAGTTAGTTTCTCTGGTTCGACATGTTTTAAACTTCACTGCAGCTGACTGCAGCTGCTTTTTTCCTTGCATACTCATCATTTCCAAATAAACTGGGAATTTTCTTTCGATTTGTTTAAATTTCTATGAAAAGCGTGATTCAGGACTTATTTCAAGTATAGGCCTTAAACTTAGAATCGTCACAAAGAGCTAAAAATTGATTATGACAACGTTTGATCTATTGACTCAATAACTACGATGACCTGCATCAATATCAGCGCTAAGCTCCGAACTCAAATACAAAATCTACACAGTGCTTGGTCCCGTTTCAAATCATTTCGGAAACAAAAGCCTCTGGATAAAGAAAGCCATAACTCAAATTCACAATGGGAGGGATTAAAGTATACTGACTAAAGTCATACTAATGCTCAACAAAACATTGATCGTCATCATTTGATTGGAGTAATAACATATTTAATGAGAAAGCAAATTCCACAAAGACAATATGAATTTCTTGGTAGTATTTTACCTCTCTATGCCCTTGTATTTGCCTCTGATCCTGAACGAAAAGGAACGTTACAATCGGTGCTTCCCAAATCTCGAAACCGGTCCGTCACGATTTTCTCAACACGACTGGCAGCAGGTCAAACAATCAAATGGAAGCTTCGAGAATTGATTAATAACGTTGGGAAAAATGGGCAACGGTGAATAACTTCTTCTTGATGAATCGTTAGTTTTTCTGTCCCACGACTTCAACTCGAAGATGCTGTCCTGTTGACATGCAGTTTACTCGAAACCCTCAAACTACCGCAATAAAAAAAATGTTAAGTTTGTACCGACTATACATGCCTACTCGAACTACAGGAAGAGGGGGGACTGGTAATAAAAATATACATTTCCCGCGGTGCTTCGCGCGATCTTGATACAAGGACTGGTCCTTCATCTATTGATGTGAGTTTGATTTAGATTATGGAGCACTGGTCCTGGCTTTTCTGAATGAAAAGTCATTCTGTTGCAGTCACCTTTATTACTGTTTGGCCCACGATTAGTTTGAGATTGAGGAAACGGTGTGTGGGTGGGAAGGGGGAGGAGGTAGAGAAAGGAATCAACGTCCTTTCTAACTCGATTCCATGAGAAGACAAAGGACAGTCGTCTTTACTGTCAAAATTCAAATATTTAAGTCCAACTCTACATACTAAATCAACTGATTAGTCTGTAACTGATATCCTTACATTAAGGATAATTTCGTTCCCTCTCAAGTGCTTGCAAAATTCTTTTCTGGAACCAATTTTAAGATAATAAATTATAAAATAATTCAAATAGTACGCGCGCTTTGATTGGCCATAAAACCATTTTACATGAGTGTATGTAAACACGGTTTTCGTTCCCCTTTCATTAGTTATTTTATAAAAGAATTGTCAAATGGTTTCCGTGTTTACGAATTATGATTACGAATTCTCGAATTATGATAAGCTGGAAACCACTCCGCTTCGCGTCGTGGTTTCCTACGCTTATCTCGTGTTCTCCCAACCTCCCGCGTGTTTACATCAGGCTATGTAAACACGGAAACCATTTTACATTTCTTCATTGTTATCTGACAAAGAAACAACCAACCAAAAACAAGCCACACACAAGACAAAACAAAAATAAAAACAAATTAGACGAGATAAATTCCAAGCTGACTTTGTTCACTGATTTTATTCCAGTAGTTTACCGTTTTTCTCATAAATGCCAGTTTCTGTTAAAAAGTACGAGTTACAATCTACAATAACCCTTGTAACCGGTCTACAAACCTACCACCTCACTGTAAACTACAAATGGTGATCAAAAAAAGCAAGAACTGCACAGTGTAAAACTAATAAAACAAAAGTCGCACACTTTTATTTGGAATATAAAAAGCCAGTCCAAGTTAGCCCCACCCAGTGTACGTACCACACTATGAAACACGTTCAAAAATAGTCCACCGTGCTGAAAATCAAGTTCACCCCCTCCAAAACTGCACAAAATATACTGCAATACTAATGACAGTGTGCGAATTTTGTCACTCATGAGAAAAACAAAAACGTTTTTTGGCAAAATTGTGTAGGTAAAACAAAATAATGATCCCAATGTTTTACTGGTCATTGAAAAAGGTTGGATGTTTCATTGTAATTGTGATGACATACTGCAAAATGAAATGACATCTGAAATTTTGATAAATTCCTCTGCACGGCTATAAATAGCTAGCCATAATGATTTAACCAAACCAAACAGATCAATTATTCATTATCTCCGCTGCACTGGAGACTAAAATAACCAAGCGGGTTGAAAATTGACAACTAAGTTTTAGTTGAATGCATTACATGATAAAAGAAACCATTACAAAATAGTGATGAAACAACACAGACATCTCTCATTGACCAGCCAGAACAGATGAATACAAATAACCATTTCATCCCTCAGGATACTTCATCCTGTCTCCCATATGGTCCAGTGTTGGACTAAACTTGCACCAACTGTGCTGAAGAATCAGCACCTTCCACCCTATTATTCCGCTTCACTAACAATCTATATGCCTTCGTCCACTAGTAATCTTTACCATACACTGATTTCAGGTCCTTTAAGGTAACAATGATGGGGTGTTATGAACACCCACACATATAACAAACGTTGAAGGGACTGTAATTTATCACACGTTTTTATAATACACCATACTGTAAAATAAATTGAGCTCTAAAAGCTGTTATTAAAAGAATTTCCGACAACAGGCAGCCACTAGAGGGCGGATTACTCACATCTGAAAACGTGAACATGCGTTTGAAAGGCAAATGAGAAGGAGAAAAGAAGTCCACAACTGAGTTACCTGATTGTTCTTGGACCACGAGCAAACAGAAGCGTCATCAACGTGATGAAATTGAAATTGTTGATCGATATGAAGAGGTTTCGTTCGCGGTAATCATACCAGTTGCCTTAAGTACGTTGCATGTATGTTTTCAGCGCATTGACTGACTAAACAACTCTAAATAAAACTCTAGTTTACTACACATAAATATTACTATGAAAACGCTTTACGATACAACCTTCCTTCTCTTTCGTGGAGAAAAAAAAAACTGTCAATACACTTATTCCAACCATGTAAAGCAAATCCAGAACCGTTTAGCTCTTTTCAGCTTTTCGTGCAAATCTGCCGAAAGCTACCAGAATGCTTCTTTTTACGTGACATGTATGGTTCTACACACGTCACGCAACATGTCAATCGTGTGTGAATCGCTCTGTCAAAAGCTGAAATATGATTGGATGAAGCTTCACATGGGTAGAATATGTACAAAGTTTATATAACCTGACGCTCTATATGTAATATGTTACATGCACAGTATCGTACATGAAACCTTGCTAAGATCTACAAATGAAAATCGATTATGCAGGTATTGCACGTAAACTGAAGCATTTTGTGTGAGGCGTTTATATAGTTCGTGGCTGCATATTCAGATGATTTCCGAACTATAGGTGAAGAGAAAAAGAATCGGGAAAAAAGCACAAAACAACAAAATCTAAAACAAAACTAAAAGAATCATATAAATTGTGATCTTCACTAAAACGGAAATAGGATCTTTGAATAAAATGACTATTTTCGAGAAGATAGTGGGAGGTAATGCAAGACAGTTTGTTTAAGTCCCCCACAACCTCCTTCCAAATTATTCAACACATAGTACACATTTAATCTCCAAGAACAGAAGGAAGACAAAATGAAAACGCCAAAATAAAATGTCGAGTTAAGCTGCTGGTAAAGGAAAATGAAAGTGTTTTAGCAAGTTGGTTAAGATATAGTTCACGAATGTATTTGTTGAGATGATATTGTACAATGTCGTGTACATACAGCAAAGACGCTTATACGTGTCAATTTAGTCTTATGTGCAAGTACAATGCAACTGCAACAACAGCATCGAAGACTGTTCAATTCTAAGCGACAAGTGGAAGATTACGAACATTTTGTAAGTGAACGAGCTCGTCTGAAATAAGTTGCACAATTTCTGCATCCATTGAAAAATGCCATTAAAGGCTAGACACAAGATGGGATATGGGAATGAAAACTATAATTTTCACTACCTGCCTTTTTTTGATAAATTCAAGTTCCTTTTTAAAATAGCTCTTATATAGAGGATAACTCTATTTGTGTGGCATTTACGTCTTACAGCACGTTTTGACCGCCCATGGTTTGCAAAAGAATTGCGAATTGTTAAAGAAATTAAATATCACGCTTAGGCCACATATTATAGTTAACAATGAATTGCAATATATTATAATGAACACTACTGGGCTAACTCAATAAATTACTGTCGAAATAGATAAATTAAATTAAAGCCGAACAATATTGCTTCACACCTGAAGCTGTACGTACAGCACTATATCTGGCAACCAACTATTTAAACTTTAAAGCAGCTCCCATTCTCCTTTTACCAAAACAAAAGTCAAAAAGGTCTATAAAACTGAATCAAGGGAAAATATGCCGGTGAACATTTTCCTGGTAGAATACAAAACACGTCTAGTGACTAGATCCTTAAAAATGGCTTGCTTCAACTCAGCCTCTTTACAACTCTTTTGTTACAAATTTACAACATTGTTATCACGCGAGAATCTAACACTACCTGGGATGGTGAGAGCTTGGAATGTACCCATAAACAGGTACCCCATTGCTGAAGCTTAAAGCCTCGAATTCCACGAGCAGTGACTGGTGGTCTGACGGGAAATGTGGGTGTGGCCATCCGATGATTTTGTTCCCTTTGATGTAATCCTGACTGACAGAGCCGAGTACGCCAAGTGGAACGAGAAGGTCAGATGTGTAGTGGATATAATCAATCACACCTGTGAATGAATACGTAAGGTTGCTGTAAGACATCTGGTCTTCAGAGTAGGCCCGTTGGAGCTTGAAGCAGTGGGTAAGGTCTCCACACTTTTCTCCGTTTTTGCCATTGCTGAGGCGTGATAGAAATCCATCATATTTCATGTCCAAGAAGTCACCATGGTCAATCCGGACTCTCCCATTGTCCAGGAACTCAACTACCCCTGATTCAGGGAGTGAGTTAAGATCACCGCAGCACACTAATGGGATTGACTTACTTGGTGCAGTGCCATTTTTACCTATGGTGAGGAGATAAAAACGACGAACCTTTAGGCATAAGTAGTGCACGTTACGTAGCATTATACTTGTAATGAAGGAGTTATGCAGTTCCCTGGAGACAACATAGTCTCGACAAGGGGGCAGCCTCAAGAAAAGGAACATCATCAGTAGTACTGACTGTTTTGACTCTTTAGTGTAAAAACCTGACTGAATATCATCACAGCAGTAAAGTGAAACCAAAAATAACAGCCTCAACTCCTGACTGGTCACCTTGACACCTCAAATGAAAATTCTTCACTGTCCATTCAACATGTAACTGCTGTCCATTTCATTCTACAGTACATGAAATACTTCAGGTAATTTGGGAAAATCAGCTGATCAGTTTCTGTTCTCATCTACTGTTTGCCAGATAATAAACTGGCCCCAAACAACATCATGCCAAAGATTATATCTGACTGTCAGAAACTGGGAAATGACACAGAATATTCCTAATCCTTCTTGATGGGACACCAGTCCATTGTTGGGTAACTTGTCCCCATAATTTTGTATAGTTTCTAATTAAAAATAGGCAACACCCATAACTACTCCTGGGTGGAGAAAGACTCTGTGAGAGCAACCTCAAACACACCAGGCAACTTTACTTCAAGTTCCATTGTTCATTCTCGCAGCACCTCTGCCTTTATTTGTATTAGGTTCATAATATTCATTCAGGGAAATTTTACCAGACAAAATATATACAACCTACCTCCCTGTACCATAAAGCCAGGGTTAATCTCCTGCATGATGGTCATTAACTCATGCATCAACATGACTGATTGAATTAACTTCACATCCTTGAACTCTGGATCCCAGTGAATATGCACATTGGACACAAGCACCTGCTGCCGCGGCATGTTCACATCATTACCATAATTAAGGTAGCCCTCCTTGAGCTCAAGTAATGCTGTGATTCCAATGTTGTCTTTTGTCATCACTCTATTCAGCATATCTTCTGCTTCTGTAGCATTTTGCATTGCCAACTGATTGAATTCAATCAAGTACTCTTTGACAAGGCTAAATCTGAAATGATAAATTTATGTAATCAGAGAAGGAGTTTGCTTTTTCATAAGGTATCAGAAGAGCCTACTACCCTTAACAAGCTAATTTGGAGAATTCCTGGTTATCTCTAATAGAAGACCACTTTATTGCAGGAGGTTTCCCAGTAATTCATCCAGCCTTAAGGAATCAAAAGTTTTCAACTCTGATGAGATGTGCAGTGCAAACCTTGGGCATCAAAGAAATAAAGTTTGAGGCTTGGGTCAAAAAGAGTACACTGTATAACTATCTCAAAACAAATCTTCACTATGGATGTGGGTTCAGTTTAAGGACACCCTAAGGACTTTAAGATAGACACTAGGTTAAACATACCAGAAACTCTCAAAGCAAAATAGGAAGGGAAAATGACCCAATGTAGGAATTTGCTGTTGTTCTTTTCAGTGTTGTAGTGTAGCAAAAAAATTCCACTCCCACAACTTGGGTAATGCACCAAAAAAATTACATTTACTTCAAAACCCTGCATATTCCCTTTACTTAGCAGTATTCTTATCAAAGTTGCCATCAGATGACTTACTTGGAGGTTCTAAAAAATATGGCACAGCCATCCACATATTTTCTATCTTCTTCTGTCATTGTTCTTGCTCTGGACTTAGGACTAAAAATTCCATTATAGCCATGCTGTTGAAGCTCAGGAAGGAAAAAGTTATAGAACTGCTCTGTCTCAATTTCCTGCAAGAGGGATCAAAAGAAAACTCTGTTGTTTTCTATTCCTATCTAATTAACAAAATGCTCTCTACATGTTTTAAGTGACTGCCTTTGAAGTGAATGAAGTAAAGTCATGTGTTTGAGCCCAAATATGGTAGAAATGCGTACAGTAGAACCTCGCTAACTTAAACTACTGAGGGAAACAAAACAATCCAAGTTCAGTTATCAAGGTTGGTGTTGAATTTCAAACATCTTGTTAATAATTAATAAGAATCATGTTTTTACCTATCTTGCACAATCAACAGAAGGGCTAATATCCAACTATCTTAACCACACAAGCTTGGTCAATAAAAGATTTATTACATTTATTAAATAGCAAAAAGATTTTGCATTACTAAGAATCAAGAATGACTTGTTTATCCTGAGAGCCAGGAAAGAAAGCCAACTGCATTTGTAGCACAATAAACCCCAAATATCATTTATATTTTCTTTGTTTCACCTGTCTTTATACCTTACTATAAACTATACATTACAAACATTACAAACTATACATTCCCTTCGCACAATCTTTATCTTAGGCAGAATAAAAGCAGAAAATCCCAAGCAGGCAAGAAGGGCCCATCTTGCCTGCTAGGGTAGCCAATCAGAATACAGGATTCCCTTCATGTTGCCTACAAGCACTGCCAGCCATGTAATTATCTTTTATAAAAATTCCCTTTCCTTTTGTTTTCTAATGATAAAAGTTTTTTTTTTCAGGTGGCTAATTAATGAAATCAAAGTCACCATTACAAGAGTCTTTCAGCTAAATTGAGTTTGGAAGCCTGACATTCTGTATGGTGTACTTGGTTTTAATTGAACAAGATATGGTACCATACCTGTAAGCTTAGGATATCAGCACCATAATGAAGAATCTCTTTCAGGATTGCTGTTTTCCTGTACTCCCAGTCAAGGGCCCAGGATGGACAATAGCCATATATCTGCCGTGTACAATACTTGTCACAAAGGACATTATAGCACATGACACTGAAGGTCACTGAAAACAAAGAAAGCCAACAGTTACTGTAAGATCATCATGGTAGAACAAGACAAGGTTAACGTGATATAAAGTTACGATGTTGAATTTACAAAAAAAACAATGTGTATGAATTTAGACTCATATTAGTAAGTACATATTACATGTATATCATGATGACATAATGTGTGCACAATTTGTTTTTGTGAGACCCCATGACAAATTGAGTAAACAATGTATCAGTTTGAAAACCTTGCTTATTCAGCAGCATATTTTAAAAGCATAAATTATACCAGACTGAAGTGTAACTGCATGGATGTCCTTCCTCTCAAAAAACAAACTGACTATCCATTTGTTTAAGTAGCATCTTGGTAAACAAGAAAACAACTTACATGCAGGATTCCTAGGCCTGTCTGGTTGTAGTGAAATCCACTGCCTGTCTGGTGGTCGAGGACAAACTAAAACAAAATTCAAAGGATGTCAAAAGCTTGCTAACAACATACTATCCATATATTACCCAAAAAAAAAAAGAAAAAAATAAGGTAATGGGAATACTCAAACTGATCAATAAGAGGTTGTTATCTTGATCTAACATCAAATTCTTGTTACCAATCTACAAGGAAATGTGTAGCAGCTAGAGGGGAGAATTAGCTTTCAGAGCTTGGGAGTTAACAAGTTAAAAGTATTATCATGTACCAGCAGGGCTCCATGTTCCCTTTTTCAAAAAGTTGCCTTTTGGCAATCTACAGCTGTAAAATACTCTTCACTGATAAAAAAAAATTTGGTCACCAAAATAATTTAACACATCTATGGAAGGATACTTCATGTTGCCTTACATGAGTTGTAAAGAGCCAAACAGTTCCCCTGCAACACTTAAGAATTGGTTCATGCTTAGCATGTGTATATTGAGCTATGGATGCATGCAGAAGAAGCATAAGAGTTGCTCAAGGTACAACAGAGAGCAACACTAGCTTCTTGAGTGCTATCCAAACTTCCCAGGTGAATCCATAACTTGATATACCTTCAGCTAAAAGCATGAACCAATTTCTTTTATAATATATGATAGCAGAAACTACTTGTGTTTGAAGAACGATTTCAATTATTATTGCATTAAGTTTACCAGAATGATCTCGATCTACCTATGAATAAAAGACAAGGTAAAAACAACCAAGAAATATTTGAGGCCAAAGCTTTATTCAAAGAATTGTAAACTTGCTAATAGGAAGCTATAGTTGAACCTATTTCTTGCATTTACAATTAAACCCAAAATCCTTCATTGAACAACACTTTTAGGACACAAAATATCAATTTACTGTTCTAGAGGAGTGTCCCCTATGTCACAAAGCCTCACTTGAGGTCAGGAGGATCACTTTGTTCTTTCCAGCCATAATTTGCATCACATTCAGGAATGAAGCATTATAAGTATATGTATTGACATAATGATTTACTTTTCATTTTGAGCTCCAAAAGGTCTATTTTATCAGGATGTAAAAAAAACAGTCTTGAAAATTTTGAAACCCCACAGCTAAACTCCATGGAAACTTGCAACTGAAGTGCAAGTTTCCATCTGCACACATCATTTTATGAAAGCACAGCTGTGCATACATAAGGATTTCTACCAAAGCAGCCCCTTGGGAATTAGATAGGACTTGCACCTGCAATATTTTATAATTTCATGAGCTAAATTGGTATGTCTACTCACTCGCCAATAGATACTTGAGTAATTACAAGCAAAAGAATGAGAAAGAAGATACTGTGATGTCTGGTGGTGGAAACAATTTCATACAAAGTTGCTGAGGTCAGGTGACAAATAATGTTTAAAACGATTTTGGTCTATTGCTCAGCTAAGAGGGACACAGTCCTGATAACTTTGATGGCTCGTAAACCGCATTGTTCATCTGGAATCAAAGCTGTTTGGAGGGTATTCTTAGAAAAAGTGATAAAAGTTATTGCAAGATACTTTTCACCAACAAAATTTGTTCATACTCTCTGAAATTTTATCATGTTTACTGTCTCTGACAGCTCTTCATTGACAAGAAAACCTAGGCTCACTTCTAATTTCTTCACACTCTTTTCTGACTGCTAGCAACCCTTCAGAAGCCTCTGATTAGGTATTAGAGTAGAACCCTGCTAACTCAAATTCCCAAGGAAAACAAAAAAATTGCTCGTGTTTAAAAGGGAGTTTAAGTTAGTGGGATTCTACTGTATTCACCTACTTTTGCTTTTTGCCTGAAAATTTGCGCAATGTGAGACAGAAGCTGGCAGTGACTAGCAAGAGTGATCTGAAAACCTATTATCTCAGTTTACCCCTCATTTATCTCATGTTTCTTGAAAATAAAAAGGCAATTCAATTTTTGGCCATTCCTGTTAAAGAAAAGCCTTGAAGATTGCTTTAATTTATCTTTTTGGAACAAGATTCTGAACACAACACTTGCAAAATCATTTACACTTGACAGCTTCACTCGTATCTAGCTCTAAATTGTTCTTTCCAAAGGGAAAATTTAAGATCTTCAGATTTTACTCTCTAGGACTGTCCCACAGACATACTCTCCAACAAAATAAATTTATCATAAATTTATGGTAAATCCTTTCACGTTGATTTTGCCTAGATTTTGCTGCCAAAGGGCTGACCAGCATGGCAAATCACCCACTTTCCTTGAAGCATGTCAACAAAGAAACAGGCTCTTCCCCAATGGGTGTAAGTTTTGCTCCTCAGAAGGATATACAATTACAGTTTGGCTTCAAATCAGTATACAATCATTTTAGGTTTACTAGTATGTGGGAGTTGTGGAATGGCAAGGTGAAAAAAGGGAAAGACAAGAGTTCCTAGCATTTATTTGTTTGATAATTCAACCAAACATCAATAGATTTTTCCAAGATATTTTTCACTTGCCATGGTAACAAAAATGGTTACAACTTGGTGCACTGACATGTTACAGATATCATTATTTTCATTATCTCTTGTGATGCTTACCAAACTCAAACTTGAAAAGAGAACAGAGGCAACTGTACTTCAAAAGAAAAAAAAAAGAAACTAAAAGAGGACATCTGAACTGGTCTAAAAAATTAACTGATCTATAAAACTTAAGGCAAATAAAAAAACTTTAAATCAATTCTGCCACAAAGGGGTTCAATGAAGCATCCGTTGATTTTTTAGTGCATAAAACAACATTGAAAATGCTGTTGCCACAAAAACCCTCTCAAACTGTTTGGAAATAATTTTATGGGTTAAAAGGTACCTTAAACTATGCCAACTTTCAATTCAATGAAGAAGCAAAGAGCAAAATACCAAAAAGTAATCCTAACCAGAGGAGGGCAAAATGGAAAAGCTACATCTTGAATTTACAGGAAGATGCTAACTTTGATGCATGTGAATTGACATTATATTAAACTTTAAGATGACATCAAATTCTTTTTTTAGCCTGTTTTAGTACAAACTCACTGAATTCAATTGCTAAAATTAAAGAATGAAAACATTAACCAATACATGGACTTTCCATAGAGAGATTGTTTTCAAATCTAGTGACCTTTCTGTCAAATAAACTAAGACCCACTCAGCCCAAATTAAAATCAGTCCCAGGTAAATAATCTTGAAACCCATTTTACATACAGGTTTGCTGCTTGAGAATCAAAATATCCCTTTACAGCAACATGATCAAGAATAAATCCTAAATGACATTAATTAAGCGGAGATAATGAAAAAGAAAATTAACCAACATAGAAAATAAGTTGCACAAATCTACTTCCGGACTGCCGAAAGTCCATCATTTATGCAGTCTTTGAAAATAAATTACACAGGAATAACTATACAAATGACAAGAGATAACCCTCCGATTGCATCTTTTAAGCTTAAGATTGATTCAACAGCTATCACAAAGCAATCCATTGTGGCTTGAAAGTGGGGCTACTACTAAAAATGGCGGTTTCAAACGGTTATTGTTCGTTGAGCCAAGAGGGTCTACTTTCGTTTTCTTAATACAAACGACCTCGATCACGATAAACTTACGATGTTTAACATAAGGATTAGACTAAGATCTCAGTTTGTTGACTGTAGAATTTGCCTAAGAGTTTCATATGAAATATATTGCTCACGAAAGTACTACCGAATCTTTGAAAAGAACGATCAATATAACGCAAATTCGATGCCTCGTGAACGCTATTATGCGAACGAACCTCGTGCCACACACAAAGAAAACACCGTTCGCAAGCAAATAATTCAGTTCTGTCCAACAGACAACTTACCTTGAGAAAAAACAACAGATAAGACTGTTGAAGTTGAAATAAAATAAGAAGCGAGACTATTTGGGTCAAGATCTTACTCTGACAGTGATAAATATAGAATTGACACCACAAAAACTCTCGCTTCTTCAGATGTTTACACTAAGTTTACTTACCCGCTAAATTATCCAGCATATAGCCTAGAAGTTTGGCTGTTCCATTTTTTTCCTCATTTATAGTTAAAACATCCTGTGGTAAGGGATTTCCTTGCAATCCAAGGGTTTGTAACTGGAAAAGTTTTCCGAGTTCGTTAGGTAAAAGCCTCAGACTATTGTTGCACAAAAGGAGCTCACGTAATGTGACCAGATCTCCAAGTTCGCTGGGCAAACTTCGTAGTTTATTCGATGATAAATCCAAGTGCTTGAGCTGAGCAAGCTTGGAGATTTCTGGAGGAATCTTTGTGAGATGATTGTCGTTTAAGAACAACGCAGTTAAGAAATCCAACCGCCATAATGACGGGCTCAAATTACGAATCGTAGCCGTAATTTCCAGTTCTGTCCATTTCGACTTTTTGCCGTTAGCTACATCCTCGGGACTCATCAAAGTATAATTTCTTCGAACATCATTATTTTCATGCTTATCCTTCGGCATTTCGAACGAATCATGACAATCTTCTCCTGAAAGTAGCCTCTGCAAAGATGGCGTACAACATGGCCACCAAGATAGACCATCAGACAAGGCTTCGGATCAGTTAGCAGTGACGTCATCAGTTTTCTCGAACGCAAGTATCTCTGACCCGCGGGATTCCACGCAAGCCACGGGAATTTTGGTGTGTATACTTCTGACCTTGATCTGATCCTGTTCTGGCATTCTTAAATAGTGAGAACGAGCCTCAAGGCAAGGCGAACAAGGAGAAAATCGAATGCGATCACTAACACTTTTCGCGAGCTCGTTTCCGTCATTCTTCTTCATTAAGCAAGGGTCTGGTTCAGCATGATCGACTGAAATGCAACATAGTAATTTAGTGTTATCAGCCGAGTTGATAACGTAAACCGGCCACCATAAAGAGTTTAAAGGCTGACGTTTCGAGCGCCAGCCCTTTGTCAGACGAAGGGCTGACGCTCGAAACGCTGGAAACTTCAGCCTTCAAACTCCTTACGGTAGCTAGTCAGTACGTTATCAACTCGGTTGATAACACTCAATTACCCTGCTGCGAGGATCTCCTAATTTCAACTCAATTACCCTGTTATACTCTCCCATCGACGTAGCACCACAGTTTCTATAGAAACTTACCCCCTTTATTGAAATGCAACATAGTTTTACTTCTGAAGATCTAGTTAACAAAATCCTCACTTTCCAAAGTCAAATCATACCTGTTAAGCGGCGATCTCGAATTTTCTCTTACTTTTCGTGACAATTGACCCGGTCGACTAGAAAAAAGCCTCCCTGCTGACAAGAACAATCAAAGTAGGGATTAAGGATATATCGCCGCCCTGTTCTTAAACTCTTTCCAGTCACGAAGATAGTTCTGTAGACTGATTTCACTTTCAGTTGGGTATGCAATATATCGTATATCCATCGAAAAAAAGATTTATTTTAATATGCTCGGAAGTGGCGGTGATTGCCGACGTAACCTTCTCTCAGTGTGTCCAAATATCAAACATCCTTGATACGCTACCCGGCTTATTTGAAGAACCACTCCGCTTGGAGTTTGCATTTTCCACTCTTCCCCCTTGAAAGGCATTATAAGGTCATATTGGCAAAGTCTTAATCATTTAGGCCAATTTAGGTGCAGAAGAAGTTGAAATCTTCATTCTACAAGGCTTGTGTCAGCCGTTAATTTTGCTAACAATAAGAAGAAGTTCTTCCTTGGTTTCTTTTTTACTCTGTGACGAAATGCCCAGCAGCCAGGAACGGTCTAAATTAGACTAAATACCCAACGACTAAACGGCAGTCTGATCAGAAGCGTACAATTTCTAGGTGCATATCGACGGTGTGCTCAAGCTCGAAGAATTTGTCCACTAAAAAACAAGTTAATTTGTGGAATCGCCTGACATTTTCAAATAGACATCGGATATTCCCAGGAATTTTGAGAGAACCTTTCGATGGTAATTCGAGCATTTAGTCTATTTGAGACCGACTGCCATGCTGTCGGGCATTTAGGCATTGCGTTTTTTTTTTCAACATTTCTATTTCACCAGAGTTTCCACTTTACACTTTAAAGGCGTTATTTGAGCCCATTTCCCATAAAATCGGTGCTGAATTCACGATAGAGTGATTGTGGTCACTCATCCATGACATTTGCAACGATTTCAATTGCCCCCTGCGCTAGTTGTTAATTAAGCTACATTTATTCAAGATACTGAAACGCCTTTCCTAACAATTAAGCGCACGACACTTAAAGAGGTTTCCTTTTTGCTGGCAGACTTCTTCATCTCAGCTATCATTCCTTGCTCGTGGTTCCTTTTTGTCCTGATGGTTTGTAGACCACCCAATACATAAAATAATTTCGTCTTTCATTTGAAAGCCTCCAACATCGTCACCGTGAACCTGTCATTAATTAATCAAATTGGCGTCGTCATGCACCTGGTGACGAGTTAGATATCGCGGTTAATACTTCTTTTCTTTTAGAGGATTGAGAGGGTCGGGGATGCAACTACCAAAAGAGACAAGAACTCAGCCTAAACAAACGTTCTCCAGCCTGTACACCCTAACATCAGTATGCATATTCTCCATACTTTTGTCTATTTATTTCCTAAGGTGCTGACAAGGAGAATTTGTTTAACAATCAAGAGCCTTTTCAGTCGGTGATCATTTTCTTTCTTCTGGTAACCTTAATGTGTGATTTGGGGTGAAAATTTATGGAGAAATTAAATTCTGGTCACTCTTCCTGGTCAAAGAGTTAAGTTGAACATTTTCCATACTGACTTGCAATGAGACCTTTTTATTTTCAAAGACATAGGAGTTGCATATGGTTGACATTGAGTAGAGGGAAATATACATTCAATAATTTGGATTGTGTAAATATTTTGAATGAATCCATTACCACAGGCCCTCATTTTATCTCTAATGAGTAAATATAATAAATAATCGACAGCCTTGAAATTGATCATTCCTTGCTAATAATCCTGAAAGCTAAGTTGTCTTAATAGTTTCCAAAAATTTCCTCTTTATCCCTTAAATTCACAATGACACTAGATTGTGTGTTGCTTAATCTGTTATCTATATCCAACCAGCTCATAAGGTGAATATGATTCTGGTTTAAATCCTTCTTTTAGGAATTTAAACTCCAAACCCTAGGTGCATATTGATGATTTCTGACATACAAAGTCCTGATGTATGTTTTTTTTCCTTTTTTATATAATTTAATACATTAAGTGTGGCTTTATCAATTAATATGGTGAGGTTCAAGTTTGGCAGAAATAATACTAGCTTTCTGGGAGAAGCAAACAACTATGGTGCTATCATTGGTAGTTTATTGGAAAAAGAACAATAATGAAGAAATATCAAATGAATCCTTAGCAATGAAATTCCCAATTTTTAGGATTGGAGTTTTAGTATTACTAATTATTTCTATACTATAATAAAAACAATAGTTAAAACAAAGCTACTTAGATTCATGTGCTTCAGGTCTATTTTTTCTTTGCAAAGTAAAATCTGGGTGAAATATAAGGATCTTGTTTGGAAGTATATATTATACATATTATATGAAATATTTGTTTTTTGAAATGAATATCTTGTATGCCTATGTGTGTAATGTTAAGTGTAACATTGGTAAATGGGATTAAAATGTCTAATAATTCTTGAGTCAAGAGTATTAGCTCAATGAACGTTTTCATTTCTCCAAAGTTTAAGCATTGAAAGCATTTAATAAATAATATTCCCTATGAAAATACACTTCATTTCATAGACATCTGTTACATGATTACATTGATCGTGTTATTTGTTGAAGGCAGTCTTTGCCTCAAGGCCAAACTGCCTTGCAATGATACTTAATGGTATTAAATACTATATAATTAAATGTTATGCAACTTTGATGCCTCATTTCAAATGAATGTGCTTGATTTGAGACAAATAATTATTATCTAACTTCTAGTTGTTTATATCTATAGGGTTCAAGTGCATTTTTGGTTCTGAAAGTTCTTATGAGATATAGCAATGCTGTAAAATCCAGTAAAACCCCAGCAATTACAGCTTGCCAGAACTCCTTGGGATGCAAGTAGCACATGACAGACAATGAAGTATAAATTAGTGATTTCTTCCAGTTATCAACAGCTAGTACATACTTCCACAAAGCCTGGCCACAACTCTCTTCCCTGATAAAAATGAGAAGCCATAAAAATTAAAATGAGGTTAACAACTTCATCCATTTTACTTTAAAAGCATCTTAATTTACAAGTCTGGGTATATAATAACCCTTTAACTCCCAGAAGTGATAAACATGAAACTTCTCCCGATAATATCCTTACATCATCCAGCAAACAGGTAATGAAAACATTCAAACTTATGAGGTAGAAGTTGTTATCTTGATATAACACCAAATTCTCATAACTAATTTACTGGTAAATATGTAGCAGCTAGAGGGGAGAATTAACAATCAGATCTTGGGAGTTAAAGGGTTAACAAGAATAACTGTTTATAGTACTGTTGGAGACCAAACAGAAAGCTATGATCAGGAGCTGAAAATGAACAGAAACATTAGGGAGAGCATTTTAGCCCTTTAACTCCCAGGATCTGATTGTTAATTCTCCCTTCTAGCTGCAACACATTTACTTGTAAATAAGTTATAAGAATTTTGTGCTAGATCAAGATAATATGAGAAAATGTGAGGAAGAGAGAGCTGATGACTTCAATTTACATGTACTCCTGACTGTATGATTCATAGAAAAAATTGGAGCTCCCTTAAAGACCAATCCCAAATTCATTTTAAACAGAGTGAAACAAATGCAATTCCAGATTGCTTTCAACACCTTTAATACTGAAAAAACCTCTATCAAGACTTGTTATCTGTAGTAAGTCATAATCAACTCTCTCTAGGACAGACACTGTTTGAACCAGCCGCAGACGTTTGTCCTGAAGAGATGTCTACCTGATAGATGTTAGAGGATATGTGACAACAATGATTCTGAGATTTATAAAACCCTTCTTAGAGAAATTTGAATACAATTAGTGTTTGAAAGCTTGTAAATTTTCAGAGAGGAAATAAAGTGATTCAATCAGATCTTAACTTAATCTAATATTAATAGCGTATCATAACATTTATGATACAATATTTATTTTATTTGAAACGTTACATTTAACCCTTTCATTCCCCCAAGTGACCAAGACAGAATTTCTCCTTACAATATCAAACAGGCAGGTGATGAGAATAGAGAAGAATATCAATTATGGGATTATTAGTTAATCCAATACCAAATTCTCTGAACTAACATCATTAGAATTGTATGGCAGATAGTAAGGAGAATTACTGATTAAATCTTCGGAGTGAAAGAGTTAATATAACATTTCAAATCAAAATTTGCTATTTTGCTATCCAAATTAAACAAAGTTTTGTCCGATGGAGGTATCTATTTCAAGAGATTTGACAGAACAATTCTAACAGAATACAAATTGTCATGTTTGTCATATTTATAAAGAAAAAAAATTAAATATTTATTTTGATACATTACCCACAACAAGCACACTTGTCCAAAATGAATGTTATCTCAAAAAAAGTAACAGCAAAACCACATATCCTGAAAAAAATAAGAATACGTATTACTTAGATACAACAAATCTTTCATTTTTTGCTCAATACCTGAAATTTTTAAAATCTATTTGCATTTGTATGTTTCACAGCCAGCTATAAGGCAAGGTGAATAACTCAATACACAGTGTACCATGGTGACTATTAACCAATCACAACATTACTCTAAAATTATAAAATGCAAAGGTCTTTTATCTAATTTTACAAAATATAATAAACAAGATTAATTAAGAAACAATAAAAATGCAGGCATGATCCAGTGTGTTGTATAATAAAAAAAAATTGTATGACACTTACATAAGGTATGCAGCTACCCTTTTGTCATCTTGGTCAGCCAGAAATACACCTGTCCACCACAAGGCTAGATATAATTTTTAAAAAGTAAGAATGTTCAAATATTTGAGGAGAAATTCTCTGACATGGTATCCTTCCCCCACCTTTCATACAAGAAGATTAGAGTAACGATTGTTTTCAAGAACCCATGACGTCTGGATCTCTTACAGATGATGATGGCAATGGCTTCACCAAACTTATTAAATATTTCTAATTTCCGAAATCTTCTCTGTAGGTATTGAACTGAAATAACAGATTAGGTCTCTGTAAAGAAAATTACTTCCTCAAAAGCCACATATACAACTCAAACATGCCATATCATTCTATACATATAAAAGCAAGCCACAAAACATGTGATATCCGATAAATTATTGATAAAATTTTACAAGCTTCGTCTTGAATCCTGAAAGCCCTTTTCGTGTCGTAATGGGCACGTATTTAAATTATGCAATGAGACCTCAGGATTATGTGTACTTTTTGTCTATTCCTTGGAATTTTCCTTGAAATTGCAACACAGTGAAGCTTATTCGAAATAAGAAATTAACTTGCCTGCGCTGGTAAACAGGCCAACGATTCGAGTAATCGAAGTAAAATGTCTGATGAAAAAGGGACGTTCTTCTCTAATTTCCATGTCAAAAGCTTCTAATGATCCGTTACTTTTGGCATAATCAGGAGTACATCACCATCAATCTTGTTGGAGTAGGTACGATCAAATTTGGAAATAAAATGAGCAGCGAACTCACAAAAGTTGTTTTCGTGGCAGCCAAGAAATAGCAAGGCGTTCCTTGCTAAAGATATAGCATAAGTACTAGTGTCCAGTTTCTTATGATAGGATGTGTAAGAGAAGGACTGAACGGTATTTCTTACATGAAATGTGGACCAGAGACCACGAATTTTTGAATAGTCGAAGAAGAGAGCGACTCTCTGCGTGTAGCCTGTCGCGTCTAAGCTGTGATTCGTGGATTAAAGTGTTAAAAATAGTTTTTACAATTATTTTTTTAAAAACATTTATTACAGCTGTCATGATGGTATTGTCGTTTACCATACGTCATTAACAAAAATCTTACAAAGTTGAGGAAAACTTACTTCTCCTTCATGTCTCCCACACACCTGACATCCTGGAGATAGTAGAGGCGTTTCACAGGATCTGATTGCAATTTCGTCCGAAAGTCGTCTGTAATTGCATGTATGCCCCGAAGAAAAAAAATTATTTTTATGCTTGTGACACACATTAAGAGAAAGAAACACAACTATAGCACAAGTCTGTCACTTTACGACTCAGCTAAGACTAATCAGAACGACAATGACAAAAGTAGTAATGATAATATTAATAATAATTATAAAAATCAATGCTTGTATAACACCTATCCGAATAGATTCTATGTTGCCGTACGTCCTGTAGAGTAAAAGATCAGAGATGAGCTATGAACACTACTGAACTAGTAGTTGAAATGAGACTTGAAAAAAATTTAGACCCGTACGGGATTTGAATCCATGACCTCTGCGATACCGGTGCAGCGCTCTACCAACTGAGCTATCAAGCCAACTGGGGACTAATGATAATTTTGGATCTAAATAATGATCAGAGATGACTTCAAAATATGGCACAAGAGGTGCAGTCACTGATGTTCCTACCAAATCATGACGTCTTCTGTGATCTATTACTGAATAGACCCACGGCGACAGAATCTATTTGTTTTATATGATAAAAAGCAACATGTTGTGAATGATTACGTCACCTATGCATCTGCTCTCCAATAGATGATAAGCAATAACAAATCGAGATACATGTACAATTCAGATTATCATATAAACAGTGTTATACGGCGAATAAAGTGAGAGCCCGACAGTATGTCCCGAAAAGATCTCGTTTATATATATTTAAGATTGAGATATCGATAGCTCTATCTCTGAAAGATTAAAGATACCTGGAAATAAAAAAAAAATTATTGGTATTGGAGCTAAGGTCGGCGATACATCGATTTCCTAGGTTTAGTTTACAAGATGCGGATTTAGGCCCGTAAAGTTCTTGGGTCATTTTAGAGACGGGCCCCAGGAGTAAGCTGCATGCTGAACTTTGATACAGACGCCTACACGAAAATAAATCGATTCCAAAAGCTTTGACAACTTTAGAGTCGCATCCACCTAGTCTCTTGCGGAAGGAAATTGAGGGGGAAATACAAATATCTACGTACAGATCTACAATAGAAACGACAAAAGTGTTGGTTTTGCTTCGAAGCGGCCGCATACTACAGAAAGAATGATGGAAAAACTGCAGTTTATGAGGGGGCAGTGCGACAGACATATATCTTTTGAACTGATTCTAGTTATCTATCGTCTAAGGGAGGGTTTAGTTTTTTAAAAAATAACCTGAAAATTATGACCTTTCTTTCCCATTAGCTTAACTATAAGAAACGAAAGATAGACTTTCCAGATAATTTATACTGATATCTTAATTTGGGGTGAAAGGGTTAAAGAAAAATTATGAGTTTCAAGTTCATTTGTCCTTAATGGGAGAGTTGACTGACAAAAAATATGAAGATGTCATTGATAGCGCGATCGATTTTGTACGTTGGTTTCGAATGATGACTACAAATTTCACGCCATGAGGACTCCTTAAAATCACGTAGAGCCTGATATTGTGGATAGCAGCTGATTTCTGATACAAGAAGCCGTTCTTACCGACTTATGTCTGCATAGTTGGAGTTGATATCTGCATTCTCGCGAGGAGATCTTAAAGCCGGAGCGCCGCGGCAGGTGTCTTCGTCCTTTTTTATTACGGTCTCGATCACTAATATCGCTATTAGCAATATTTTCTGTCTCTTCAATATCAACATCAGCGTTATTGTCACGAATAACAGCTATAATTGGGTCCTCAGTTTTTATTACATATTGCATCAGCTTATTCAATAACGAATTGGAGCAAGTCTTGTTACAAATTAAAGTGCAAACGGTGTTGTCACAAAGAGCGACGATTATTACAAAGTGCGACAGAAGAAAACACTCCAGCAAACAAAGGACGGTGTGAGACCAATTTTAAGTTTTGAATGAAGAGGGGAGTTTACAGACTTAAAAGAATTCGGTGTTCAGATCTTCTTAGCAGCTTCTTATTAATCAACTTCGAAAACGTTTCGTTTTAATTACAAATTAGTGCAAGTTAGAGTTGGATCGAGGCACGCTTTTCATCCACAAATGATGGCCAAAGTTGACCCAAACAGAACGAATTCCACTGAGAGAGATCCATGTCCTTTTGAGCCTTATACGTCAACAGAGAAAGCCTTCCAGTGTATAGCTTACTTCATCATCATGTTCGGCTCCTTCATCGGTAACGTGTTGGTCATATGCGTTGTCATTCTGAACAGACAAATGCGAACTGTCACGAATTATTTGATAGTAAATATGGCAGTGGCAAATCTCTTCATTACAACTTTCAGTATGCCGGTCACTGTAAAAGCTCTCGCGACGGGACGCGGCATAAATTGGTCAAATGGTGTCTTGTACGATATATTGTGCAAGATAATCCCATTCAGCCAAGCTATGTCGATCGCAAGCTCTGTTGTGAGTTTGACAGTTATCGCTGTTGACCGCTTCTTAGCAGTAATGTACCCTATGAAGACGTTCGTGACTATTCAGAAAACGTACGATGCAATAGCACTGATCTGGTTTATGGGTATCTTGGCTAATTCACCGACGCTTTACGCCCAAAAAATTGTGTACCTTGAATGCAGTCAAAGATGGACCTGCGTAGAGATATGGGAACCAGCTTTCATTGGAGGAGGATACAAAGCCTTTACAATCGTTCTGTTTGTGTTTTTTTATCTATTTCCTCTACTAACCATGTCAATTCTGTACAACTGCGTCATTTACAAACTTTGGGTCAGAAAAGTACCGGGAAATCAAACTTCCGAAAACCAGCAGCGATCTAACAAATCCCGAAAGAAAGTCTTGAAAATGCTTCTAGCCGTCGTAATTCTTTTTGCAGTGTGCTGGTTTCCAGTGTACATCACCCAATTTATCTGGTTCTTTGGCGAGGAGGACTTTCCCTGCGGTGAACCAAAGACTTTAGCATTCATGGGCTATTTTTTGGGGCATGCTAACAGCGTCATTGATCCTGTCATTTATGCGATATTTAACTCTGACTTTCGAAAAGGATTTAGAAATGTTTTACTATGTCATTATTCACGGAGGAGCAGAGTTGCTCCGCAAGTCAACATAGGAACCGTAATTGGGAGGGAAAATTGTCACGTTGCTGATGCGATTGGCCTCCCGCGTATACGTATTCGAACGCGGACATTTTAAGCTAAGATAGATCATTTCTAAGTTGTTTATCACATTATTCTTCGCTGAAGGGTCCAGGACCAAGTTTCCACTTTAAAATCAGAAGTGTGATTTTAGTCAAAAAATAACGTTGATAATTCATAATAACTGCATAATGATAGTTAAAACGGTACTTCAGGCGCGTAGCTACGGCGGCTTTTGACTGAGTCAGTAGATAAATGTGAAACGCTGTGTTCAGTGATAAGCATATTCTAACAAATATTGATGTCCTTAAGATGATATCATAAACTGCTAATGCTAGTATTAATTAAAACTGCCTGTACTGGTGTCAAATTGATGGTTTTTCAGTAGCCTCTGTAAGCAATGAGTTGACGATAGCAGCTGGTTTTAGCGAATAAACGAGAAGCTAACACAATACGTTTTGTTGCGAACAAAATGCCTTATTCTCAATAAAATGAACTAGTTATGGATTGAAATTTTCCTAAAGGACTGGTCCTTACTAATCCTTACTAAGTTTTGGGGAGATCAAATAGTTTTTAGGGGGAACGGAAGGCGATCAGTCGTCCTTAACAAAGTTTTAACCCTTCGTTGTAACTCCCAGACCAAATTTTTGATTCTCCTTAGTGTCAACCATACAATTCTCATAATGTTTATTTAGATAATTAAGTATTGGATCATCTTATTATCCCCAAATTGATAATTTTCTTCATTCTCGTCACTTATCTCGCTGATATTGTATTGATATTGTAAGGAGATATTCTGTCTTAATCACTCATGGGAGTTTAGGAGTTAAAGGGAGACTATAGTAAATTGACTGCCAATGAGGGGGATCATCAGAATACTACAGTGTCTTATGAGTGGGGCGGAGGAAGGGGGGGAGAGATCTACCAAATTCTATTGTGACACAAACACATTTCCACCCCCTCCCCCTTAATCCATAAAGAATGACCGTTTTCTTAAACTAATAAAAATACAAGCCATATTGATGAGATAAAAACACTTGACTTCAATTAAGATCATTAGCAAAACTATAACTTGTCTGTTGCCTGTAAAATAATTCCTAAATCGCCTCGGTCTTATTACCTCTCTACAGAAATGCTAATGCGTGCATAAAAACGAACTAGTAGAATCCAAAATAAATTACTGTTGCTGACAAGTGACAGAAAAAAAAACAAAAAACAAAACTTTCCAGCGTCAATATGATCAAATAAAGAATAATAAAGAAGTTTTAAAGAGAAGTAGATATGACAAAAATGTCACCAAATAAAAGGTAAGAAGAAAATTGCCTTTTCGTGATGGTCAGAAAGAACATAAAGCGACCTGACAGAAATGCTAATTTGGGCGAGTTGCGTCAAGCTCATGTCATGTGCAGCGAAATTCTGAGGGAAATTTTGACACAACATTAATAAAATTTTATTGTCGTCGCAGCGATGTTTACTTTATTTATTTTACTCCGATTCGCACTTTTTGCATCGTGTACATATCCATTGCGAAACTCTTCCGCCCTATTGAGTTGCATCCTCTTTACTACGGACGGAGAGATAATTATTAAACTGCACGATAACCTTTACGTACAACGTTATGGTAAGGGCTTCTTGCCAAAAAAGAGCGAGTGAACGGCTGACACTTTGAACGGACAAAAATTTAAAAACCACTTGATCTCAAGTGATATAAGACTAGATCTTGTTTATGGAAATTTATCATAGCATATACTTCAAAAATTGCACTTATAAAATTAATTAGTTGTGAGAGTGGTTTGGCAATACAAATCCATGTACAATGGGATGCGTTTCTTAAAATACGAAAAAAAACTTTGATTTAGCAAAAGCTCGCTCTTGATAAAATGATTCAATCCTTTCTTTTTTTATCTCGTCCATTAAGTATGTAGTGATAGCCGCCAAAATCCACTATCCTCGATATCGATGGACCGGTAGGATTCTGAGCTCTTTGAAAGAGTAGTACAAAGTTGTTTGACTTTTTTCAGATCACACGCGTACAGCGAATGCGTCGTTTTACTTCTTCTTTTATGTCCCTCTTAAACAGAGCGTAGGCAACTGGGTTGATGGCAGAGTTAAAAACAAGAAGAGGTATTTTATATTCTTGATCATTACAAGAATTTCCTCTGTATAGAAAAGATATACAAGACTACATCGCAAAGAGCATGAATAAGCTAAAAGAAACAAGCCAATAACAACTGCCATTATTTTCACGGCAGACTTCTCCTCACTTTTGAACAAAAAATGGTGATTGAAGTGGAGCTGTTTTGCTAACATGCGGGCAGCTCTTTCATGCTTATAAACGACACGTAACATTGACGCAAAACAAAAGACTAGCACGCAACACGGTAGGAACTCAAAGAAAATCACATAGATCCACAACGGTAGAAAGAAAAGCAAATGGTTGTTTTCAAAAACGAGCCAATTCAGTACAAAAGGAATAATAATGGCAATCGAACTCGCCCAAGAAAAAAAAATCATTTGGGAAACTCGGCGGCGCTTCATTACCGTTAAGTACTTCAACGGCTTTACAACAGCAATGTAGCGATCCATAACCAAACAACACAAGTTTGTCACAGAGGCATAACCAAAGAGCCACCTTAGATAATCCACTCTGTTGGCCAAGGGGGCTTCAGGATTGCACCCACTTGTCTTCTCGCAGATAAAAAGTGGAGGAACAGTACTCAATCCAACACAGAAATCCGCCACAGCAAGTGAGACGACAAACGCGTTGGTTTTGGTTTGAAGACGCCTTCTGCTGCAAACAAGGACGATGATGAATCCATTTCCGATTATGGTCAAGATTGAGAGAGACCAGCCAAGAATCCAGAACCAAGTTTCCATCGAGCAATCAAAAAAGTGTTTTACTCAAATAAAACCGTTTTAAAAAAGACCTGTGATATCAACTGATGTAAGACTGTAATCCTTGAAGCACCTGGTAATTTTTGATGACGTCAATTGTCGTGTCTTTTCACGTCTTATTTCAGTCTATATGAAAATTGTTAATTACCCGGAGGAGAAGTAACTGTCACGAAAAATCTGTCTTTAAAACACACATATTTTTTTCCCAAAGATTGATCTTCGTCTCTTTTAAGCTGAAATGGTTGATTCGTCTAAAGATAGATTTGAATACTGCATGCACATCATAAAACATTGCCGGGAAAAGGTAGATTCCCGAATAAAGTTTGGTCTTGCCTAACAGCTGTTAAGAAACGGTTAAAAGAGAGCTACAGGGCTATATCTTCCGCTATGGTCTTTCTGCCAGGGTATGTAAAAAACAACTTTTGTATAAGTTTATTCTCAGCTAAGACTGAATTTATACAACGAGGCAGTACGAGCAGAGTAAGAAAGAGAATTTATAAAATGGCATTGTAAGAGACACAATGTCTGTGTCATTAATATTGAAAAGGAAGCTCTCTATTATTAATACAACACCTTCATAACGTTAACCATGAATTTGAATATTAATCAAAATCATCGCATCAGTTCCTATCTGAAAAGACTCGAAACCATCACAGTAAACATGATGTCCGCGGTGGCATGATAATTTTTGATGACTACAGTAAGGAACTAATCTGTAAAGATAGCCAACCATGGGATTTGATAACCTGTCTCTGACAGCTTAAGGAAATTTTTAGGACTTCAGTTGTTGTGTCAAATACAATTAAAATTAACAGTTATGATATGAAGAACGATGGAGAGATCACTAAGTTGGTTCAATCTGATAATGATGAAATGATGATAGGAAAGTTATAATGCAATTGTTCAGACGTTGAAAGAGTTGTGCACGCTGTGTAATATGTTTTCATTTTTTGCCATTTTTTAAATTTTTTTTAGGACACTTACAAAAGCTAGAGCACATTTCTTAGCTCATATTACCTGATACGCGACAAATTTCCCATGTTGTGTGAAAAACTTGATTTTACTGCAAAATGTAAAAAGATGGCCATGGGTGAAATGAAAAACAGAAGAATAGTTACAGTTTGCAGAGGAGTTATCAGTTAGGGGACAGTTCGTAACTGCCTCTTTGTCATCTTAGATCTAGAAAACAACAAATTCACAACTGATAACAACACACCTGTCACTGAAGATGTAGAAGTTTATTATTTTTTTCCTTGTAGCATGTATGAACGTTCGAATTCTAATTGTGGGGGGTGCAGTCCAAATCAACTACTGTCTGCCTTTGTTAAAATTACATATCTAGCACAAAATGTTTACCTTCTTCTTGCATTTTGTCTGTTTAAATCATAATGGAAAACGTTAGCAGCTGCAGATGAACACTCCCCCTTTGTTCTCATTCGGTCTTGCTTCCCGTCAGAGTTAATCTTCTACACTAACTGTTAGTATGAATATTCTCCCTAATGTATTTCCCATGTTACTGACAAGGAGAATTTGTTTATCAATCAAAACATGTTTTGGTTGGCGATCATTTCCTAGATTCTAGCCAGTCTTAGGGTTAAAGAGTTTAACAAAGCAAATTCAAAAGTTTCTCGTTTACTAGAGACAGTTTCGTCTAGAAAACCAGCTGATCCCAGTTGACGTCAAAACAATATCTCATTTTCATTTTAGCTCGGAATATCTGTTTGATTTTCATAAACTGTTAACTCTACAGAGTGAATCTTGTTATGGTTTAACAGCATTACTTTGTACTAAACGAGATGCGTGCCTGACATTATGATCAAAACTATTAATTTGGAAAAAGTCTTGAGTCATTAAGTGGTTCAATATTGTTTCTCTTCTTCCAGATCACACAGCTAATGCGTCGTTCTACTTCCTCTTTTATGTCCCTCTTGAAGAAAGCGTAAGCAACTGGGTTGATGGCAGAGTTTAAAACAAACAGAGGCAATTTGAATCTTTTATCATTACATGGTTGTCCGTCTTTCATTATGTATACAAGACTACATCGCAGATAGCATGCACAACAAACAAGAAACAGGCCAATAACAATGACCATCAATTTCACAGCGGACTTCTCCTCGTTTTTGCGCAAATATCGATGATTGAAGCGGAGTTGTTTTGCTAAGATACGAGCGGCTCGTTCGTGTTTATAAACAACATGTAACATTGAACCAAAGTAAAAAATGAGACTGCAGCACGACAGGATCTCTAAAATAATTAATATCCAAAAAGAAATTAAGAAAAGAGAACGATTGTCGTTAAAAACGAGCCACATTAGCACATAGGGACAGACAAGAAGAATTGACAGTAACCAAGAAAGGAAAATCAACTGAGAAACACGTTTGCGTGTCATGAACAATAAGTATTTGAGAGGCTTCACAACAGCAATGAAGCGATCCAGGACTAAACTACATAAGTTTGTTACAGACGCATATGTAAACAGCCACCTTAGATAATCCACCCAGTCGGCAAAAGGGGCTTCAGGATCGCATCCATTTGTCTTCTCGCAGACAAAAAGTGAGGGAACAGCACTCAGCCCAACACAGAAATCCGCCACAGCAAGTGAAACGACAAACGCGTTGCTTTTAGTTCGAAGCCGCCGCCGTCTGCAAACAAGGAAGATGATAGATCCATTTCCAGCTATGGTTAAGATGGAAAGAGACCAGCCAAGAATCCAGAACCAGGTTTCCATTTAGGGGTTTTTGAATGACTTTACTTCGGCGAAAATACAGAAGATAACTTTCGATGATGAACTGATGGAAGACCCACCGATGAAGTTACTTGACTAAGGAACATTTTTATTGACACCTGTCATGAGCCTGTCAATAAAAGTGCTCAATTTGTTTGCCTTTACGTATGTAAAGTTACATATTTAATACAAAGCCTCTCCTGCCTCTTTATCTGCTTCACCCGTAACGTAAAGATAACTAGCAGATTTTAGAACTCACTGTTCTCATTGTGGCTGATTTCATCTGAAAATGTGGGCACGAACTAAAAAACTGGCTTGTTCAGGCCAGAATTATTTCTTACTGAAAACCAGCTGACTGCAGCTTTAACGCAGTCAAACAAGTACCAGAACTTCTGACTAAAACTTCCGTGGCTCGGAATAAAAGTTATCCATATAGTCCAGAGCAGAAACACTTACCTTTCAGTACTCAGCTACTGAAATTATGTAATTTAGTCTCCACTACACAACAAAAAACACAGTAGTGTACAACAAATAAGTTTATTTAGGGAAGCCTGCCGAGAACCAACCCGAGGCACATATAGCCCGAGGCGTGCATACATACCTTCGCAACTGATCTACAATCCTGATACAAAGTCAATTCCTTACACATTCAAAATAGGTATACATTACTAACATGCACACTTCACCAAGTCGGGATTAACAGAGGTGGGCAACCGTTTACAAGGACATTACTACGGTTATACGGAGGCCAGAAAAAACCTGCCAGAAAAAACCCCTTTTGGGGAAAAAATATGACAGGAAATCTGGGTAGGAACCATGGCCCACACTCAGAGCAGTTGGCAGCCCGTCCTACGAGGCTTCACAGTTAAAGAAAATAAGTTTTCAAACTAAAATAAATTTGTCATCAGCCAGAGGTGGACGGTTGGTTCTGAGGCCTAGATGGACGTCACGTGCTATACTCCCCCTTATATACCACTGCATCATTACCCATGATGCTCGGGCCTAAGGCCCAGGCCTTGTCGTATCTCGTGCCGACAAATTATTTATTTCTGCCTTATTCGCAGACTCGATCGTCAGAAATACCATTTTTTTAGTGTTTTCTTTTCTTCGTAGATCCTAAATACATTAACTCAGGATGTTTGAAAAAAAAAGTTAAGTTTAACTGTTCTTTACGTCTAGAAAACAGATTGATGAACGCTAAGGCAAGGATCAATAATAGCTAACTGAACATTTCTGGTTGAGGACAAGTTCATCCAAGGTTTTTAGTTCTGGTTTGAAGTGTTATGCATTATAGCTGCGTAGGATGAAAGAGTTAGAGTAGCACATAGGGACAGACAAGAAGAATTGACAGTATCCAAGAAAGGAAAATCAACTGAGAAACACGTTTGCATGTCATGAACAATAACTATTTGAGAGGCTTCACAACAGCAATGTAGCGATCCAGGACTAAACTACATACGTTTGTTATGGACGCGTACGTAAACAGCCATCTTAGATAATCCACACTGTTGGCAAAAGGGGCTTAAGGATCGCATCCAGTTGTCTTCTCGCAGACAAAAAGTGAGGGAACAGCACTCAGCCCAACACAGAAATCCGCCACAGCAAGTGAAACGAAAAATGCGTTGGTTTTGGTCCGAAGCCGCCGAGTTCTGCAAACAAGGAAAATGATAAATCCATTTCCAGTTACGGTCACAATCGTAAGAGACCGGCCAAGAATCCAGAACCAGGTATCCATTTTTTAAACTAAGTTTGATTTTACACAGCTAGGTAAACTATCGACAAACTGTGAGGAAAAATTGATGTAAGACTTAGCGACCCCACAAGCTTTATAGCTTAACAAATATCGTTTTGAGATAAAGGATGTGATCGATTGAAGAATGACCGACTTGTATCAAATGAAATGAAAGTGGATAAACGCGCAATAAACTTAGTATTTTTTTAATCCCTGCTGTTCCTGTTTTTTTCCTCCCACTTTATTATATGCAAAACTACACCTTTGAATTTTTTTATTGATGCCAGCTTGGGCTAATGATATAATCATTTACTGATGATTTCTACTCATTCATGAGCTCTACTCATTTAACACGTGAATAATTTCAAAGGTGCAAGGCTGAATAAACCATCAGTTATTGGGGAATGGCAAAAAAAGTGAAGCTGTGGGTGTAAGGGTGAATTTCAAAGAGAATTTGAAACAGCTTCTCTTCAGGCACCTGAAAAATAACAAATTTAAAGCTAAAAATAGCAGGAAGAGTTAAGCCAGCAAAACTCAAGCAACATTTCAACGCAACATCTTGCAACATTGTTAAATCTAGTTGAGAGATGTTGTGTAGGAGCTGACCAAACGCGCGAGACATCTTGTAACATACAAAAATTTGACTATTTTCAAACTTGATCCAACGTGTTGCAACATTTTGCTACGGAGTGGCCAAACTTGTGCAACACGTTACGCGCAACAATGTTGCAAGATATTGCGTTTGACCAGGGCTTTATGCACTTGTCACTCAGGCAGCAAAATTTTTCACGGCTCAATTAGTAGTTGTTATATGCTTAAGGCATGATTTGCAAGGTTCGTCGTAACTTTAGGATCAATGACGACAGCGGACTAAAATATACTGAAGCCTATCGTCATAGTGTCGCGTGAATAACATCTCTTTTTTTTAGAGGAAGACGAAGCATGAGAAAACCCAATAGGAGCACAATTTTGCCTGTCGTTAAACTAAACGCGTTGAAGTTGCATCACATCTATCTTCTATTCAACGAATTTCTTTAAACGATTTGGCATAACACTAAATTAGCCAGAATACTGTGGTCGAGTTGGTGTTAAAATCAGCTGCCATTTACATTGGTTAAAAATTGCACCTAACACCAAACTTTCCCCTCCCCCCCTCCCACTCCCCTTTCCTATATTTTCTCTAACTTAATGATAACGAAAGGAAAACTAGCAGTTATTGAGGCGGTATCGGAGGCTAACTCGACCTTTTCGGAATGCTTTTATTTTCTCACCATATTAAAGATTATTGTTTATGCAAAACATTTGCAAAATTGGAAAATTGGAAAACATGCTACTTTCCAAATAAATGCGACTGAAGTTTTGTTTCGAAGGACAAATCTTGAGCAAAATAATAAAGATACAATCCCGGTTTGACGGTGTTTTCGGTTTACGCTGTATTTCCTTTAGATGACATTTCTCACACATACATTTCATTCAGCAATGAAATATGAAGCGCTTCTTGCCATAGATGGAACTCGGGAGAGAGCTCTACAGTAGCTAACCACTTATATTTTCCAAGCAATGAATACACATACATGATTTCTTTAGCCTTTTTATTCTAAACGTTGTCAATTATATTTCTATTTTTTGGGATGCGTCCCAACCATAAGCGAGCGAATAAACACGTATTCTATTTTGTCACGCCACGTTCAAAAGATTGAAAGTTGTGACTTTCAAATGCCCACACTACGTCGTACTTTTTAGTTCCATATGACGCATTTTCCTTCTTTCACCTTCCAGCCAAGTGACGTCAACTTTCTTAAGTAAGGGAAAGCCTAGAACATTAGCTGCAACCTCTATTTTTGGCTTACTTTTCCATATCTCGCTTATGCACAGCATGGGCGCCAAGACTGTCTCAACACTGAAGGTGTCGTTGATGCGGATGGTGCAAATGTTCACAGTCTCACGTTCTGATTGGTTTCGCGGGTAAAAAAGCAGTATGGCGATTATTACCACCTATATCGCGTTCTTGCACACTTCAAACTGTTCGCAACACACGCTTGTGCGGTAAAGAAATTTAAAGGGTACCTTTAAGATACACACGAACCTAAAAATAACCGGTAAACAAACTCGAATGAGGTAAACCAGAAAGGAAAGGAAAACAGAGATGAAAAGATCACTGAGGTGTGAACTGAACAAATTGGAGAACAAAGGCGGCTTCATTTTAGAGGTGGTCTTGGAATACAATTTTATTTTGTTCCTTAATTATCAACGCCTATTGACAAGCCATTAATGAAAGCTTAAAAACGAATTTTGCAGATTTCTTGGATTAGCTGAAAAAGTTGAATTACTTTATCTAGATGAGGCAGAAAATACGTTTTGTCATCTCCTTCTTTATATCCCGCTTGAAGAAGGCGTACGCAATGGGGTTAATAGCAGAGTTTAAAATAAGGAGGGGTATTTTATATTCTTCATCATCACATGTTTTTCCTGTTTTAAATAATAATATATAACCACATCGTAAAGCAAATGTGTTCGCCAGAAGGAAAACTCCTATAACAATTGCCATCATTTTAACTGCAGATTTCTCCTGGATTTTGAACAGAAATCGATGATTAAAGTGGAGCTGCTTTGCTAAGACACGAGCTGCTCGTTCGTGCTTGTAAACAACAAGTAACATTGAAGCGAAGCAAAAGATCAGTCCACAGCATGGTAGAAACGCCAAAAAAAATATGTTCATCGAAATAATTATGTCATATAGTAAACATTGGCCCGGACAAAGCCGATCCATTTTGAAAAAAGCCAAAGCAGTAATAACTGGAATCACCCAAGAGATGAAAATCACCAGGAAAACGCGGCGACGCTTCATAAAAGTCAAATATTTGAAAGGCATTACAACGGCGACATAACGCTCCAGGACTAAAGTGCACAGGTTTACCACTGAGGCGTATGGGAATAAGTTCCTCAAGTCGTTAGATAACCCGTTACAATCGCCTTCTTTCTGGCAGAAGAACAATGAAGGTACAGTGCTCAATCCAACAAAGAAATCTGCCACTGCAAGAGAAACGATGAACGCGTTGGTTTTGGTTCGGAGCCGCCGTCTGCTGCAAACAAGGAAGATAATAGATCCATTTCCACTTATGGTCAGAATGGAGAGAGACCAGCCAAGAATCCAAAACCAAGTTTCCATTTTTATCTGCTTTATCGATTTTTTATTTATTACAGAGGTAAACTGTCAAGAATCGTACGTGGAACAACTGAAGAAAGATCGTAATCCCGAGGCAGCTGTTGAATTCTCCTCTATGTAGGTGTATATCGGAGAGCCATCATAACACCTCTTGTCAGTCTTCTTAACGATGGTGGAGACACTTTTCCTGTTCTAAAAATATAATTTCATTGAAACTCAATTTCCTTCTTCTGGAAAAAGTTTATGGCGTTAATGATCTTTACTATGTGGTCTCGGCCTCAACGCAAGTTGGAATGAACGTTTTCGATGTCTTACGTTTGCAATGATTTCATCATAACGGTTCTGTCTTGAAATATCATTGTGAATCCAAAACCGAGTTTTTATTTTGTAATAAGAGTAGTTTTATTCATATAACTTTCCAGAGACTTGTCATGGACAAATAATCAGAAGTTATTTTTGGTGTAATAGACACCAACATCTTTTACTCCTGCCATCAAATACAAGTACAGATAGTGTTCTTCAAGATCTATTTGGAAGAGAATTGTTATGGGAAATTAAACTCATGTTTGCGTTAAATTTAGCATCCTAATAACATACAATGAGTTCACTTTATGTATTAGCATATAACAGCAGCTAAACTCTACACAGAGAACTTTTTATTAATTTTTAAACTAGAGAATATTAACTGTAAGCGGAACTTATCCCTATGACCCATGATTGTTTTTTTCAGTCTATTTTTAATTTTGCATCACGCTGGGAAGTTATTCTTTTCCATAACTCGAATGATAACGCGGATAACAATCTCGATATCGAGAAAGATGTTTTTTCGTCTTGTCACGAGCGTGGGACAAAGAGAAAATTCTGAGTCCCCATGAGGAATCGACTCTCAGACCTTCGGATTCCGCGCTCCGATGCTCTACCATTGAGCTACAGAGACTCCACGGTGAGGAAGGGATGGTTAGTTTTGAGCTCGGTAAAGAAATAGAGAAAGATGTTTTTCGTCTTGTCATATCTTGTCGATATCATCTGTTGTTGCAGTTTCCGGTGTTCAAAATTTAAACTAGTTTTTAAAAATTGTTACCGCTCATTATCGAAACAAATTTCTAAATGTTTTTCTCGTGCATCATTCGAATACTTACCTTCAGTGATTTAAAGACACACAGATGTATGAATCGTATTCTCTTGTTCTTGAATGTTTGTAAGTCTTTTAGCAGCAGGATGGGAATATTTGCATTACATCAATCCTCATTGCCTAAATTAGTAGTGAATTCGCAGAAACAGAAATATTTTCAAAGTTACATATCAAAACTGCACTGGAAAAAGAACAATTACCATCATGCTGACATCCATAACTATGTCTACGTACCAATACAAACCTTGGGACCTCCCTAAGGTAAAGCGGGACCTGTTTTGTTTTGTTTTGTTCTTTTTAACGTGCAAAAGACAAGTTTTCGCAAACAACCAAGGGGAAATAATTGTTCCTTTTTTTTCTCTTACCTGAGCTAAATCGACAAAGCGATCGATTGGGCTATCTTAATTTGCAAGTCAAGATGGCAGATCAACAGTCAACAAAAACCCGCGCAGGAATTTAAATCTACTGCCGTTCTCCCTTACATAAAGGGTGTACTAGAGGTTTTTCGCCGCTGCCTACAACATCAAGGCATACGGACCGTTTTAAAAGTCTGACACAATACTTAGGTCTTATTTAGTACGACCTAAAGACGCCCTGGAATCAACAAAACAATACTGTTTCGTTTACAAGATCCCATGTGAATGCGGCAAAGTGTACATCGGTGAAACAGGGAGATCAATGCGAGAAGGGATAAATGAACATGACAGAGACGATAGATAGATAGATAGATAGATAGATAGATAGACTGTTTATTCACAAATACATCGCAGTCATTAGACTGAATTGCGTATTTCACAGAGAAATATATAAATAGGTAAATGTTAAAACTAATCACAAACATATGTACATGATATGAAAATATAAGTATCTAATGAGATTAAAATATGTATAGTTACTAGCTAAGTACTACGCGTTGTTTGTTGCTAGGCATCTTTGGACATTGCATACACAAAGGACTGTCTAAAGCGGTCTGTGCTGAGACATACGGTTTGCTCGTACTCAGACCTCTGCGGGAATAAAAGAGGAACAAAGTTGAGAGTATCTCCTCGTTTGTCATCTGACATAAAGAAAACAATGAATTCTAAGCTGGAAACATTAGCAGTAAGTCAATTACTTGTCATATAGGAAGCATCCCTTTGAAACATAAAGATGCGCACAGGAGAAAACGTTAAGCAAGTTTTGAAAAACGCGTCTTTTGAAAACTTTTTAGGATAAAAGACAACAGAGGTATTCAAGGGAGAAATGAACTATTTTAGGCACGCAAAACAGTTGTCAAGGAGGATGGGTAAGAACATATTATACCCTGATAGAAAAACATTTTGCTATGCTTATATTGCGGATTGCATCAAAAATACTCTCGACAGGGTTTTTGCAAGGCAATCGATTATATTTTTAGTTGTGTTTAATCGAGCCTTCGGCTTGCCTTCTGTACATAACATGTTCAAAACCGAACGTTTTTCGCCCTGTTAAACTCCATCTACCTTGCTACTAAGAAAAGATAGCAATCCAATTTCCTGTAATTCCATATTTCTCAGTTGGGCCTGCACACTTTAAGACCAGTTACTAAACACAGCAAATTATTTATTTAAACCAAGTCACCTGAGCTATAAACTGACAAAACGATCGATTTGACTATCCTAATTTGCAAGTCAATGGTGACAGATATAATTTCAGCATAACCAGAAGCACTTTATTTCCCTTGTCACCCGGAAAATTCTACTTCTAAAAGTACTTCTACTGAATTTTGGCGGACGTAATTAATTTGAATAACGACATGTGCATGTCAACATAATCAATCATAATGAGATGAAAACGTTCGGAAAAAATTGCTTAAATACGCATGATTTGTACAAGGAAAATCTTGCTGGATAAGTTCTTCCTTTGACAAGTTAAAACGGTTCAATAACGTAAAAACGATTTACTTATAATCCGAACTTGATTTGAATGTAAAAGCTTCACTGATTAAAAAAACTAAATTTCTAACTCTCTCAAAAGTCCACCGGCGGTTTTCCAAGGCAATTTTTTGGCTATCAGTGAACACTTGGCTCCGTGAGACCTTTCTGAAATTGCGTCGTAGGGCATTGTTAAAAAACTCTTCCTAGGACCAAAACGACAAGTAAGCGGCTAATGATCCTAGGAACGAATGCGAAAGGTGTTTTCAACCGCTTATCAGTTGTCCAACTTGATCGTTCTAAGTCTCAAAAATGTACACAAGCACAGCACAAGCACAACAGCACAAGACAAAAAAAATTAAGCGAACTAAGCGAACCATTTATTTCGATTGTTTTTCCCTCTTTTAGCCCGAGAAAAAAAACCAAATCATTGTAAGTTAACTAAATTAATCGTACTCACGTTTGCGAACGACAAAAGCCATACAGCGTTAGTAATATGTTTCACCCGCTGTCCGTTGTATACACCCTCGCTCAACCATTAATTAAGTCTGCGAATAAACACGCTCTGCATACTCCAAATTAACGGTTCATCACGCATCTCAGAGCATATCTGTTTGACTCCGTATCTCCCCATCTTCATTTTAAGTAAGATCTTAATGTTTGATTCAAGATTTAACAATGATACCGTAAGGATAAATTTGGCGCTAGTCCAGTCTTAAAGGTTTAGGATTAACTCAGTAATTCAAAATTTGTTTGTTTGTTATGCATCTCTTCCAGTAAACCAACTGATCTCAACCGACATCAACATTAGAACTCATTTGCAATTTATTCAGGAATAGTACTAATTTTCTTCATTCGCAGCATATACATACTCTGCCGAGCGAATCTCAGAAAGTCAAGTTTTTAAATGTTTAAAATTTTTTATCCTCCTTGCACTTTTAAAAACCTGCGCAAATTTAGGTCCACCTTTTCAAGTTCCACCTGCTGAATTTTACCAGAGTCACTCAGCATGGAGAGATAACTAACTCATTACTCTAACTTCTATGTTCTTGCTCAGTCTTGTTCCTTAAGAAAATTTAAAAGCTCATTAAAGTTAGCTTTTCCGACAAAGTAGAATTACTCGTTTTCAAAACAACCTGATCTCAATTGACATCGACACTAGAACTTATTCATTTGCATTTTTTCTCAGCGGCACAACGTTATTTAAATAAACACGAGTATAACATTTCATTTTGAGCTTTCCCCAATAATTTGAATCCTAAAACTATACAACTTGTCTACTGCTTATAAACATTAATTAATATTATAGGGAAAGCTTGTATTGCGTTATGATCGATCCAAATAGAAAATTATCAATTGGGAAAAAAATCTGTTTCATGCGTTTAATTTAAACCAGCCTTTTCGTGATGGTCAGAAACTAATGTGGTTCTATTTACTTGCCGCCAAAGATAGATTATTGGGCAAAGTTTGGGGGAAAACTTTGTTCCGATGCGAAATGCCCTTGACCGCTCTTACAGAGATCGCCAAGCAAATTCAAAATTTTCTCGTTCACCAGAGGCAGTTTCGTCTAGAAAACAAGCTGATCCCAGTTGAAGTCAAAACAATATCTCATTTTCACTTCAGCTCGGAATAGTGCATATCTGTTTGATTTGCACAATTATAAACTCTACCGAGTGAATCTTGTTATGGTTGATCAGCATTACTTTGTATTAAACGAGATGCGTTTCTGACATTATGATCAAAACTATTAATTTGGAAAAAGTCTTGAGCCATTAAGTGGTTCAATGTTGTTTCTCTTCTTCCAGATCACACAGCAAATGCATCGTTCTACTTCCTCTTTTATGTCCCTCTTGAAGAAAGCGTAAGCAACGGGGTTGATGGCAGAGTTTAAAACTAACAGAGGCAATTTGAATCTTTTATCATTACATGGTTGTTCGTCTTTCATTATATATACAAGACTACATCGCAGAGAGCATCCAGAACAAACAAGAAACAGGCCAATAACAATGACCATCAATTTCACAGCGGACTTCTCCTCGTTTTTGTGCAAATATCGATGATTGAAGCGGAGTTGTTTCGCTAAGATACGGGCGGCTCGTTCGTGTTTATAAACAACATGTAACATTGAACCAAAGTAAAAAATAAGACTGCAGGACGACAGGATCTCTAAAATCATTAATATCCAAAAAGAAATTAAGAAAAGAGAACGATTGTCGTTAAAAACGAGCCACATTAGCACATAGGGACAAATAACAAGAATTGACAGTATCCAAGAAAGAAAAATCAACTGAGAAACACGTTTGCGCGTCATGAACAATAAGTATTTGAGAGGATTCACAACAGCAATGTAGCGATCCAGGACTAAACTACATAAGTTTGTTACAGACGCGTACGTAAACAGCCACCTAAGATAATCCACCCTGTTGGCAAAAGGGGCTTCAGGATCGCATCCAGTTGTCTTCTCGCAGACAAAAAGTGGGGGAACAGCACTCAGCCCAACACAGAAATCCGCCACAGCAAGTGAAACGACAAACGCGTTGCTTTTAGTTCGAAGCCGCCGCCGTCTGCAAACAAGGAAGATGATAAATCCATTTCCAGCTATGGTTACGATGGAAAGAGACCAGCCAAGAATCCAGAACCAGGTTTCCATTTAGGGGTTTTTGAATGACTTTACTCAGGCGAAAATACAGAAGATAACTTTCGATGATGAACTGATAGAAGACCCGTCGTGGAAGTTCCTTGACTTAGGAACATTTTTATTGACACCTGTTATGAGCCTGTTAATAGAAGTGCTAAATTTATGACGGTTGCCTCACCACCAGCGTATACAAGAAGCCCACGCTCACCGATCAATACTTAGCATATGATTCACAACGCCCTCAATCAGTAAAACCAGTCCGTCATAGAAGTTTAAGAGTTAAACGTAACAAACTTTGACATTTACTTGTTGCCAAAGTACAACTGTCTCTTCCAGTAAACCAGCCAATCTCAACTGACATCAAAATTAAAACTCGTTTGCAATTTAAATCGGAATAGCTGTAATGTGCTTCATTTGCATCATTTATATATATAAATATATAATAGGCTATATATAATAATATATATGTTTATATATATATATATATATATGTTTATATATATATATATATATATATATATATATATATGTTTACTCTGCAAAGCGAATGTCTATAGAACACTCTTTTGTAATTGTTTATACTAGCTCCTTGAAATTTTTAAAACATGAGTGATTTAATGCAAACTTTTTTTTCCGCTGGGTTGAATTTTGCCAGCTTCACTCAAAACAGAGATGAAAAGCTGATACTATAAACACTAAGTGACTCAGGCTTATTTCCTATGAAAATTTAAACACAGCCTAGTAAAGCTAGCTTTTTCAACACAGTTTAATCAATCATTTTTCAAAATAACCTGATCTCAATTGCCATCGTCTCCAACTCTCCTTCATTTGCTAATCAGCGGCGATGCAACGTTATCTAAATACAACAAGAGTAGCTCTTTATGGCGGTCCTCACTCAATTATTCAACTTATTTCCTGCTTGTCAACATTAATGTATACAATAGATAACGCTTGCCTCAAATTACGATCGATCAAAATAAAAAATGAATCCATCTGGAAAAGCTTTTGAGTCATTAAGTGGTTCAATGTTGTTTCTCTTCTTTCAGATCACACAGCAAATGTATCGTTCTACTTCCTCTTTTATGTCGCGTGAGCGACTGGGTTGATAGCAGAGTTTAAAAACCAACACAGGCAATTTGAATTTTTTATCATTACATGGTTGTTCTTCTTTCATTATGTATATAAGACTACATCGCAGAGAGCATGCAGAAAAAACAAGAAAGAGGCCTATAACAATGGCCATCACTTTCACAGCCGACTTCTTCTCGTTTTTGAGAAAACGAAGATTAAAGCAGAGTTGTTTCGCTAAGATACGGGCGGCTCGTTCGTGTCTATAAACAACATGTAACATTGAACCAAAGTAAAAGATAAGACCACAGCACGACAGGATCTCGAAGAAAATCATTATTATCCAAGTACTAATTAGGAAAACAGAAATATTGTTGTCAAAAACGAGCCACGTTAGAACATCGGGACAAACAACAAGAATTCACAGTATCCAAGAAAGAAAAATCAACTGAGAAACACGTTTTCGTGTCATGAACAGTAAGTATTTGAGAGGCTTCACAACAGCTATGTGGCGATCCAGGACTAAACTACATAAGTTTACATAAACGCACACGTAAACAGCCCTACTAAGATAATCAACCCTGTGGGTAAAAGGGGCTTCAGGATCGCATCCAGTTGTCTTTAGCAGAAAAAAAGTGAGGAAACAGCACTCAGCCCAACACAGAAATCCGCCACAGCAAGTGAAACGACAAATGCGTTGGTTTTGGTCCGAAGCCGCCGAGTTCTGCAAACAAGGAAAATGATAAATCCACTTCCAGTTACGGTCACAATCGAATGAGACCAGCCAAGAATCTAGAACCAGGTATCCATTTTGTAAACAAAGGGTGATTGTACATAGCTAGGTAAACTGTCCAGAAACTGTGAGGAAAAATTGATGTAAGACTTAACGACCCCACAAGCTTTATAGCTTAACAATTATCGTTTTGAGATTGAAGAATGACCGACTTACATCAAATGAAAATTAAGTGGATAAGCGCGCAATAAACTTAGTATTTTTCTTTAATCCCTGTTGTTCCTGTTTTTTCTTCCCACTTTATTATATGCAAAACTGCACCTTTGAAATTTTTATTGATGCCAGCTTGGGCTAATAATATAACCATTTACTAATGATCTCTACTCATTAATGACCTGTACTCATTTAACATGTGAAGAATTTCAAAGCAAAACTCACGCCACATTTCAACGCAACATCTTGCAACATTGTTAAATCTAGTTGAGAGATGTTGTGTGGGAGCTGGCCAAACGCACGCAACACCTTGCAAGATACAAAATTTTGACTATTTTCGAACTTGATTCAACTTGTTGCAACATGTTGCTACGGGGTGGCCAAACTTGTGCAACACGTTACGCGCAACAATGTTGCAAGATATTGCGTTTGACCAGGGCTTTATGCACTTGTCACTCAGGCAGCAAAATTTTTCACGACTCAATTAGTAGTTGTTGTATGCTTAAGGCATGATTTGCAAGGTTCGTCGTAACTTTAGGATCAATGACGACAGCGGACTAAAATATACTGAAGCCTTCCGTCATAGTGTCGCGTAAATAACATCTCTTTTCTTTAGAGGAAGACGAAGCAAGAGAAAACCCAATAGGAGCACAACTTTGCCTGTCGTTAAACTAAACGCGTTGAAGTTGCATTACATCTATCTTCTATTCAACGAATTTCTTTAAACGATTTGGCATAACGCTAAATTAGCCAGAATACTGTGGTCGAGTTGGTGTTAAAATCAGCTGCCATTTACTTTGGTTAAAAATTACACGTAACAACAAACTTCCCCCTCCTCCTTTCCTATATTTTCTCTAACTTAATCATAACGAAAGGAAAACTAGCAGTTATTGAGGCGGTATCGGAGGCTAACTCGACCTTTTCGGAATGCTTTTATTTTCTCACCATATTAAAGATTATTGTTTATGTAGCCTATTTGCAAATTTGACAATTGGAAAACATGCTGCTTTCGAAGTAAATGCGACTGAAGTTTTGTTTCGAAGGACAAATCTTGAGCAAAATAATAAAGATACGATCCTGGTTTGACAGTGTTTTCGGTTTACGCTGTATTTCCTTTAAATGACATTTCTCACACATACATTTCATTCAGCAATGAAATATGAAGCGCTTCTTGCCATAGATGGAACTCGGGAGAGAGCTCTACATTAGCTAACCACTTATATTTTCCAAGCAATGAATACACATACATGATTTCTTTAGCCTTTTTATTCTAAACATTCTCAATTATATTTCTATTTTTTGGGATGCGTCCCAACCATAAGCGAGCGAATAAACACGTATTCTATTTTGTCACGCCACGTTCAAAAGATTGAAAGTTGTGACTTTCAAATGCCCACACTACGTCGTATTTTTTGGTTCCATATAACGCATTTTCCTTCTTTCACCTTCCAGCCAAGTGACGTCAACTTTTTTAAGTAAGGGAAAGCCTAGAACATTAGCTGCAACCTCTATTTTTGGCTTACTTTTCCATATCTCGCTTATGCACAGCATGGGCGCCAAGACTGTCTCAACACTGAAGGTGTCGCTGATGCGGATGGTGCAAATGTTCACAGTCTCACGTTCTGATTGGTTTCGCGGGTAAAATAGCAGTATGGCGATTATTACCATCTATATCGCGCTCTTGCACACTTCAAACTGGTCGCAACACACGCTTGTGCGGTAAAGAAATTTAAAGGGTACCTTAAGATACACACGAACCTAAAAATAACCGGTAAACAAACTCGAATGAGGTAAGCTAGAAAGGAAAGGGAAACAGAGATGAAAAGATCACTGAGGTGTGAACTGAACAAATTGGAGAACAAAGGAGGCTTCATTTTAGAGGTGGTCTTGGAATACAATTTTGTTTTGTTCCTTAATTATCAACGCCTATTGACAACCCAGTAATGAAAGCTTAAAAACAAATTTTGCAGATTTCTTGGATTAGCTGAAAAAGTTGCATTACTTTATCTAGATGAGGCAGAAAATACGTTTTGTCATCTCCTTCTTTATATCCCGCTTGAAGAAGGCGTACGCAATGGGGTTAATAGCAGAGTTTAAAATAAGGAGGGGTATTTTATATTCTTCATCATCACATGTTTTTCCTGTTTTAAATAATAATATATAACCACATCGTAAAGCAAATGTGTTCGCCAGAAGGAAAACTCCTATAACAATTGCCATCATTTTAACTGCAGATTTCTCCTGGATTTTGAACAGAAATCGATGATTAAAGTGGAGCTGCTTTGCTAAGACACGAGCTGCTCGTTCGTGCTTGTAAACAACAAGTAACATTGAAGCGAAGCAAAAGATCAGTCCACAGCATGGTAGAAACGCCAAAAAAAATATGTTCATCGAAATAATTATGTCATATAGTAAACATTGGCCCGGACAAAGCCGATCCATTTTGAAAAAAGCCAAAGCAGTAATAACTGGAATCACCCAAGAGATGAAAATCACCAGGAAAACGCGGCGACGCTTCATAAAAGTCAAATATTTGAAAGGCATTACAACGGCGACATAACGCTCCAAGACTAAAGTGCACAGGTTTACCACTGAGGCGTATGGGAATAAGTTCCTCAAGTCGTTAGATAACCCGTTACAATCGCCTTCTTTCTGGCAGAAGAACAATGAAGGTACAGTGCTCAATCCAACAGAGAAATCCGCCACTGCAAGAGAAACGATGAACGCGTTGGTTTTGGTTCGGAGCCGCCGTCTGCTGCAAACAAGGAAGATAATAGATCCATTTCCACTTATGGTCAGAATGGAGAGAGACCAGCCAAGAATCCAAAACCAAGTTTCCACTTTTATCTGCTTTATCGGTTTCTTATTTATTACAGAGATAAACTGTCAAGAATCGTACATGGAACAACTGAAGAAAGATCGTAATCCCGAGGCAGCTGTTGAATTCTCCTCTATGTAGGTGTATATCGGAGAGCCATCATAACACCTCTTGTCAGTCTCCTTAATGACGGTGGAGACACTTTTCCTGTTCTAAAAATATAATTTCATTGAAACTCAATTTCCTTCTTCTGGAAAAAGTTTATGGCGTTAATGATCTTTACTATGTGGTCTCGGCCTCAACGCAAGTTGGAATGAACGTTTTCGATGTCTTACGTTTGCAATGATTTCATCATAACGGTTCTGTCTAGAAATATCATTGTGAATCCAAAACCGAGTTTTTATTTTGTAACAAGAGTAGTTTTACTCATATAACTTTCCAGAGACTTGTCATGGACAAATAATCAGAAGTTATTTTTGGTGTAATAGACACCAACATCTTTTACTCCTGCCATCAAATATAAGTGGAGATAGTGTTCTTCAAGATCTATTTGGAAGAGAATTGTTATGGGAAATAAAACTCATGTTTGCGTTAAATTTAGCATCCTAATAACATACAATGAGTTCACTTTATGGGTTAGCATATAACAGCAGCTAAACTCTACACAGAGAACTTTTGATCTATTTTTAAACTAGAGAATATTAACTGTAAGCGGAACTTATCCCTGTGACCCATGATTGTTTTTTTCAGTCTATTTTTAATTTTGCATCACGCTGGGAAGTTATTCTTTTCCTTAACTCGAATGATAACGCGGATAACGATCTTGATATCGAGAAAGATGTTTTTTCGTCTTGTCACGAGCGTGGGACAAAGAGAAAATTCCGATTCCCCATGAGGAATCGACTCTCAGACCTTCGGATTCCGCGCTCCGATGCTCTACCATTGAGCTACAGAGAGTCCACGGTGAGGAAGGGATGGTAAGTTTTGAGCTCGGTAAAGAAATAGAGAAAGATGTTTTTCGTCTTGTCATATCTTGTCGATATCATCTGTTGTTGCAGTTTCTGGTGTTCAAAATTTAAACTAGTTGTTAAAAATTGTTACCGCTCATTATCGAAACAAATTTGTAAATGTTTTTCTCGTGCACCATTCGAATACTTACCTTCAGTGATTTAAAGACACACAGATGTATGAATCGTATTCTCATGTTCTTGAATGTTTGTAAGTCATTTAGCAGCAGGATGGGAATATTTGCATTACATCAATCCTCATTGCCTAAATTAGTAGTGAATTCGCAGAAACAGAAATATTTTCAAAGTTACATATCAAAACTGCACTGGAAAAAGAACAATTACCATCATGCTGACATCCATAACTATGTCTACGGACCAATACAAACCTTGGGACCTCCCTAAGGTAAAGCGGGACATGTTTTGTTTTGTTTTGTTCTTTTTAACGTGCAAAAGACAAGTTTTCGCGAACAACCAATGGGAAATAATTGTTCCTTTATTTTCTCTTACCTGAGCTAAACCGACAAAGCGATCGATTGGGCTATCTTAATTTGCAAGTCAAGATGGCAGATCAACAGTCAACAAAAAACCCGCGCAGGAATTTAAATCTACTGCCGTTCTCCCTTACATAAAGGGTGTACTAGAGGTTCTTCGCCGCTGCCTACAACATCAAGGCATACGGACCGTTTTAAAAGTCTGACACAATACTTAGGTCTTATTTAGTACGACCTAAAGACGCCCTGGAACCAACGAAACAAAACTGTTTCGTTTACAAGATCCCATGTGAATGCGGCAAAGTGTACATCGGTGAAACAGGGAGATCAATGCGAGAAGGGATAAATGAACATGACAGAGACATACGGTTTGCTCGTACTCAGACCTCTGCGGGAATAAAAGAGGAACAAAGTTGAGAGTATCTCCTCGTTTGTCATCTGACATAAAGAAAACAATGAATTCTAAGCTGGAAACATTAGCAGTAAGTCAATTACTTGTCATATAGGAAGCAGCCCTTTGAAACATAAAGATGCGCACAAGAGAAAACGTTAAGCAAGTTTTGCAAAACGCGTCTTTTGAAAACTTTTTAGGATAAAAGACAACAGAGGTATTCAAGGGAGAAATGAACTATTTTACGCACGCAAAACAGTTGTCAAGGAGGATGGGTAAGAACATATTATACCCTGATAGAAAAACATTTTGCTATGCTTATATTGCGGATTGCATCAAAAATACTCTCGACACGCGGTTTTTGCGAGGCAATCGATTATATTCTTAGTTGTGTTTAATCGAGCCTTCGGCTTGCCTTCTGTACATAACATGCTCAAAACCGAACGTTTTTCGCCCTGTTAAACTCCATCTACCTTGCTACTAAGAAAAGATAGCAATCCAATTTCCTGTAATTCCATATTTCTCAGTTGGGCCTGCACACTTTAAGACCAGCTACTAAACACAGCAAATTGAATGTCTCTTTTCATAGGGAGAAATTATTTATTTTTAAACCAAGTCACCTGAGCTATAAACTGACAAAACGATCGATTTGACTATCCTAATTTGCAAGTCAATGGTGACAGATATAATTTCAGTATAACCAGAAGCATTTTATTTCCCTTGTCACCTGGAAAATTCTACTTCTAAAAGTACTTCTACTGAAGTTTGGCGGACGTAATTAATTTGAATAACGACATGTGCATGTCTAACAACATAACCAATCATAATGAGATGAAAACGTTCGGGAAAAATTTCTTAAATACGCATGATTCGTACAAGGAATATCTTGCTGGATAAGTTCTTCCTTTGACAAGTTAAAACGGTTCAATAACGTAAAAACGATTTACTTATAATCCGAACTTGATTTGAATGTAAAAGCTTCACTGATTAAAAAAACTAAATTTCTTACTCCCTCAAAAGTCCACCGGCGGTTTTCCAAGGCAATTTTTTTGGCTATCAGTGAACACTTGGCTCCGTGAGACCTTTCTGAAATTGCGTCGTAGGGCATTGTTTAAAATATCTTCCTAGGACCAAAACGACAAGTAAGCGGCTAATGATCCTAGGAACGAATGCGAAAGGTGTTTTAAACCGCTTATCAGTTGTCCAACTTGATCGTTCTAAGTCTCAAAAATGTACACAAGCACAGCACAAGCACAACAGCACAAGACAAAAAAAATTAAGCGAACTAAGCGAACCATTTATTTTGATTGTTTTTCCCTCTTTTAGCCCGAGAAAAAAAAAACAAATCATTGTAAGTTAACTGAAATAATCGTACTCACGTTTGCGAACGACAAAAGCCATACAGCGTTAGTAATATGTTTCACCCGCTTTCCGTTGTATACACCACCGCTCAACCATTAATTAAGTCTGCAAATAAACACGCTCTGCACACTCCAAGTTAACGGTTCATCGCGCATCTCAGAGCATATCTGTTTGACTCCGTATCTCCCCATCTTCATTTTAAGTAAGATCTTAATGTTTGATTCAAGATTTAACAATGATACCGTAAGGATAAATTTGGCGCTAGTCCAGTCTTAAAGGTTTAGGATTAACTCAGTAATTCAAAATTTGTTTGTTTGTTATGCATCTCTTCCAGTAAACCAACTGATCTCAACCGACATCAACATTAGAACTCATTTGCAATTTATTCAGGAATAGTACTAATTTTCTTCATTCGCAGCATATACATACTCTGCCGAGCGAATCTCAGAAAGTCAAGTTTTTAAATGTTCAAAATTTTTTATCCTCCTTGCACTTTTAAAAACCTGCGCAAATTTAGGTCCACCTTTTCAAGTTCCACCTGCTGAATTTTACCAGAGTCACTCAGCATGGAGAGATAACTAACTCATTACTCTAACTTCTATGTTCTTGCTCAGTCTTGTTCCTTAAGAAAATTTAAAAGCTCATTAAAGTTAGCCTTTCCGACAAAGTAGAATTACTCGTTTTTCAAAACAACCTGATCTCAATTGACATCGACACTAGAACTTATTCATTTGCATTTTTTCTCAGCGGCACAACGTTATTTAAATAAACACGAGTATAACATTTCATTTTGAGCTTTCCCCAATAATTTGAATCCTAAAACTATACAACTTGTCTACTGCTTATAAACATTAATTTATATAATAGGGAATGCTTGTATTGCGTTATGATCGATCCAAATAGAAAATTATCAATTGGGAAAAAAATCTGTTTCATGCGTTTAATTTAAACCAGCCTTTTCGTGATGGTCAGAAACTAATGTGGTTCTATTTACTTGCCGCCAAAGATAGATTATTGGGCAAAGTTTGGGGGAAAACTTTGTTCCGATGCGAAATGCCCTTGACCGCTCTTACAGAGATCGCCAAGCAAATTCAAAATTTTCTCGTTCACCAGAGGCAGTTTCGTCTAGAAAACAAGCTGATCCCAGTTGAAGTCAAAACAATATCTCATTTTCACTTCAGCTCGGAATAGAGCATATCTGTTTGATTTGCACAATTATAAACTCTACCGAGTGAATCTTGTTATGGTTGATCAGCATTACTTTGTATTAAACGAGATGCGTTTCTGACATTATGATCAAAACTATTAATTTGGAAAAAGTCTTGAGCCATTAAGTGGTTCAATGTTGTTTCTCTTCTTCCAGATCACACAGCAAATGCATCGTTCTACTTCCTCTTTTATGTCCCTCTTGAAGAAAGCGTAAGCAACGGGGTTGATGGCAGAGTTTAAAACTAACAGAGGCAATTTGAATCTTTTATCATTACATGGTTGTTCGTCTTTCATTATATATACAAGACTACATCGCAGAGAGCATCCAGAACAAACAAGAAACAGGCCAATAACAATGACCATCAATTTCACAGCGGACTTCTCCTCGTTTTTGTGCAAATATCGATGATTGAAGCGGAGTTGTTTCGCTAGGCTACGGGCGGCTCGTTCGTGTTTATAAACAACATGTAACATTGAACCAAAGTAAAAAATAAGACTGCAGCACGACAGGATCTCTAAAATCATTAATATCCAAGTATTAACTAAGAAAACAGAAATACTGTCGTTAAAAACGAGCCACGCTAGAACATCGAGACAAACAACAAGAACTGACAGTATCCAAGAAAGAAAAATCAACTGAGAAACACGTTTGCGCGTCATGAACAATAAGTATTTGAGAGGATTCACAACAGCAATGTAGCGATCCAGGACTAAACTACATAAGTTTGTTACAGACGCGTACGTAAACAGCCACCTAAGATAATCCACCCTGTTGGCAAAAGGGGCTTCAGGATCGCATCCAGTTGTCTTCTCGCAGACAAAAAGTGGGGGAACAGCTGCCATTTACTTTGGTTAAAAATTACACGTAACAACAAACTTCCCCCTCCTCCTTTCCTATATTTTCTCTAACTTAATCATAACGAAAGGAAAACTAGCAGTTATTGAGGCGGTATCGGAGGCTAACTCGACCTTTTCGGAATGCAGGTAATTTAGTGTTAACAACTGGGTTGAAAACGTAAATTAGCCACCGTAAAGGGTAAAAAAGCTGACGTTTCGAGCGTTAGCCCTTCGTCAGAGCGATTAGAGGAATTGTGGGTTGTGTGTGGATTTATATGTAGAAAGTGGAGCTTTTATTTTCTCACCATATTAAAGATTATTGTTTATGTAGCCTATTTGCAAATTTGACAATTGGAAAATATGCTGCTTTCGAAATAAATGCGATTGAAGTTTTGTTTCGAAGGACAAATCTTGAGCAAAATAATAAAGATATGATCCTGGTCTGACGGTGTTTTCGGTTTACGCTGTATTTCCTTTAGATGACATTTCTCACACATCAATTTCATTCAGCAATGAAATATGAAGCGCTTCTTGCCATAGATGGAACTCGGGAGAGAGCTCTACAGCAGCTAACCACTTATATTTTCCAAGCAATCAATACACAAATATGATTTCTTTAGCCTTTTTATTCTAAACATTCTCAATTATATTTCTATTTTTTGGGATGCGTCCCAACCACAAGCGAGCGAATAAACACGTATTCTATTTTGTCACGCCACGTTCAAAAGATTGAAAGTTGTGACTTTCAAATGCCCACACTACGTCGTATTTTTTGGTTCCATATAACGCATTTTCCTTCTTTCACCTTCCAGCCAAGTGACGTCAACTTTTCTAAGTAAGAGAAAGCCTAGAACATTAGCTACAACCTCTATTTTCGTCTTGCTTTTCCATCTCTCGCTTGTGCGGGTGTCGTTGATGCGGATGGTGCAAATGTTGACAGTCTCACGTTCTAATTGGTTTCGCGGGTAAAATAGCAGTATGGCGTACCATCTATATCGCGCTCTTTCACACTTCAAACTCTTCGCAACACACGCTTGTGCGGTACAGAATTTTAAAGGGTACCTTAAGATACACACGCAACTAAAAATAACTGGTAAACAAACTCGAATGAGGTACACTAGAAAGGAAAGGGAAACAGTTAGAGATGGGAAAAGATCACTGAGGTGTTTAACAACCAATTGGAGAAAAAAAGGCAGCCTCATTTTAGAAGTGATCTTGGAATACAATTTTGTTTTGTTCCATAATTATCAACGCCTATTAACAAACTAGTAATGAAAGCTTAAAAAACAAATTTTGCAGATTTCTTGGATTAGCTGAAAAAGTTGCATTACTTTATCTAGATGACGCAGAAAATACATTTTGTCATCTCCCTCTTTATATCCCGCTTGAAGAAGGCGTACGCAATGGGGTTAATAGCAGAGTTTAAAACAAGAAGGGGTATTTTATATTCTTCATCATCACATGTTTTTCCCGTTTTAAAAAATAATATACAACCACATCGTAAAGCAAATTTGTTCGCTAGAAGGAAAACTCCTATAACAATTGCCATCATTTTAACTGCAGATTTCTCCCGGATTTTGAACAGAAATCGATGATTAAAGTGGAGCTGCTTTGTTAAGACGCGAGCTGCTCGCTCGTGCTTGTTAAGAACAAGTGACATTGAAGCGAAGCAAAAGATCAGACCACGGCATGACAAAAAAGCCAAAAAAATTATGTTCATCGAAATGATTATGTCATATAGTGAACATTGGTTTGGACAGAGCCGATCCATTTTGAAAAAAAGCCAAAGCAGTAATAACTGGAATCGCCCAAGAGGTGAAAATCACCAGGAAAACGCGGCGACGCTTCATAAAAGTCAAATATTTGAAAGGCATCACAACGGCGACATAACGCTCCAGGACTAAAGTGCACAGGTTTACTACTGAGGTGAATGGGAATAATTTCCTCAAGTCGTTAGATAACCCGTTACAATCGCCTTCTTCCTGGCAGAAGAACAATGTAGGTACAGTGCTCAATCCAACAAAGAAATCCGCCACTGCAAGAGAGACGATGAACGCGTTGGTTTTGGTTCGGAGCCGCCGTCTGCTGCAAACAAGGAAGATAATAGATCCATTTCCATTTATGGTCAGAATGGAGAGAGAACAGCCAAGAATCCAAAACCAAGTTTCCATTTTTTATCTGCTTTAGCGATTTTTTTTTTATTACAGAGATAAACTGTCAAGAATCGTACGTGGAACAACTGAAGAAAGATCGTAATCCCAAGGCGGCTGTTGAATTCTCCTCTATGTAGGTGTATATCGGAGAGCCATCATGACGCCTCTTTTCAATCTCTTTAATGACGGTGGAGACACTGTTCCTGTGCTAAAAATATAATTTCGTTGAAACTCAACTTCCTTCTTCTGGAAAAAGTGTGCCGCGTTAATGATCTTTACTAAGTGGTCTCGGCCTCAACGCAAGTTGGATTGAACGTTTTCGATGTCCTACGTTTGCAATGATTTCATCATAACGGCTCTGTCTTGAAATATCATTGTGAATCCAAAACCAAGTTTTTATTTTGTAATAAGAGTAGTTTTACTCAAATAACTTTCCAGAGACTGGTCATGGACAAATAATCAGAAGTTATTATTCGTGTAATAGACACCAACATCTTTTACTCCTGCCATCAAATACATGTGGAGACAGTGTTCTTCAAGATCTATTTAGAAGAGAATTGTTATGGAAAATTAAACTCATGTTTGCGTTAAATTTAGCATCCTAATAACATGCAATGATTCCGCCTTATGTATTAGCATATAACAGCAGCTAAATCTCTATACAGAGAACTTTTTGTTCATTTTTAAACTAGAGAATATTAACCGTGAGCGGAACTTGTGACCCATTATTGTTTTTTTTCAGTCTATTTTTAATTTCGCACTACGCTGGAAAGTTATTCCTTTCCATAACTCGAATGATAACGCGGATAACGATCTCGATATCGAGAAAGATGTTTTTCGTCTTGTCACGAGCGTGGGACAAAGAAAAAATTCTGAGTCCCCATGAGGAATCGACCCTCAGACCTTCGGATTCCGCGCTCCTATGCTCTACCACTGAACTACAGAGACTCCACGGTTAGGAAGGGGTATTACGAAGTTCATAAATGACACGCGTCCTGCATACTGCCAGGATCAGCAATGTCGATAGCGTAACGTTTGTAGATAAAAATAAGAGATGGTAAGTTTTGAGCTCGGTAAAGAAATATAGAAAAATGTTTTTCGTCTTGTCTTGACGTATCTTGACAGTCTCCAGTGTTCAAAATTTAAACGAGTTTTTAAAAATTGTTACCGCTCATTATCGCGACAAATTTCTAAATGTCTGCCTCATCATTCGAACACTTACCTTTAGTGATTTATAGGCACACAGATGTATGAATCATATTCTCTTGTTCTTGAATGTTTATAAGTCTTTTAGCAGCAGAAAGTGAATTCGCAGAAACAGAAATATTTTCAAAGTTACATATCAAAACTGCACTGGAAAAAGAACAATTACCATCATGCTGACATCCACAACTATGACTACGTACCGAACACATTCCTTGAGACCTCCCTAAGGTAAAGCGGGACCTGTTTTGTTTTGTTTTGTTTTGTTTTGCTTGTTCTTTTTAACGTGCGAGGTTCCAAAGACAAGTTTTCGCGAACAACTAAGGGGAAAATAATTGTTCCTTTATTTTCTCTTACCTGAGCTAAACTGACTAAACGATCGATTGGACTATCTTAATTTGCAAGTCAAGATGGCAGATATGATTTCAGTATAATCAGGAGCATTTTATTTCCCTTGTCGCCCGAAAAATCATACTTCTAAAAGGATTTCTATTTAAGTTTAGCTGACGTAATTGATTTGTGCAACAATAAGTGCACAAATCTATCTTATTGACAGATCGAGAGACAACCTGACTGATAGACAGACTGGTTTGCAAAATTATAAAATGAAAAATTAGAAAATTAGAAAAAAACTAACCATAACGATTGAAAATATACAAAAAGAAAATACGAATTGGTAAGGATTGATGAGATGAAAAAGAATCTTCGTTAGACATTATTATGAAAGATATGATCTACTCTCCTCATCATGCACACACCGTAAGCAAATCCCTTATCTTACTTGTGGACTTTTAACTCGTGTAACATAGATAAAGACAGTTGAGAAGACGTTTGTCCAAGTTTTGCATTTCTGGACTGACATGTTAAGCGATATGGCTGCGTAGGATGAAAGAGTTGTTTTCATTAACTGGCTCAGTGCGGTTTCTTTTCCGACACACGACACAGCAAATATACCGTGTTATCTCCATGTTTATGTCTCTCTTGAAGACGGCATAAGCGAAGGGGTTAACTGACGACGAAGTTCAATACAAGAAGGGGTATTTTATATTCGTGATCATCACACGACAACAAGATCAAACCTAGGCACAAACAGCCACCTAGGATCTACGACTTACCTAAGATACACAACCCCAACACACCATCAAGACCATTTGTACCATGTATTAGCACCTTTGCTTACGATCTGTTGGCATACCTAGCCATTATCCTTGACAGGCAAGTCAGACTACTCAGTTATTAACTCTACGCACTTCGCGTCAACCTTCAGTCACGACACATGATCACGTACATGATCACGAGGTCATGGTATCTTTTGACGTAGAATCGTTGCTTACAAAAGTAACGATCGAGGATGCAGTTCAAGCCGCATGACGAAAAATAGAGAACGACAGCGATCTTGTTCACAAACTTAACACCCACACAAATTGCCGACCTCTTGAATTTCGTCTTAAGATCGACATATTTCCAATACAACGGGTCGATTTATGAACAGCAAGACGGAGCAACTATGGGAAGCCCTGTTTCCGCGGTTATAGCTAACATCTACATGGGAGAATTTGAAGAACAGGCAATAGCAAATGCGACTCGCAAACCTAAGATCTGGAAACGATATGTAGATAACACTTTCACAGTCTTACTCCAGAACCATGTCAACGGCTTTTTATAACATCCAAACAGTCAACAGACTTTCATTCGTTTCACCATGGAAATCGAGAAGGATAACACTATTCCTTTTCTCGACACAACAGTTACAGGGGACTTCTCACTACCACTGTCTGCAGAAAGCCCACCCACACGTCAACCATCCGGACACGAGAAAGTACATGATAACAAGGTCATGGTATCTTTTGACATAGAATCGTTGCTTACAAAAGTAACGATCGAGGATGTAGTTCAAGCCATGGAAATCGAGAAGGATAACACCATTCCTTTTCTCGACACAACAGTTACAAGGGACTTCTCACTACCACTACTCACTACCACTGACATAAAGAAAACAATGAATTCTAAGCTGGGAACGTTAGAAGTAAATCAATAACTTGTCATATAAGAAGCAGGCCTTTAAAACATGAAGATACGCACAGGAAAAAACCTTGAGCAAATTTTGCAAAACGCGTCTTTTGAAAACTTTTTAGGATAAAAGACAACAGAGGTATTCAAGGGAGAAATGAACTATTTTACGCACGCGAAACAGTTATCAAGGAGGATGGGTAAGAACATGTTATACCCTGATAGAAAAATATTTTGCTATGCTTATATTGCGAATTGCATCAAAAATACTCTCGACACGCGGTTTTTGCCAGGCAATCGATTATATTCTTAGTTGTGTTTAATCGAGCCTTTGACATGCCTTCTGTACATAACATGTTCAAAACCGAACGTTTTTCGCCCTGTTAAACTCCATCTACCTTGCTACTAAGAAAACACAGTAATCCAACTTCCTGTAATTCCGTATTTCTCAGTTGGGCCTGCACACTTCTAAGACCAGCTACTAAACACAGCAAATTGAATGGAGAAATTATTTATTTTTAAACCAAGTCACCCGAGCTATAAAATTACAAAACGATCGATTGAACTATCCTAATTTGCAAGTCAATGGTGACAGATATAATTTCAGAATAACCAGAAGCATTTAATTTCCCTTGTCACCCGAAAAATTCCACTTCTAAAAGTACTTCTGCTGAAGTTTGGCAGACGTAATTAATTTGAACAACAACGAGTACATGTCTAACAAAATAATCAATCACAATGAGATGAAAACGTTCTGAAAAAATATCTTAAATACGTATGATTCATACACAGAAAATCTTGCTGGATAAGTTCTTCCTTTTACAAGTTAAAATGATTCAATAACGTAAAAACGATTTACTTATAATCCGAACTTGATTCGATGTAAGAGCTTCACTGACTAAAAAAATTAAATTTCTAACTGTCTCAAAAGTCCACCGGCGGTTTTCTAAGGTAAATTTTTGGTTATCAGTGAACACTTGGCTTCGTGAGATTTTTCTGAATTTGCGTCGTGGGGCATTGTTAAGAATATCTTCCTAGGACAAAACGACGAGTAAGCGGCAAATGATCCAAGGAACAAATGCGGAAGGTGTTTCCAAACGCATATGAGTTGTCCAATTTGATCGTTCAAAGTCTCAAAAATGCAGTTCACGGCACAAGACAAAAAAAATTAAGTGAATCATTTATTCCGATTGTTTTTCCTTCTTTTAGTCCAAGAAAAAAAAATCATTTTTAGTTAACTAAAATAATCGTATTCACGTTTGCGAACGACAAAATCCACACAGCGCTAGTGTTATGTTTCACCAGCTCTCCGTTGTATACACCACCGCTTAACCATTAATTAAGTCCGCAAATAAACACGTTCTGCATACGCCAAATTAACGGTTCATCACGCATCTAAGAGCATATCTGTTTGACTCAGTATCTCCCCATGTTCATTTTAAGTAAGACCATAATGTTTGATTCAAGATTTAACAATAATACCGTAAGGATAAGTTTGGTGCTAGTCCAGTCTTAAAGGTTTAGGATTAACTCAGGAATTCAAAATTGGGTTGTTTGTTATGCAGGATAGCTAGAATTTCCACCAGCTGATCTCAACCGACATCAACATCAGAACTCATTTGCAATTTATTCCGGAATAGTACTAGTTTTCTTCATTCGCAGCATATACATACTCTGCCGAGCGAATCTCAGGAGTCAATTTTTAAAATATTTAAATTTTTTTATTCTAAGTCCTCCTTGCGCTTTTAAAAACCTGCCCAAATTTAGGTCCACTACGATGGAAAGAGACCAGCCAAGAATCCAGA